TACAGCTCTCTGACCTGCGCATTTCTGATAGCATGCAGCTCACCTTCGATGGTGTAGCTTGTGTTGGGGTAATATTAAGTGCGATTGTTTGGGCTTACCTTCGTAAATCAGATAATCGCCTTCCTCTCCCACCTTCTCCTCCCACATGGAGACTTCGGGGACACCTCCTGCCCCCTCGCCTGTGAGGTTTCATATCCGCGACCTCATTTTGTATGCTAATTGTATCACATTTATGATCAGCCCATGCCTTACTGTAGCGCGGTGGATCGACGAGTATGGCCCTCTGATCACTATTCGCTCAGGAATGCAGAACATCGTGATTATCGGCCGCCACAAAGTCAGTTCCTTTATCATAGTTTCATTTCCAATTCAACACTCCGTGGCAGGCTGCAGTGGACATAATGGAGAAGCAGGGCAGAGTACTAGCTGATCGACCTCGCCTCGTTTCTGCTGGAGAAATTCTTACACGCGGATTAACCATCGGTTTCTCACACGTTGGAGACAGGCTTCGTCGTATGCGTAGGTTCGTCATTGCGATACTGTAAGGGCTCAAACAACCCTCGTCTTACTTTTCAATGCGATGCAGAGCACTTCATACGCATCTCCAGCCCAAATCAGCCGAAACATATCAGCCCCTGCAAATGTCACAAGCGAAAAACATGATCCTCAACATTCTTGACGATCCACACAACTTTCAGAGCCATGCAATAACGTAAGCGGTTCGGTTCCCTACGTGTGACGCCGGAGTCTCGTAGGATGTTACTTACGAGCTCTCGAAAGTTATGCTGCAGCGACAACCTTGAAAATTGCATATGGGAAGACCACACCGACGTCGGCAACTGATCCCGAAGTCAGAGAGGTTCGTCATCTCATCTCGCGCTTTCGTACACTCCTGCGCCCCGGTGCCTACTGGGTGGACACGATACCGTGGCTCAAATACCTTCCTTGGTATGCACCAGAACTAAGAGACGATTATAAGAGGGCCACGAGACTCTATACAGACCAGCTGAATCGTGTGAAACTGCATATGGTACGCATTGTGTTGCATATCTCCACATGCACATGATGTCTGAGTCGTTCCACAGCAAATCAATGAGGATAGCGGCCCTTCGTTTTCAAAACACGTTCTAGAAAATGCACAACTCTATGGTTTGACAGAGATAGAGATGGCTTATCTTGCTGGCGGCTTCTTTGGAGCAGGGACCGAAACAGTAAGGCGTCTTTCTGTTTTGACGATTGCAGACGCTGAGATGAGGTGTCAGACCGCTACGACGATATGCATGGTGCTAATGGCGGCTGCACGCTTCCCTGAAGAGCAAGCTAAAGTACAGGCCGAGCTTGATGCAGTCATCGGAAGGGAGCGAGGTAACTTGACTATATACCGCAGTCCTATCAAATCATTCATTTTTCTTCAAAGCACCGACCTTCGCCGATAGACTATCCCTTCCTCGTCTGGAAGCCTTCATCTCTGAGGCTCTGAGATGGAGACCTGTGGGTCCTAATGGTGGGTCTCTGAATAGTCAGTCATACGCGTGAAGTTTACACAATTTGCCTCTCAGGATTTCCTCACCGAACTACTGAAGATGTAATTTGGGCAAGTGCTCTTTAAATAATTTGTTGTGCGAGGATAATCTGACATATGCCGGCAGGAAAACTATTGCATTCCCGCTGGAACCACAGTAACCAGCAACCTCTGGTACGTCGATGTTTGTGAAGAACGACATATTGAATTGACACCATCTCAGGGCCATCTCTCGAGATCCAGAAGTTTATCCCGAGCCTGATGCGTTCAAGCCCCAGCGCTGGATTGATGACCAAGGTCATTTGAGAGACGATCTCACATTCTTTACATTTGGGTTTGGTCGGCGGTAAGCACCGTCTTGCGGGATGCACTTTCTTTGATTGTCATCTCTTCCAGTGTATGCCCAGGTCAACACGTTGCGAGCAGGTTACGGTTCTTTCTACGCATATAATTTCCCGAATCTGATTTGAAATGTTATAGATCGGTGTTCATAAATTCGCTTCTTATTCTTTGGGCTTTCCAGCTCAATCTGGATCCTACGAAGCCGCAGGATGATATGGCGTTCAGTGAAACCTTTATGCCAAATGTTCCATGCGCTATTGAATTCCAAACGAGGGTACCAGAAGTTGAGCTTAGGCGTATGATGCAGGATTATCCCAAGGCTGAGTGAGCAGAATAACCACTAGGGGGCAGGTGGCGAATCATCGTATCATAATTTCAACTTGGCTCGAAGTTTGATCCGTGTAACATAGTCAATTTATGCTTTCTCGCAAATTTTTTCAGTGGAAGTCCAGCTCACTTTGTGTACTTGCGCAATGTAGTCCCCCCATATGCATACCGAGTTACAGAGCTACGTACATAGTCTCGCAACCACGAGGTGACGGGGGAAGCACTTCCTGATTTCGACAACTCCACTCATTACATTTCCATATAATCAACGTGCGCCATGTAACAACTATACATCTATCATAACACACAGGCGCCGAAGGTACTATGAATGTCAATGCGGGTATGGCCAAGGTATAATCAGCCGTTAAGCAATGAGAAACTATACACATGTTCAATCCTTCTATCAATTTCATCATAGAATCGGGCTCGCATCTCTGCTAGGCTCTGCATCCCACATTTTGAACATCGCCGCTCCAAAAGCCTTCCCGAGAGCCAGAGCCAGCGATGTAGGTACCGCATTACCAATCTGCCTGAATTGCTATGGAACACGTCGGTTATAGAACAGCGCAACACGCGGCAAAGGCTTACATCATCGATAGCCTTTGCCGCCTTGTCCCTGTTCACCGAGACGAATTCGTAGTGATCTGGGAATCCTTGTGCACGTGCACATTCGCGGACCGTAAGGATGCGTTTTTGCTGACATACGAAGCGTTAAGGAGTCAGATTCCAAACAACAATAAGATAATGACTAGAATGCATACCGAAGGATGCAGTACTTGACCCCCCTTATTATTTGGTAGTACTGTGGTCAGTGCAGTCGAGAAGTACATGTCTGCATCCAGCCGCTGATAGACGGCTGTCGAAGGATCAGCTAATATGTTTGAGTACGAATGTATCGCGTCTCGCCTTTGTATTTCGTCCTAGCGTTCTCGCGCCTCGAGAGTCCAGTGTGCAGCTCCTTTGGCAGGTCTATGGCCTTCGCAGTGAATTCTACCCAGCCAGCAATTATGTAGATTGGCTTACCGAAATGATTAGCTCCTGCTCTTAGAGGCACGTTTACAGTTCTGAGTTCGGCTTTCAGCGAAGCTGTAATACGGGACAGATAGTAAAAATGTACCGTTCAATGATGATATCGTTGAAGCGTTTGGTATAATGGTATTGAAGCTCTTCGCTCCCTTGTCGCATGAGCTTCTGGTAACGGGATAGTGGCCCACTAGGATATTGACATGGCTTCGAGTAGCCAGCGTACGGGTCATTGGAAGTTCTTGCAGAATGCAACGCTGAAAAAGATGGGATCCCAAGATCGTCTTTACGCTTGCGCTCCACCGCTCTGTCAGCAGCAGTCTTCGAGATTTTCTTGTGTGGGTTGACCCTGAATAAAAGTTCGAATATGCCAGGTTCCAAAATTTGAGAGAAAAAATGCATACCAGTCGAATGGAGGCTACAAAATAGGCTAAAGTGAATGCATTATCAAAAAGGGGATTTGTGAACCATACCAAATCACCAATAGCTTCATGAATCGTGACAAAACGCAGCGGAGCAGAAAGGTCAGTGTTGTTGTCGCCATACTTCAAGCGCGAAATAGGTGCTAAGTATGCTCCAGTAGGCAATTTAACGCGCTGTACCCTTGCGTGCGGAAAGACATGTGTCGGGATTGGGAAATCGGGCAGGGGAACTCCTTGCCTGGCCGCTACAAACAGGACCCTCTTGCGTGCTTGAGGCGCGCCATAGTTTGCTGCATGAAGAACATTATATTCGATCTGGTAGCTGCAAAAGATCAGTATCGAACAGCGCAAATAGATCAAATTGTACTTTAAGGCAAGGAGGGCAGCGATGATGAATTTGACGACGCCGGAAGCGACAGTTTTTTCCTTCAATGCATGCTCCAGGATTCCGCCAACATTCTCCAAGAGGAAGTACATCGGCCGGTAAAACTCTACGTATGCGATCATGTTGCAGACAAGCGTAGACCTGCAATGAATCGTTTAGTGCAGATACACACCAACCACACATCGTGTTCACCGTATGTCGTCATCTCTCTGGGAACAAGAATGTCACTATGATACATAGAAATGTTTTTGATCCTTACCTTCGCATGATTCATCTTTGAGAAGGACTGACATGGCGGACCTAGTAAACACGATAAACATCACGGCTGATGGCATGGATTATTACGCACCGCCATAGATAAAATCAACTTCACCCGGCTTAGGCATTGAGGGTAGGCGCTTCTTATCCCCTAGAGCTTGGAGAGGGCCGGGATTCTTCCCATCTGCGGCATCAATAGCGTGCTGGAGGCACATGTTCGTGCATTGATTGTACACCGTCACATTAGGGTGATTTTGCCTGAGATAATATCAACACAAGCACGTCGAGCATAAAATGCACACTAACTTGTAAGTCCTTGCTGCTCCTGGAGAAAACTCAACTGCATATCTTGTCTCCACAAAGCCGGACATGTCCAATCCAGTTCCGAGGCCACCCGCACCTTCAAGTACGTGTTAGAATCAGCCGCAGAGCAACAGAAAATAAAGTCAAACCAGCAAAAAGTTCCAGCCCTCGAAGCGGGCCGAACCTCTGCAATTGCTGAGCCCGGCGTACTAGATTAGCTTTGTGCTCTTGATGGCATTGAACGCAGTGCCAGAATTCATTTTCTGACCACGGCTTTAGGTCATCGAACGTACGAATGTCGAGGGAATCAGCACACTCGTTCACGTAGTAGTGATCGTCGTGAGCGACCCATGCATCGATAGCGATATCATCTGTTTCATAAATGACGAAACATTGTCCACGAATATCATCAGGCCTTGTTTTCCCCCGGCTCTGTGCATGGAACAAGCGCCGCTATGGAATATGAATTAGAAAGACAGTAGGGTGCAGGTGGTGCCCTTACGTCGTCAGAAATGGCTCCTTTTGGTTTATCAATGCCACGGCCGATTTCCCGGGCAATGTCATTGTAGCGCCCAAAGAATCGAGTGATGACTTCAATGCACCTGCCCTTTTTAATTTTGAAGTCCTCGATCTGACCAATTTGATAGACACTATTATGGCCCGTTGAAATATACGTGAAGTCACCCTTATGATAGTTGACATCATTATGGGAGAATCCATCTCGAAGGGCTCGTGAATCAGTGAAATTTGATGCACGCTGCTTGTGACCGCAGGCGAGGCACTGTTTATGGTCGTCGCAAAAGGTGAGAAGTGTTTGAGTTTCCAAGTCTGAAAGCCGAACGAAACTAGACTCGAGGCTGTTGAACATAAGTCTGCGAGGTCGTGTTCAGTGTCGCGCGAAGCCCTGCTGAAAGAGGTTGCCTACCCAGAGTGAAAATCATTGTCGTCATCGAGAGTTGACTCGTCTGGCTGGAAACTGTCCATTGGCAGTTCACGAATATTACATTTTTGTGAGATGGCGTCAATCTCAACGTCGCTGCATTCGGAGAGCATCAGATAAAGCGCATGTGGATGTCCCGCTTCTTGGAGGAGGGTCTTTGAGCTGTGTGTATACCATTGCGCGTGGAACTTCTTGACGCCTTCGTCTTCGAAGAAGTACCGAATCACGCAAAACCTTTTAATGTAAACCCATCACAAATGACATAGCCGACGCATGAGGTCGTAACATACCAATAGTCGTTTGCGAGTTTGTTCGTCGACTGGGAGGGCTGGTACTTGTAGGATTTCGCACGAGCAGTATCCTCGTCTTCTCCAGGTACGACCATGACAGCATCTCCGACCTGACGCAAATAAGACATTTTTGTGGAGAAGCAAAGAAAAAACTTACTGAATACTTAACTTCGTCCACGAGAACGGAGCCATAAAAGCTGGGATGGTCATCCACAGGGTCCAGCCACTGCACAGAGTTCGGGTTGGTGGCATGTATTATCGAGGGATGTCGTGGCGCGTCGTCTAATAAATGCATGTCATCGTCCATGAGTTTTCCGGCAACCTTAATATTTTCGAATAATCGTTGTGCGACCCTACCGACGACAGGTGTTGTGACGGTTTTGTTCCTGTGCTTAAGAACTTCTTTCTCGATATTACCGGAACTCGACAAACGACTCTGGGGCGGACGCTGGGTACGCGAACGGGAGGCGGGAGCAGTTGCTTCCATCAAGTGATAAGACATTTCTTGGCCAACAATGTCCTTCACTACCGGAGTGCGCGCAACGTAGATTTTGTCATCACGAAGCTCGTCAAGTGTTGCAAAAACATAGGATTTCTGTTTGACGGTCAGAGAGTGATGCAACATACAGGAAACCTAGATATACATACAATGTCAGCAGATTGTATGTCATTCTCATTGAGCTCACGCCCGATGATGGTTAATGCAACAGAAACTTCATCGGGCGAGTCAGGAGTTATGTGAAGGGCAGAAATAAAATCTTCATAAGTCAACCGTGGGCTGGCCAGGGACATAGACACGAGGAGATGGGCGACTCGATGCCTGAGCCACAAGCCATGAAAGAAGGGAGCATATTGTTGTGAAGGAAGGTCGAGAATATACCAAGCATGTTTTGTTAGGATATAAAAATTACTGGATATTACCAAATGAGTTGCAAACTACGTCGGTATGATAGATAGATACTTACTCATCGAGTTCTTTAGAGTCGAGTTCTCTAGAGCGCTGTCGTATGTCGTGAATCGTGAACTTCCGGATCTCTGTCAAACGAATCCGTTGGAGGCAATCCTCATCGTTAGACATACCATTCCCATTATCCTCATCGTCGTAGTCATTATCATAGTATTCATCGTCATCCATATGGGATTTCACATAACCCGAGGCACGGTACATCTTGTTGTTCACCGCAAGATTAACGTTAAGTAGCTCAGCAATAGGCACTAGCTGTCGTTTTGCGCTCTCGTATATGGCGAAATCTGTTAATATGCGTATGGGTACACCCTCAGAATTGCCAGAGTCAGACTGTTCAGTGGGGTCGGTTTCGCCTATGACCTGAAAGTTCTCGTCCTCGTCATATTCGTCGTCGGGGGGTGTATAAATCAGGGTTTCTAGAACGAATGTCAGAGAGATGAGGTGAGACATTCAGATAGACGCGCCTTTAGGTGATTCGAGCTCTCTTGGTTCTGAATGCTGTTGCGGTGGCTGTGCCGCGTCGTTGAGCACGGACGAGTCGCGTATAACGAGAGTTGATTCCTCTGACGCGTCTGAATCCACCTGATCACAACTACCCTTTAATATCTGCTTGATATGACGGAGTGGCTAACTTACTACGAGTGAAAGTAACCTCTTTCTTCGTTTCTTTCTGGCGCGTGAGGACTGAGGCTCAGGCTCTGCAACTCTCTTCAAGGTTGTTTTCGAGGATGATGAACGGGTGGACATAGGCCCAAAGTGCCGCTTCTTAGACATAAATTACGCGTGGTGGGTAACGTATGAAGATAAAGGCTCAGGAGTAACAAATACCGACTATACCTAACCGAAAAGTTTAATAACAAAACGGGATGATTCTGGGGGTCGACCGAGAGCGATGTTTCCACCTTTCGACCACGTGGCATATAATTATCCGAGATAGTTGCTGGCAAAATCGCTTGCAGTCATTCCCAGTTGCTGACAACTGTCATGCGACTGCTCCTCCAGTTTCTTCTGGCTTTTTCAATTCAACAATGCATCTGTGCTTCACAACCAGCCAAGCGTTCTTATGCAACACACGATTATTATGTACTCGAGCATCACCCTTCCGCAGGCGCAACTCTAAATGAATGCACCGAAGAACTTGCAGTAGAGCTCATCGAGCAGGTCGGGGAATTGCAAAACGTATGGCTTGTGCGCTCCGCAAAACTTACATCCAGCGTTTCTCCAAGGACAGTATCAGATAGAGTCCTCGGCAAGTTCGAGGAATTGGTCACTCTTGCAGCGCATTCCACTAGTTTATATCCGCGGGCGGGTCGTCAAGCTCGTGCACACCGCATATTATCATCTATAAAATATTTATCACCCCAGATACCCCGCCAACGCACAAAGCGAGATGGTCCTTTCCTAGAACGTGCACCACCTCCTGTGACTCCTGGCGACTCTCAACCGAAAGCTTCTGAAATCATTGCAGAACGACTTGGATTCGTGGACCCCCTATTCACACACCAATGGCATATCGTTAATGACGAGTACCCTGAGCATATGATGAACGTGACGGGTGTATGGGAAATGGGCATCACGGGGGAAGGCATCATTACTTCGCTGGTGGATGATGGGTTGGACTACCGAAGTCGGGACTTGGCTGAAAACTTTGTGCGCTATACCTTGTTTGATCCATTTTGGCGCTGACTTTCTCAAAGGATGCTGACAACTCATATGACTTTAACGACCATACCGATTTGCCCACCCCAGTTCTTTCTAATGATAACCATGGCACCCGCTGTGCTGGTCAGATCGCCGCAGTCAAGAATGATGTTTGCGGCGTCGGACTCGCTTACAAGTCAAAAGTTGCCGGCGTACGCATATTATCTGGACCTATAACCGACAGCCGACGAGGCAGCTGCCTTGAACTACGGCTTGCATAACGTGTCCATCTTTAGTTGCAGTTGGGGACCCCCCGATGATGGCAGGTCGATGGAGGCACCGGGATATGTCATCGAAAAAGCTTTCGTAAACGGCATACAGAACGGCAGGGAAGGGAAAGGTTCAATATATGTTTTTGCCAGCGGAAATGGGGCTGCTCATGGAGACCAGTGCAATTTCGACGGGTACACTAATAGCATATACTCTGTCACAGTCTCAGCTGTAGACTTCAAAGGCCTACATCCATATTATTCTGAACCCTGCTCTGCCAATATGGTTGTAGCCTACAGTTCAGGGAGCGGTCAACATATCGTAAGCCTGCGATTCTGCACGTCGAAACCAGCTGAGGTTATTTGAAGGTCACTACTGACACCAACAACAAATGTTCCGACAATCACGGTGGCACCTCCGCTGCCGCCCCTAATGCAGCCGGTGTATTCGCTTTGGTCCTTCAAGTTCGGTAAGACTTTTATCCATTCACAGAACTTGCACCGACGAATCTTTCATGACAGGCCTGACCTGACATGGCGAGACATACAACATCTTTGCGTGAAAACCGCCCAGATGATAAACCCCGAGGATCCTGACTGGGAACCCATGGCTTCTGGACGGATGTACTCGTACAAGTACGGCTTCGGGCAGCTTAATGCCTACGCTTATATCCAAGCAGCGCAGGATTGGCAGCTCGTGAAACCGCAAGCGCGCTTTCACCCTCCTGCCGTGCAGATCAACAACGGTACTTTACTCACGGAGGATGGGGACATGGAGGGCGGGCAGCCGATTATCCCTGGAGGTATTACGAGTTCTTTCACGGTAACACAAGACATGCTTGATACGCATAACTTCGAGGGGTTGGAGCACGTGACGGTCAGAGTGTGGATATCGCATACCAAGCGAGGGGATGTCGAAGTCGAGCTTACGAGCCCTGCTGGGGTACGCAGCATTCTTGCAGCTAAGCGGGATGGCGACCACGCCACGACTGGTTTTAGAGGGTGGAGATTTATGTCCGTCAAGCACTGGTATGATCGTTATCTTCTCCAAGATTCAAGATTATCAAGTGTTTTTGCAGGGGTGAAAATGCAGTTGGCACTTGGACGCTCAAGGTCTCTGACCAATCTTCCGAAGGGCACAACGGAACCTTCTATGGTTGGCGTCTCATGTTCTGGGGCTCAACCATTGATCCCACTGTTTTAACAACCTACGTTCTTCCGCTTTCAGAGTATCAACTCCCTTCCATAGCTAACGATGACACAAATATCATCCCCACGTCGACATCCAGCAAATCTCACCCTAAGCCCACTTCTGGTCTTCCAGACGACCACGGTACTGCTGAAGGTGAAGCTGACAAACCTGCGTTCTCATCCCCGTCTGTACCTGCAACCGCAACGATGACACCCACACCAGACGAAGGGTGGTTTTCAGATATGTCTAACCTAGTGTACTAGCCAGAAATGGTTCTTCGGCGCTATTGGCGCAGTAGTGCTCTTCGGTGTTGGTGCAGGAGTGTTCTTCTGGAGACGCCGCGTGAAGCATCGAGCGTACGCTGCGCTCAGTGCGGGTGATGAATTGCAGATGAGCTCGGTCTCGGGGCAAGGCAGGCCCCGTGCCAAGGAGCTGTACGATGCGTTTGGGGGGGTATCGGATGACGAGGATGCAGATGAAGAGACTCGGTTGCATGGTGCAGGGTTTCACTCTGGGTTCTTGGACGATGTTGATCCATCGGCTGCCGGCCCCGCCCCCGTGTACAGAGACGAACCCCAAGGGGAGCACGATGCGAGTCCTGATATTAGATCTGTAAGCCCTGGAAGCGGCAGCGGCAGTGGAGATGGCAGCTGGGAGCATGCTTCTCAGACACATTGATATATATGAGTTTATGTCCTTTTTTCATTGTGGCGTTCTTTCATGAGCAGAGGATATAGGCTGCATCTGGTATTTCGTCAACACTACATTACATACCACTTGAGCATTACAAACGGATGCCAGGATACATCAGTATCTGCAACTGCTTGATGTAGAATCATCTTTACAACAGGCCACAGGATATGCAGCGACGATGATGTACAACTATGACAATAAATTTGGTATCCATGTAAAGTTGATGTAGATACGTTTTGAGATCAAAGTGGACAATACAGACACACGGGACTTCAAGTAAAAACACAATGCGCTAACTGCGAGCGCGAGCATCCTAACCATCATGCTGGTGCGATGACTGGGAGGGCTCCAGGTCCCATCGGGGAGGCATCCTCAGTCTGCCATGAGTCCAGCAGGAGAGATAGCAGAGGAATGCCATGAACCAATGCACGTTCGGGAGTGAGTCGGCGTAAGAGACCACAGACGCTGTGTCACTTTGCGCCGTGTCATGCGACACAGGCTCTTCTCTAGGCGGACGTCGGCTGTCATTGACTTTCTTGTAATGGGGCACGGAGGTAACAATGACACGCTGTAGAGTGCTAAACAACAAAAAGGGAAGGAGTAAGAAAATTTACCTTACCTCCGTAGCGTGCCCAGCTGCGACATTGACGACTTGTGGGTGGCCCGGATTGGGTATCGACCGACGGAAAGGAAGGCGCTGCAGGAATTGTGTGACCTTTTGGGGGTGATGTCCTGATGACGGGTATCCTTGCTGTGATTGCCTGCGAAATGGTAGTCGATTTACTATAGCCATGATCCGAGAGTGTGGTGCAGAGCGCTGTGACACTCCGTATGGAATATGGTTGGAGCGGCGGGGTGGATAAACCTGGAGATGGGCTCAGTCATGCTCAGGATGAAGCTAGACGAAAACTGACATCGAAAAAATTCGGCGGAAGTTCATCGTCTGGTGATGTTAGTTTTGAGACTGTCTCCTAATACGGGAATAATGTTTAGGAATGGTCAAGGAATGGTGAAAAAAGACGAAATTTGCTTGCCTGTTGGAACTGATTTGATTCACCTTGAGGAACTATCCATGTACGAACGAGCTTGTCGCGACAGCCAGTGGCAATAAGTCGGCTGTCCTCGGAAAAGGCTACATCCCAGACTTCATCAGGATGCTCAAGTGGCTCGCCGACGGGTTTAAAGGTGGTTAGGTCAAAGAAACGCGTTGTCCTGTCGTGTGACGTGGTAGCGAATTTTGTGCCATTGGGAGCAACGGCTAGTGAGACAAAGTTGTGGTCGGTGTGGGCGACAAACTGTTTGATGATGTCTCCGGTGGTAGCATCTGATATTCGGATGTCATTGGAGTCTCCACTAACGAGACGGAGACCATCTGGAGTGAATGCGATTCTAAATGCCCGCTGTTCTATTTTCAGCAATTCTTCTCCACTTGCTGGATTCCACATGATGATGTGTTTGTGGGTGCCCGCTACTAGTTTTGTCCCATCTGGAGAGTACGACACCGAGTATGCCCAGCTGCCTACTCGGAGTGGTCCAAGGAGTATTTCCCCCGTCTCCCTCTTCCATACGCATACCGTTTCGTCTATCGATGCGCTTGCAAATGTCTCGCTGTCTGGTGCAAACGCAGCGCCTTCAACACCACTATCATGTCCTTTGAACGATATCGGGACGCTCTTCTTTGTTGCAACTTCCCATACCATGATGCTTCCATTCCCTCCTCCACTAACAATCCAACGCCCATCAGGGGACGCTGCAACTGCCCAGAATACATAATCGTGACCCAACAAGGGCTTTCCTGTTTGTTTCCCCGTATCCAAATTCCAGACCCGAATACTTTTGTCTTCAGAGCAAGTGACGAGGAGACGGGTTCCAGGGATGAATGTCACATCCCTTACATAGGATCCATGGCCTTTGAGGAGAATTGACCCTTTGAATAATTCATGATGAGTGGTAGTAGATATCGCTAATACATCACTCAAGGAGGATAAGTCTCTGAATGGGAACGCGTCTCTGAAGAATGTGTCGTCTTCCTGAATCTGGGACGTCATTCGAGCTCCGACTCTGTTTCTGTCGTCATTAGCAGACATGTTACGAGGTGAGCAGACACTTACATGGGCTATGGTGAGTCGTGGTCTTGTTGCTGAATCTTCTGTCCTCGTTATTAAATCCATGTCTGCTTTGCTGTGCAGTAGTAGACATCGGAAGGGTTCCATCGAAGTTCTTTTTCACAGCGCCAGTCTAGGCCGGGAATCGAATCCAGAGTCATTGCGCCACTGCCGCAGACGCATGGTTTTCATTGAACTTTCTTAGAGTGATGGGCGAATTGGCTCACCCAGCAAAGCTCAGTGAGTAATGTATCATATCTAGCTCACATTGATCCCTGTTCTACCGTGCTCGTGGTCATGTGTTCGAGTCCAGGTTCACGTGTTGTATGGTGGTGCAGCTACACTGGCAGAGTCCATCAACATGAAGGGTACGTGTCTTCCCTTCAGGTGGGAGCGAGTACATTGATCCAGTAGCATTACGCCTTAAAAGTGCTATGCAATGAGTGTTTCCGCGTCTTTTCTCCACATGGTCTACCGAGGGCGCAGTGATTTAGCGTTCACTTGTTCTCGTGGAAGATGGAGGCTGGTTATCACGTCTAAAGACATATTCGAGCATTTTCGCAATGCACTCAGACTCTTGCACGACCACCAAAAAATCATGACAAGTCCCACTGATGACAGGTTGTCAGATGCAGACATCAAAGGCTGCAAGATCGCATTCTCACGAAGTGGTAGCACTGCCGACATGGCGACCGCCAGCTCGGGCTTTGGGATAGCTCTTGCACCCACGAACTACAGAACTAGATTGCAGGGCAACAAAGGTGGAGATATGTCCATCTTTTCGTTACTGGTGTTCGCACAAATGCTCACAGAAATAATCTACAAGCTCCCGAAGTGTTTTCATATAAGGCTAGTATTACGAATATTGGCTACATTTTGTATTTCGTTGACATATATTTTATACTCAAACGTTACGAAGAATTATGCATAGTGGCAAACCATACAGTAAATTGGCGAATGTAATGAAACGAACTTGCTCGATTCCTTGGTAGATTATCTCAATGTCAGAGAGTGCGATTCTCAACGTTCTACAGCTTTACATGCAGACTTTCACGTAAACGCATATCTGGGGCTCCGGTATGTAAACAAAGGCGGCTGTCGAGATGTCTATATGATTGGAAGGAGAGATTTCCATTTCAGGTCATATAATTACTCCAGTTATCCACACTTCGAAGTTCTTCCCTTGACGTTTGAGCATAGACTCCTAGTACGGGTATCTGGCTGCGCACCCAGACATCCTGTACCACCACAGCGCATCAACTCCCTACCAGAAATTATGATAAGTCTCACTGATGATGGGTTTTCAGATGCAGATATCAAAGGCCTCAAGCTCGCATTCTCACAACGCTGTAACACTGCCAGCGAAGCGACCACCAGCTCGGAGTTGGGAGTAGTTCGGGCACCAGCGAACTACCGAACTGGCTTGCGGTTCAAGAAGGAGTCGGGTACCCGTGAGCAACGAATCCCACCAGGTGGTATCTGGATGGAATCTCCAGTAGACGTCAAAGGAAAGGGCATCGCACGGAGCCTTGACTGGCATTTGGCTACCATGGCATCGAATGATAGGGAGCGTGAAGGTTCGTATTTAATCTACCGCATGAAGCACTACATTGACCATTTCTTGCATCCCTTTTCACTCACTCAAAATGCGATATTGCCATTCACATGAACGTTCACAGAAATGACTTACAAGCTCCTCGAGTGTCTGCCTCGTTCTGTACTTGCAAGTCTGCAGCGCAGAATGACCCCTTTGTTGCAGTTCGATATCGTCGGGGTAAGTCTGACAGTTTGTCTCTACCAGCCTTGGCTGATAAATCGATTATATTTTAGTCCCTTCCCACAGAACTCTCTCTCCTCATCTTCACGCATCTCCCAGCAGCTTCCTTGCTCGCGTGCTCTCTTGTCTCTAAACGTTGGCACACCCTTGCAACAGACCAAGGACTTTGGCGTCGTCTTTGCTATGCACACGGCTGGGAATGGCGCACGGACGTTGCTGCGCCCACACCCTGGGACGGACTTGGTGATGCAGATCCTGCGGATGCAATTCTTCGTGAAGAACGGGATGAAGATGAAGGTATGGGCGACGAAGAGGAAGATGAAGATGAAGGAAGTGGTGAAGGCGCAGGAGATGTCGTCGATTTTATAGGGGATGACTCGGTGGACTGGACGTCCATGCCGATGAACATTGACGACATTGAAGCACAGGGTCTATCACATCTCCTCATACCTCTCACTTCAACCGCATTATCGTCCTCTTCGACAACTGCCATCACTCCGATATCCCGTATCACATCACAGCATGGCGTTTTCCCACGAAGTACGCATCTTGCGCCAGACTACAGGCTCCTCCACCAGACGCACATGCTCCTCCACAACCGTTTTTGCCAGGGTGCGTATCGTAGGCGTATACTGCCTAACGCAGATACCGGTGGACACAGCGCTGCAGTGTATTGTCTTTGGTTGTGGACGTATCCGGCAGGGCTCGATGGTCGGTCCGCACCCCTGCAGGTGCTATTTACGGGTTCGAAGGACCGCACTGTTCGGGAGTGGGATCTGCGCACGGACCGCGTCCGGCGCGTGGTCGGTGAATTGCATGAGTCTAGTGTTCTAAGCTTATGCGTATCTTCCGACTTTGCGAAGTCGGGAGATGGAGAGGAGGATTTGGCAAGCGAGCCTAGTAGTAGGGCTGGTTTTCTGGTAAGTGGAGGGAGTGATAGGCGTGTCGTTGTTTGGGACCTTGGCAAGGACAGGTTGGTCAAGGTGCTGCAAGATCATCTTGACAGCGTGCTTTGTGTTCGTGTTGATAGCGGAAGGCTGGTGACGTGTTCTAAAGGTTTGTTTGATCTATAACTCTATCTATCAGTTGACTGAATGTTAACTTTCCAAGACCGGACCGTCAGAACATATGGATTTCCATCCTTGAAACCTCAATTCGTGTTTCGTGCACATCGTGCAGCTGTTAATGCTGTCTCCGTCGTTGGTGATGTGATAGTGTCTGGCTCTGGCGACCGTTCGATACGTGTTTGGAATGCAAACACTGGTGCGCTCATCAGCACCTTTGAGGAACACCATGCACGAGGGTGAAGTTCTTCCTGCATCTTCCGCTAGTAGATATGATTACTGAGATGACGTCTTCAGCATTGCCTCTATTGAGTTCAAGCCCCCATATTTGTTGTCCGGCTCCTCAGACATGCATCTGCGCATGTTTGACATAGCTTCGTCGCAAGGCTGGTCGACAAACCCTGATGTCAACAATATTCCCTCAGCCACGATTCCTACCTTTACCTCAACATCGCATTCCCGGGATAATATTGCAATGATACCGGGACAGGGGATAACGCCGTTCTTTCTGCATTCCTCTTTAACACGATCCATACCTGATATGTCACGGCCAGATGCGAACACTGTCGTGTGTCATGCTTGTGGGTCGCATGGATTAGCTGCACGGCGTGAGCAAGAGAGACATACCCATCTCGTGCGAAGCGTTGCCCTTGGGGAGGAGTTTGCTGTGAGTGGGAGCTATGATTTAACCATCAAGGTATGTTGGATGCAATTGTGGTGATTAAATGAGATTCATGACTCTGCGTCGACGCAGGTGTGGGACAGGAAGACAGGAGCGCTGGTTGCTGACCTGAATGGCGGCCATACAGGAAGGATATTCTGTGTAGGTTTTGATTGTACCAAGGTCCGTCCTCTAATTGTATTATTGGATTGATTGAATACTGAATTACGCAGATCGTTTCGTGCGGGGAAGATCAGGTGAGGAGTCTGCTTCTCTGCATTAACCAAGTAAAAGCTGACCACGTGCTTTACAGCGGATATGTATTTGGGATTTTTCTCATGGGATTGATACATCTTTCATCAAATTGTAGCTCTAGACTCATGCGATACCCTGTGTTTTGGAAGGCCTCCTCTGTGGAGCCTGTAGATTGTTTATTGATTGATGCTGTCGATGCCGTGTGTCCCGAGACGTTGTAGTTTTCGGACGACTGCCCCAGTCACGACTGTATGATGTCACACGACGTCATTTAGATTACGTGGTGACAGTACTTTCCAAAGCTCTTTCCAATCTTAGGCTTCGAGCACGCTTGCTAGGTATACGACTGCTTGATTCAAAGGGCAAAATGGATTTCTGTGTTCATCATGAAGAGATGTGTACGATATCGGCTATATGTGTGGGCATTGGATTCAATTCATCAATCATTTTGCACTTCATTCGTTTCGTTATACTTGATAGATCGCTCTTGCAAATAGTTTAGGATTGCGCAAAGATCTCATTCAGTGCGTTGACCGCTACTATAGGGGGGCTTCATGCACGTTGAGAATGCATTGGTAGAGTGGGTAATCGCATTGTGTCTGGCTCACGTTGACCAGACCATCCGGGTGTGGGATATAAAGACTGGCAAAGCAGTGGGTTATCCTTTTCGAGGGCACACAGGACCCGTTCTGTCTGTCGCAATCTCGCCTGATGGCAAGCGTATCGTGTCTGGGTCGGACGAGAAGACCATCCGGGTACGGGATGTAGAATTTCTGATCCGACAGCACCGATCACCTGAAGCACCTGCAATATGTTTTTCACACGACCCGACTCATGCCCTTCGTTCCGCCCTTTCCTTTGTTCCAGATTCCTGGTCTAAAACCCCAATATCAGCCCCACCCTCCTCACCATCTTCCGAGTCCGAGTCCGAGTCCGAGTCTGAAATTCCAGCCCCTTACGGCCTGAACGAGGAGGGATGGATTGTAGGTCCCGAAGGACGGCTTCTCCTCTGGATCCCACTCAATATCCACCCGGTGGTGTATGCCCCAGGTAACACGCTGGTGATATCCAACAATGCTCTGCAGCTGGACTTGAGTCGTGTCGCACACGGCATATCATGGCACAAGTGTCGTGAACAGTGGTAGGCTGTATTGCCTTTGCGGTTGTATCTCTCAGTCAGACTTTGGTTGTACTACGTTAATGGACTGAAGATTTATACACTACCTACATATTCTTACAATTCATGTTGCGCTCCATTCGTTTCATTTCGTACTTAGTAAATCGCTCTCGCAAAGCAGTTTAGGATTGCACGAAGATTTCATTCACTATGTGGACATACTTTTCTTTGATCGTTACTATATACTACTTAGAATTGCTTCCCGCATAATAGATCGTGCAAGAACTTGATGTGAGCTCACACCACCACTCGACAAGGGTAACCCCACTTCACCCAGCTTTGTCCTCTCCTCGTCAGACTTCATTGTCACTTTTTCTACATAGATAAATGACTCACCATATGTTGCAAGCCGCGCCCAACAGCATGGAACGTGGCATTAACCCAACTACCCGAATAACTTTCAACGAAGGTGAATTACAGGCAGCTCGGGCGTAAGCGGCTGCTCATATGCAATCAGCCTCTCCTGAGCGTATCAAGAAATATCTCACGACACACGTTTATCGGGAGGAAGGGTGAAAGAATAGGTAGACGGTGGTGATTGGAGATGAGGCGAAGCCACAGGAACATGCCGCTTCATGCGCAATGTCACAGATATTAAAACCTTCGTAGGCCAAACGGAAAACGAAGTTAGAAAGGTCGGAATTGATCAGTTGAAAATGTATTCACACCTATACGAAGTGGTAATAAGAATGCGTACCACAACGGTATTGGCAGGATGGCCCTGTTGACGTCTGAATCCACATTTTTTTTGGGATGGAAGACGATTATGATGGAAATAATTAACATGCGGTGAATGATGGGAGGAGGGCCTCATGCACGTTGAGGATGCAATGGAGCTCAGAGCAGGCTTGTGTTTCAAGAGGACAGATCGGCACTTCCGTTGTGGAAATGGAACTTCGAGGTAAGTAGTGTGTCATATATTGAACTGAATGCGAATGTGAAGGAAAGTTTACATCAAGCAAGAGGACTGCATGTAGGAGTACTCACCTTCAATAATTTACTACGTCTGACGGTTACTGAATGAGGGTTCATGTATCGTCCTGTTGGCACCCGTGGTACTCATACTGAACGCTGGACGCACGGTGCACATCGATCCGTGACGTCATTAATTGCTAACACACCCTGTACTGGCAGGCTGTACATTTTCTGCGCACGTCATCTTCTTCTTCGATGTCTTGACAGACTGACATTTCAAGTCGTCGCCCTTTAGGAACAAGTCAAAGATTTAAGATACACTCGACACATCTCACCTAACATACAATTCTGTAGAAGAAGAAAGTGCCTTGACATCAAGTGGTGGCGTAAACGGAGACTCATGCTCGAGTTCGAGTTCGACGCTAGTCAGCTGGAACATTAGTGGAACGTGGTGTTGGAGATTCGTTGATTACGTCGTTTTTTTCAGAAAACTATTTCTGTCTCTTGTCCCTCTGCACTCATTGCCACAAATCATGTCGTACCAACGTTAATAATATTTGCACACAACTAATATATAGTCAACTGCTATCACATTCGAAGAAGCACTGCGGCCAAAGACAGGACCGAACTAAATTTAGTCTAAGCCCTGTTATACTGGGCGATAGATCATCGATAGGCCAGCGGGACATGTGTCAAACTTTCTCGTCGAATATCGTATCTCCTGCGTAAGCTTGGGTGATGTAATCCGCCGGGTCAAGCATCGACAGAAATATCCTTGGCCATGATAAGGAAAAATGTCGGCGAAATCTTTTGTGACGTTCTTGAGTGTTAGTACCCTCTTGATGTTAGAGAGTAGAAATAGGATATGACGACTTGTGCAGATCATGATGAAGCTGGCAACACGAGCTCGCCATGCACACATGCTCTTGTAAAAAATAAGGGAGTCCTCCGAGCCAGGCTTGTAGCACATTTTGACGATATCGGAACTCTTAAGAGGACCAGTAGCATTGATAAGTGGCATGTCTCGAACGCGCTGGCTGAAGACAGAGTGGGACGCTCAGGGTGCATGCGTGACTGTTCTTGAAGCTCGGGGGAAGAAGTACTCCGTATATGCCGATATTGCAACAAGTCCAGTCCAAAACCACCGCTGGCAAAACTGGCGCTGAAAGACTGGCAATCCATCTATGTTCGATTGAAACCTTAATACAATTCATGATTTGTGAAGAGTATAAAATTATGCATCCCAATCTGCTACACACCGTTTCTGAACACTACGCAGGACCACCCAGATCTCAGAAGATTTCCGCAAGTAAACGAGCTCCCATGGGAGATCCACGACAAAATAAACATCCTCCGCGTTCCAATTTCTTCCCAGTTACGACTACATCAAACGATATGCTGAACGTCTTGCTTTGAGTTGCGCAGATATTCGCATAAGTCATGAGAGAATTCCGTGGCCGAAATGAGATGTCAATATTGGATGGAGTCGTCCAGGAAGGGTAGCTCGAGATCGAACTTGAGGCTGTTTCAATTTGTGAGCGGGACATGAACCAAACACATGCAAACAGAGGCGCGCTCAGCAGCTACTCACTGAATCGTTGTGCTCTTACTCGTGACTAGTCTGTAGTGCTGAACAAAGTGTTCTTTCAATACTATGACCCACGAGTACCACTGCGCGAGTGCTTGCACCTAACAATGGCGAGTTTTCCTGACGGTCTATTGCTTGATAAACTCACCTCGGTCGATCGGTAAGGATCCAGCATCACATGTGTATTGATATACTAGTCCAGCCAATCATCAATGGGCGCTTCAAAACGCATGTTCGGCAGCTGCCTATTTACACTGCCTATTCGCACTGACCACTCACCTCCCTCTTTGTTATCAAGAGAACTCTTAAACTCGCTTAACCCTCCGTCTAGGTTACTCGATGACTGAAGAGAATCCTTCTCGGAAGAAGCGTTGGGGGTTGTGGAAGCGAAGTCATTCAAACCCCCGTTTGGCAGAGGAGGGAGGCCAGAGGGCAGCCAGTGATGTATGGACTTCCGCTATCCCAGCTATGCTGCTGTCTCTGATCATAATTTTAGTCTTCCTCTCTCCCGCCTTCAAGCAATGGATCTCGTAAAGGAATATCACGGATTTTTCACAAGTCATTTTACAAGTCTGCTCGAAGCGCTCGACAGTCCCCCAACCCTGAACCCACGGTCGCAAGTTCCAGTGGTATCCCACCCGTCGAAACAATTCAGGTAAGTGTAATTTCAACTCTGCATGTTCGCGTGCGATAATTGCTCCTGCAGGATCCTTCACCTCTGGTCCCTTCCACTCTCAAACCGAATCCTGACCAGTCTTCCAATTCAGGCATCGCAAAGGTCAGTTCGATGATCCTTGTCTCGTCTTTTCGATAGTGTGCTGAGACCCATCATCAGGCGCAATTACCACCTGATACGACGCTTGTAACAGAAACGCTCGCACACGCCAAAACAGGTGTCGCAGGCATCAGCCCTGTTCGAGGAATTGTTCAAAATACTGCTTCAACAATCGGCGACCTACAGTCCGATTCTGATACGATCAACCAGTTCTCCGCGATTCTTAGTACCCTGAAGACGTTCCACGCCGTTGTTGACCAGATTGCAAATGTGCATCCGCTTATTTATACTTAGTACTCTGCTGACATTCATACGTAGCTCCACCCCTATGCAAAACTAGCATTGACTATCTTGACGCAAGCATCCAAGGTGCATTTTTTTCACTCTCTCACTACCGCGAGTTAATAGGGATGTCTCTGTGACAGATGATCCTCGATCAGGCGAACCTGGATAGTGCTGTGTATGATCTGCTCGATAAGGTCTCGAATGTGTATGTCTCGGTGATAGAAAAGAAGGCATTGGCCAACATTTCGTCCATGATTGAGATATACACAAAGATAGCAGAACATACGCTCAAGTGTGCGGAATTCGTCGTGCATCATTCGGAGACGAAGAGTTTCGGTGAGTTCACATCACCGCGTCGTTGTCTGGCACTCAATGTAATCTCTTTTCTTTTTGTACAGGGAAACGACTTGGCAAGCACGTCTTCAAGGACACGGATGCTGAGATTCGCAATTACAGTGATGCTCTCGAAGATCTCATGAAACAATTCCAATATCAAGCGATTGGTGATGCCGTGATCATGCTGGCAGATTCAGGTATGGATCGGCCTCCAACTCACCGTCAAACCTCTCTGACGTTCGACGATCCGTGACCTAGCCGAGGATCGGGATCTCAGGGACATGGAGTATGCAGCTCGTGCTGGACTGAATACATTCAAGTGTTGTCTGGAAGGTACTCGGAAAGAGCTTTTGACGGAGATCAAGTCCTGGATTGGCAGTACTGAGAAGGACGTGCCACGTGTCTTGTGGTTGTCTGGCACCGCAGGGAAAGGAAAATTGGCCATCGCCCATACAATAGCTAAATGGTCTAAGGACTTCGGGGGTCTGGGAGCTTGCTTCTGCTTCGACCGTACACGAGACGCGGATCGACTCCATGAGAAGATATTCACCACAATTGCACGTGACTTGGCTGACCACAATCCTATCATACGGAGAGCGTTGGCACATGCGCTTCACGATCACAATGAATTGAAATACACTGCAGACATCGCCAGCCAGTGGCAGGAGTTGGTCGTGGGACCGATACAAACGGCCTGGAATAATCAAGATATAGCTCCACCTGTCCTAATTGTTATCGATGCATTAGACGAGAATCGTGACGCAACTTCGCAAGAACAGATTCTTCGTTTACTTGCTGGAAAGCTGCGCGCTTCTTCGTTGCAGCTAACCAACCTTCCAGCAAACCTCCGTATTCTCATCACTTCTCGTCCACTCGGAGACATTCGCGACATCCTGGGCTCCACGCCACATCTTCGTCATATTCCCATAGATGATATTCCGACTGCGTCACATTCGCCTTTATATCTCCGACAAGCTAGCCGGTCTACGTGATGTATTTGACGACGAGCACTTCAAGATGCTTGCTGAAAAATCTGATGGCCTGTTTGAATGGGCTCGTCTCGCCTGCACATTTATCGGGTCGAACGAAGTGGGTGTGGATCCAATTGGCCGTTGTGAAGCTGTACTCGCTAGAACATCCAGCTCTCAAACTGGAACATATCTGCTGGACAATATGTATAGACTCATTTTGACAGACCTTATGCCGAAGGACAAGGGAGCAATCGCCATATTTCATTCGGTGATGGCGCAGATCGTTGCATCGCCTGAACCGCTCCCCATGGCTGCATTGACCGCCATACGACTACAATTTCCACGTAAAGAGGACCGTTACACAGTGAATCGGGTGATTGGGCGAATGGGCTCACTTTTGGCAGGGACTGCGGATCTTCAGACTCTGATTCGTCCCCTTCATGCATCCTTCTACGACTTTCTCACAGATCCATTGCGGAGCCAAGATTTTTTCATTGATACTTCATCGGTACAGAGCAACCTCGCCTTTGCCTCACTTCGGGTCATGGAGGGCGGACTTCGCTTCAACATCTGCTCCTTAGAAAATTCTTACTTGCCCAACTCCTCCGTCCCTGATTTGGACAAACGAGTGAAGAATTCTATTTCCACTCAGCTATCATACTCATGTCGATTCTGGGGCACGCATGTTAACTCTACGACCTTCGAACCATCACTCGCTGAGGAAGTTGAAGCTTTCTTTGATGGAGAGCGCCTTCTTTGGTGGTTGGAAGCACTGGCTCTGATGAAAAGCCTCAGCAGCTCGGTAGTGACCCTTTCATCTATTGTAAATTGGTTTTTGGTGCGTAGCTGAAGCTCATGCTTTTTCCAAAAAATTCTTACGAGTATTGGGGTGGTCGTAGGGTCATGCCGAGTTCACGCATGTTAGTAACGCCATCAGAGATACCCTTCGTTTCGTCCGAACTTTCGCAACCACCATTTTCCACAGCACACCCCATTTGTACTTGTCTGCTCTGCCATTCGCTCCAACGCAATCGAGAATGTTTCGCAAATTCGCCTCAAAGTTTCCTTGCACCCCCCGCATTGTCGTTGGCCATGTCGAAAATTGGCCTCCAATGGAGAAGATACTCCATGCGAATGCCATGGTTTGCTCGGTTGCACTGTCGCCAGATGGAAAACGGATCGTGTGTGGTTTATCCGACGGAACGATCCAGGTGCAGGATATGGATACTGGCGAGGCATTGTGCGCCCCTCTTCAAGGCCACACTCGTCGAGTTGTGTCTGTTGCATTCTCTCGGGATGGACATCGCATCGTTTCCGGTTCATGGGACAAGACAGTCCGGGTGTGGGACGCGAAGACTGGCGAGGCATTAGGATCCCCTCTCCAAGGCCACACTGACTTTGTTCTGTCTGTTGCAATCTCACCAGATGGAAAACGCATCGTGTCTGGATCGAACGACAAGACAATTTGTGTGTGGGATATGGAGACGGGAGAGGTTTTTGGTATACCACTCCAAGGTCACACGAAAGGGGTTAATTCTATCACAATCTCACTGGATGGAAAACGTATTGTGTCTGGTTCAGATGACAACTTGATCTGGGTGTGGGATATGGAGAGCGGTGAGGCATTGGGTGTCCCACTCCAAGGCCATGTCCGCCCTGTTCAATGTGTCGCAATCTCGCCTGATGGCAAACACATCGTGTCTGGGTCATACGACAGTACGATTCAGGTGTGGGATATGGAGACTGGCGAGGCATTCGGTACCCCCCTCAAAGGCCACACTGGCGCTGTTATGTCAGTCGCAATCTTATCGGATGGAAACCGCATCGTGTCTGGTTCACTTGACCAGACGATCCGCGTGTGGGATGCGAAGAATTGCGAGGCAGTGGGATCCCTTCTCCAAGGCCACACTGACTGGGTTCTGTCTGTCGCAATCTCTGTGGATGGAAGCCGCATAGTCTCGGGTTCGGACGACAAGACGATTCGAGTGTGGGATGCTGACGCTATTATGGGCAAGGCATCGGTTGCCGTCCTCGAAGACCACACTGATTCCATCAACTCTGTTGCAATCTCGCCGGATGGACGTTCCATTGTGTCTGGCTCAGATGATACGACGGTTCGGATATGGGATATAGAGACTGGAAAGGCAATGGTTTCCCCTCTCCAAGGGCACACTGAAGCTGTTCTATCAGTTGCAATCTCGTCAGACAGCAAGGGCATTGTGTCTGGTTCAGCTGACAAGAGCATCCGCATGTGGAATGCAGAGACTAGGGAAGCATCGGTTATTCTCCAAGGTCACACTGAGTATGTTCGGTCTGTCGCAATCTCGCCGGACAGAAATCGTATCGTATCTGGTTCAGATGACGGGACAATCCGGGTGTGGTATATTGAAACTGGCGAGGCATATACTCTCAGTGGGCACTCTGACTGGGTTCGGTCTGTTGCAATCTCATCGGATGGAAATCGCGTAGTGTCTGGTTCAGATGACCAGACAATTCAGGTGTGGGATATGGGGACTGGCAAGGCATCGAGTGGCCCTCTCCAAGGTCACACTGATTGGGTCCTTTCAGTCGCAATCTCGCCGGACGTGTCTCGCATTGTATCTGGCTTAAGGGACGGTACTATTTGTGTGTGGGATATGGGGACTGGCGAGCTATTGGGCTCCCCCCTCCAAGGCCACACGGGCTGGGTTAACACTGTTGCGATCTCATCAGATGGTAATCGCGTCGTGTCTGGCTCGGACGACCAGACCGTCCGCGTGTGGGATATGATGACTGGCGAGGCAGTGTGTTCCCCTCTTCGAGGGCACACAGGACCCGTTCGGTCTGTCGCAATCTTGCCTGATGGCAAGCGTATCGTGTCTGGGTCGGACGACAAGACCATCCGGGTGTGGGATCTAGAATTTCTGATCCGGCAGCACCAATCATCTGAAGCACCTACAATATGTTTTTCACCCGACCCGACTCATGCCCTTCGTTCCGCCCCTTCCTTTATTCAAAATTCCTGGTCTAAAACCCCAGTCCCAGTCCCACCCACATCGTCATCTGAGTCCGAAGTCCCATCACCATCACCATCACCATCACCATCACCATCCTCTGAGTCCGAGTCCGAGTCCGAAACACCAGATCCTTCCTGCCCGAACGAGGAGGGATGGATCGTAGATCCTGAAGGACGGCTTCTCCTCTGGATCCCGCTCAATTTCCACCCGGCGGTGTATGCCCTAGGCAACACACTGGTGATACCCAACAATGCCCTGCAGCTGGACTTGAGTCGTGTCGCACACGGCACATCATGGCACGAGTGTCGCAAGCGGTAGTAGGTTGCATGGCTTTCGTAGTTGTATCCGTCAGTCAGGCCATAGGCATGCACTATGATAATCGACTGAAGATTATGCACTTCCTACATATTTCCTACAATTCATGTTGCACTTCATTCGTTTCATTATACTCAATAAGTTGCTCTCGCAAAGCAGTCTAGGGTTGCACGAAGATCTCACTCACTACGTTGACATACTTTTCTCTGATTGCTACTATACTAGTTAGAAATGCTTCCTGCAGAATAAATCGTGCCAGTCAGAACTAGATGTGAGCTTGCACCACCACTCGACAAGGGTGACCCCACTTCACCCAGCTTTGTCCTCTCCTCGTCAGACTTCATTGCCTCTTTTTCTAGATAGATAGATGGCTCACAGTACGTGGCAAGCCGCGCACCGTGACATTATCCAACTACCCGAATGACTCTCGATGAAGATAAATTACAGGCAGCTTGGACGTAAGCGGCTGCTCGTATGCAATCAGCCTCTCCTGAGCGTATCAAGAAATATCTCACTTACTATGCACGTTGATCGGGAGGAAGGGCGGAAGAATAGGTAGACGGTGGTGATTGGAGGAGGTGAGGCGAAGTCGCAGGAACACGTGCGCAATGTTATCAGAGTTTTCGTAGACCAGAAGGAAGACAAAGTTAGCAGGGTCAGAATTGATCAGTTGAAAATGTATTCGCACCTATACGAAGTGGTAGTAAAAATGCTCATACGTACCGCAACGGTATTAGCAGGATGGATTTTGAATTTCTGTTGACGTCTGAATCCACATTTTTTTTCGGGATGGAAGACGATTCAATGATTATGATGGGAATGATTAAAATGTGGTGAATGATGGGAGGAGGGCCCCATGCGCGTCACGAGGATGCAATGGCTCGTGTTTCAAGAGGACAGATCAGTACTTCCGTTGTGAAAACGGAACTTCGAGGTAGCGTGTCATATTGAACTAGATGCGAATGTGAAAGGAAAGTTACATAAAGCAAGAGGATTGCGCGTAGCTTGAATGTTCTTCTTACAGCTACTTACAAGAAGTTAGGATGTTGTGGTTTCGAGCAAGAAAAGAGTCTATTATTAGAACTCACGCTCAGCCACACTGACCAGTCCGCTTTGGACCACATTCAACTCCCCCCGTCCACTCATGAAGGATTCTTAATGCTCCCACACGGCCGCCCTCCACTTCAAGAGCTCTAAACCAGGTGTGGGACGGGAAGACATGGTTGCTGGTCGCTGAACTGAATGGCGGCCACACAGGAAGGTCCGTCTTTTCTATAGAATTGTATTTTTGAATTTATGAAAATTGTTTCGTGCGGGGAAATTAGGTGGAGTGTGACCTTCTCCGCATTAGCCTGCATCTTGCAGAGGATCTGTATTTGGCATGGGATTGAACATCTTCCAGCATGCGATACCCCGTGTTTTGGAAAACCTCCCTTGTGGGCTTGTAGAATCCCCTCGGCGGCCTAGAATGCTGTAAGTACTGGGCGTTATAGTTTCATTTTGCCTCCAGCTTTGGGATAATGCTTGCGGCTTATAAGTCGCGCGACATCATCTATATAAGGCGTTATTCATCCAAGCATGTATCTAGCTGCAAATACCATGAACACACTCTTTGGTACGCTTTCTCGCACAGCTGCTCTTCGTCGTGCCCCGCTCGCCCTTCCCCGTTCGTCAAAGTTCCAAAGTTCTTTCCAATTTACTGCTCGTCCGGCAGCTGTAAACCTTACCCAAGTTCACGCACGATTTGCAGCAAGCTCCGTCTCCGGCAGACCAGGAAGCCAGAGTATCGAGCATGCGAAGCAGAATGTGAAGGAGGAAGTCGGCAACTCAATGGCAGACTGGGCCCGCTCGATCGCTGGTGGCGTGTTCACAGTAGACAGCGTCAAGCCAACAAAAGACTCTTTCGTACGTCGCCCTTTATGCGGATCAGGTCGTTCGTCTCATTAACCACAGCGCTTTGATGATCATTTGATGTAGCTTGGTATCACCACTGCAGTCGCCCACTCCGTGCCAACTCCCTATCTCGTCATGGGCCTCACTGGTGGCATCCCATACATCGCCTCATCTGCGACTACGGTATATCTTGCACACCAAGCGGGTCTCGCGACTATGGGTGTTCTCATAAACATGGACCCTGGTGTTGCCCTTAACATCTTAGATCAAGCACTCAACTTCCAAGTCCACTATGGCGCAGTCCTCCTGTCCTTCCTTGGCACGCGATCTCACCTCTACTCCGATAGCTTAGCTTATGTTATATTTAGGTGCAATACACTGGGGTATGGAATTTAGTGGTGTTGGCGGGCACAAAGGCTACCCCCGTCTTTTCCTTGGCATCTCTCCCGCAGTCTTGGCGTGGTCGACTATTACTCTCCAACCTACTTTTGCCTTGCTTTGGCAGTGGGTTGGATTCACTGCACTGTGGTATGCCGATAATAAAGTCACAGCTGCCAGTTGGAGTGAGTCTCCTTGTTTCAGGGTCGTCCTTCCCTTCTGACTTTGCCTTCTTCTCAGCACCAAAATGGTACTCCCAATACCGCTTCTACCTCTCTATCCTCGTTGGCACGTGCATCATCGGCTCCCTTGCAGGAATCTCCTATTATGGACCTGTAGCCGGCCATGGTCTTCTGTCCCATGACCTGAACATGATTCGTGATGAGCGGTCAGTTTTTTGTCTTCTTTCCCGTCCTGACAGCTTCTCACGCCTTTGCAGCAAACTTATCGAGCCTGAGCGTGTGGGTCACATCGGTGGGGACATCGAAGCTGTTTCAGGTGACGAGTCGAGCGACACATATGTTGTCATCCGCCGGAAGAACAAGAACGGGAATGCTGACGATGGAGCTAATGGAGAGGCTCATGCTCAAGAGTGATGTGTGACTCGTAAGATTGCTGCCACATAGCTGGATGTTGTGGAAATAATCATTACCATCGTTTGTACTTGTCGGCTGTATATTTGTACGTGTATCATACTTCTCGTTGTACTATCACTCCAAGATGAATCGAGTTTAATTTTCTTTACACATGTCTAATTGATCGATACGGTCGAGTTTTCACAGAGTCAGTCCCTCTGTCCTTATGATGCACATGCACGGCGGGCGGGCGAGCGGGCATTGCCTCTCGTCACTTGCTCGCCATGATTCACCACATGAGGCACGTGCTATGAAGTTGTTTCCATTGTCCTGCTTCTCACTTGCTCGTTGTCTCGTTAGCATATAGGGGCGTACTTGTATGATCGGAAGCGGAAGTCGTGCCGGTGTGCTATCGAGACGGGAAAGGGGTCTCTCAACACTATCATGAACCAGGATACGAAACCCGAGTTTCTGTTTCTCGCTGATCTCCATACTTACATTCTGTCCTTCCTTCCTTACCAAGATATTCTTCGGTGTACATCTGTGAGCAGCAATTTAATTGTTGATCCCCCTATGTGGTCTTTTGTCCTGACAATCGTCTCGCAGGTATGTAGAGACCTTCGTCAAACGTACCTGTCGTCTTCAGAGCTTCAATATCTCGTTGAACTCGGTGATTCACGTCGATCTCCCTCTCGATAACCGCACTCCCACTATTCCAGAGCGCCTACAACTCCTGAGGGACAAAGCTCATGCATGGTTCAATTTCAACACTCAACCTGTTGAAACAGTCGATGTTTCATTCAAGTGCATGTTTGTATATACAGCTATGTCAAATGGACATTTCTTCCTCATGGAACACCGGTCAAGTCCCATCTACAGGATCCAGGCTTAGCCAAGGTCTGTCCAATACTACCAGGGCCCTCACAGCAAGCATTTGACCGTGAATGGCGTCCGGAAATACTGTTCTCAGTTTCAAATGCACGCTACATTGACATTATCATGGACCCAATGCAAAACCTGCTTGCTGTCACATACAGTGTTCTTGAAAGGTCAGAGGTCTATATCGACCTTTTACCTTTGGATAGAGATGGTGTTCACCCCCAAGCTGCTGGACCGACACTGTCTACGTCATCAGGGCTGCCTGCATGCCAGCACACCCCTCGAAATTGGAGGTCCCAGAGTTTTGGGAGGCATATTGCACTCTTGGGCTGCCTGGTACTCAATGAGCCAGACAGGATCCTGTGGTGGTTGCATATTTGGGACTGGAAACACTCGACAACGTCCGATGTAAGTGAGCCTTGTTGATTGAAAGGCTCAATGACTGATGCTTTACTTAGAGTGACCTCAGTGACACTGTGTTTGGCGCAGGAAGCGCAACATCGATTGACTATCGCTTCCTTGGAACCAGCAGACTGCTCATGGTTGTCGGCATCAATTTGAATGTCTATTCAATCGAGGATATGTCCCAGGCACCACAATTGCTGGCATGCTTCTTATTGCCTGCACCTATATATAACGCGCATTTTTTTCCCAAATTACTCGGATGATGGTGCACAGAGGTCACAACCAGCAATGCGACAAAAAATATGGAAATCAGACCCTACTCATCAAGTAATATCCCTAAAAACATCGAAACATGTCATTGTCATTTACACCAAGATTTTCTTCGAGCCCAGCTTCCTTAAAGGGGCCTCAACATCAATACCTTGGGAGGGTTGGGGCCCTTTAAATGTTCGTATTTTCCAGCGCCTTGGGAAGGATTTTAATTCCGCTGCTGGGAGTCGAGTCTTAATGGTGAATCATGCCATTGACACAACAGCCAATACTTTTGTGGGTTATAGTTTGCTCATGATGGACTTCAGCCCATTAGCTATCAAGCACCGGCAGGGCCTGGGACGGTTAGTGAGAGAGTCATCTACAATAGACTTGGATGGAGAGTTGGTAACAACATCCCTGCCTTATGTCGAGGTTGTGTCGAGGGAGACACCCATTTATTACTCGGAGCTGGTGATATCATCAATCGATGATGGCAGAATTTATGCATTTCATTTTGATGAGCATGGTGTATGTCTCTTTCCTATTTCACAAAAGTCCAATCTAATTTTCGAACCGCTCGCAGGTTAAGGTCATCAAGGTTTGGGACGGGGTTTGAAGGGTGCTCCATTCATGGCAATAAATAAGTTCTACATGTAAGAGGAGTAGACTGTTAACGTCGAGGATGCAATATTACAGCACGAGATTGAACAGAAATGAGTAGAATGAAGGAGAGGAATTCTAATGGTCTAGTGGGAACGAGAAACAGTATGTCTGAGTCGAAGATACCTGGCTGTAGCTATGTGTGAACGCAGGGAAATATTTCCGATGATTCTTCTCCACTTGCAGTATTCCATGAATGACGCACCGGAAATCGGAGGTGTTTCCAAGCGACGTATCAAATGACACAGTGCGTATGAAGCAGAGGGAAATGGGCGGACCTTTACGGGTGAGCTGTGAGGTATACTCGGTGTTGAACTCCCAAAATCATGAGCAGGAACCGACGAACGCAAATCCGATATTCCAGACACTGCTTTCGTGTCCCTGGAACGAAATAAGTACTCTCTTGTTTGCTGCAACTTGTAAAATGAGAGGATAAGGTGAGATTGCAATCAGTTACGGTTTCGCAAAACTTGCCTATGATACAGCATCACTGCACGATTGTTTCCTAGCCAAATGTCGGAAATAAGTGCAGCACCGAGCCATGTAGATGTACAATGTACATTTGCAGCGAGCATCATTAGACACCATGACCATTTGAGCTGTGCTTCGGGATGTCATGTTAGCTTAATCGACTTCTCAGATGACGATAAAGCCATACCTGCCGGTCGATGCCTTCTGAGCTTCTCGCACTGCTGGAAATATCATTATAGCTTTGTGTTACGGACGCCAGACCTGTAGCCAGCCCGGGGGCCCGTATCCCGAATCCTGAACATCGCCGCTCGCGTGCAATTTGAAGTTGAGTTGTCTGATTCGGTTTGCAATTGGTCACCTCACTCTGACGCTAGAGTTGGCTTTGACACGTGAGAGGAAAGCCGAGTGCTATGCAAATGAACAGGATTTTCCAAGAGACTTTGTTGCCTTGTATGTGTAGAAATGACGGTCAGCGCGAAGCAGTGCGAATACGAAGTTGCCGGTGTCTCAGACAGAATGTTCTGGAGTAGTCACGATCACGAACTTGTAAACTTTAACTTTCAAATTCTTATAGTCGCCGCTACTCAGGCTATTGGTCCGTTCATCCCTCAGCACAACAGCCTCTGATCTCTTTTTCTTTATTATAACCAAAGATCCGAGCAAGATGGTCATGCCAAGTTCTACCGCGAACTGGCACTGGAAAAACAAAAATGTCACTCCATGGGCAAAGGAATGGTTCCAGCGAGAGCTGACAGCTATCGTGATCGAAGGAACCGAGGGAAACGTCGCGATTTCTTCTGTGAGGATCGATGAGGGTGATGTCGAGCTCGGCCAGCGCAAGTCAAAGTATGCATTCTGTTCTTTCTGCACTTTGCGCATTCATGAAGTCGTTTTGTCACTTCCAGGTTGATCACGATATACGATATTCAAATGAAGCTAGATTGGCAAGGGGCCACGAGTGATGGGACGGATGTAGCTGGAAAACTCAGTATCCCAGAAGTTTCCCATGAAATCACGCTGGATAAGCTGTCGGACTACGTTGTACGTTTCCCAATGTCCAATGCGAAGACCGTGAAGTTGATGTGTTTTGATCACAGTACAACTGGACGCTCGATACTGTTTCTAGTCCTGCAGTGGATGCGCTCTTTGCTTTCGTCAAGACACGTCTTCCACCTGCTCTCGAGGCCAAGTTTGCCGAGTTCCCTGCAGCTCTCATCGATACCCATGGGAAGGACCTTACTGTCAGCGGACAAGCTAGCCTCTCAGGTACACCAGCTCCTACCGAAGCAATTGCTGCGACGGCCGCATCGGCGTCTACGACCGTTCCAAAACCCGCCCCCGTCAAACAATCTCAAACTAATATTAACACGTCCAGTGTGGTCAAGGAAGCGACGTTTATGGCTGCTTCAGACGATCTTTTCGGACTCTTCACGGACGAAAGGAGAATTCCTTTGTGGACTCGTGCACCGGCTCAGGTAATTCGGGCGCACGTCCGTGAGCTAATCAGGCTGACATGCTTCCTTTCGTAGTCTGCAGCGCAAGCAGACACTGAATACTCGTTGTTTGGTGGTGGTGTCAAGGGAAAGTACGTGTCACTGACGCCAGGCAAAGAGATTGTGCAGACTTGGGCTTTGTCAAGTCCTACATGGCCATCAGGTCGGATATATTTCTTTTTTCGTATTGTGTTGGAAGCGCCTGAATTTCTGTTGTACCAGAACACTTTGCAACGCTGACGACGACTTTCGAGCAGTCGTCTGATTCGACGAAGGTGACGTTTACTCTTGACGGTGTGCCGAAAGGCATGGAAGACGAAATCACGAAGAATTTGGAGGGTTATTAGTACGTGCGCGTCTTCGAGAGTGCTGTCATGTACTGACTTTATTTACAGCATACACGGCCTCAAATCTATCGGGTACGTACAACTCATACCTTATACCAGACCTTTATCACCACCATCCACTCGTTCTGATACTGGCACTTCCTCCAAACCTACGAGTTCTGCTTCGTCAGCTGCGACGGCTCTAGGGATAGCCGTTGTGGTCCTTGTCGCGGCGTTCACCCTACCTTACCTCTCAATATCTCCGATCACCTTGCGTTCTTCTGCGAAATAACGTTATTTGTATACTGATAATGCTATGCTTTGCGGTTTTGGTTTTGATACAGGTTGGGCACAGTTCTCTGAACGAGTCGCCTTCATGCGGTGAAACGTCATTAAGTCGTGTCTGGGTGATCAAGAAGAAGAAATGCGCGGTGTAGGAGGATTTCTAGAGTAGAACCGAGCGTGGAACGATGTATAGAATTGGTAGAAATGGATACATTTGTGGATTTAGAAGCGGTGCCAGTAACACGTAAAGTCAGACCCCGGACCCCGACGTGAACAATTTTGGTCCTCGGTTGGCCCTCGGTTTGGTTGGCCCGTTCTTCGTCTTGACCTTCTCGTCGTCGTTTGCACCACCAGCTCTTTGCATACTTTTCCCTTCACCCATTTTCCATTTCGAAGTCATGGCTGCTGCAGCTGTCGAAGAAATCCGTGCGACGTCTTATGTCGGTTTCGACTCTATTACGCAGCAGATTGAGCACAAGCTTTTGAAACGTGGTTTCCAGTTCAATGTCATCGTCGTCGGTGAGTTTTGTGGTTGTTAATGTATCTACGTGGTTGAATGACACGTGTCGGGTTCAGGACAAACTGGTCTTGGGAAGTCGACGCTGATCAACACTATTTTTGCGTCGCATCTTATTGACTCAAAGGGTCGGTTGGAGTCGGACGAGCCTGTTCGGCAGACCACTGAGATTCAGGCTGTCTCGCATGGTCAGTCAGCATTTTCCAAGTCGTGTGGAACAGTATTGACGTCGCGGTCCTACTAGTTATCGTTGAAAATGGTGTTAAATTGCGCCTCAACATTGTTGACACGCCGGGGTATGGTGACCAGGTCAACAACGAGAACTGGTAGGTTCCTTTACACGTCTTTTTTGAACTGTCAATAATGGGTGTCTTGCAGTTGGGATCCTATCGTCAAGTACATCAAGGACCAGCACAGTGCGTATTTACGCAAGGAGTTGACGGCCATGCGTGACCGGTATATCCTGGACACGCGTATCCACTGTTGCCTGTACTTCATCAGCCCGACGGGACACTCGCTTCGTGCGATTGACGTCATTGTGATGAAGAAGCTGAGCGAGGTTGTGAACGTTGTGCCTGTGATTGCTAAGGCGGACAGCTTGACGTTGGAGGAGAGGGTTGCGTTCAAGCAGAAGGTCGGTGAGATCTTATGAACCTTTGTTCATTGACTGACCGAATTGAAGATTCGGGCGGAGCTGGTGTACCACAACATCCGTTTATACCCCTTCGATACGGATGAGACTGATGAGGAAGAGATTCAGTTGAATGAATCAATCCGGGTATGTGTATTTGTAATGCAGTTGGATCTGTACTAAGACCCTTTTAGAGCGTGATTCCCTTCGCTGTCGTCGGCTCTGAGCGGAGTGTGATTATTGACGGCAAGTCAGTGCGGGGCCGTAAGAACCGGTGGGGCGTTGTCAACGTCGAGGATGAGAACCACTGCGAGTTCATGCACCTGCGAAACTTCCTTACACGGTTTGTGATGTATGCCGATTTTTGCGGGACCGCATGCTCACGGATGCTTATAATAGAACACACCTACAAGATCTAATTGAGACGACAGCCCAGATCCACTATGAGGCGTTCCGTTCTAAGCAACTGCTCGCTCTCAAGGAGGGAGTACAGCAAAGACCGCCTACCAACCAATAGAGCGCTATTCCCCTGGTTGCGATGTGAGTGGCACTGCTTGAGATGGAAACATCGACTAAGGGAGCACAGGAAATTCGAGACCGTGATACCCTGTTGGTTCCGTACTAGTTTTTGCGTTCGTTTGTTTTTTTGATGGATTTTTTACTCGTTGTGTCGTCGTCCACCATCACGTTCATTTTGCTCTCATACCTTAATATAAGCGATTGGTTTCTGCGTCATTTAGATTATTAATAAGTGAGTCATTTACGTAATCCCGAGGCGGCCGGATGAGCTGGCTGGGGGTAAGAGAGGGGCCCGACTCTCAAGCTCAAGGCACGAAAATAATGAACTTGACTGGATTGTAAGTACGTTTTAGAAATAGTTTGAAACTGGGAGTCAGCGGACATTTAGCGTGGGTCATCATTAATGCATAATCAACTATCGGGCGCTGCTTCGGCATAGTACGTTATATCCTATGACTCTATAAACAAATCCACTTCTTTCCATTAAAATACCTCCTCCTTTCTCCCTCCTCCGTTCATATGGCAAGGCATTGCTCTACCCTTACTGCCTTGTACAACAAGGCGGTCAACTTCAACGTAGAGTCATTGTTCTCCCGTCATCCTGGCCCAGGTATCCCTCGCACCGTCTTCTTTAACCAGAATCTCCCAGATAGTTACTTCGATCCAAAGGGAAAGCCAAAGAAAGAGCATGTCTACCCCACTAATCAGGTCATCTCATCCAAGTACACAATCATAACATTTCTGCCCAGAAACCTCCTAGAACAGTTCAGGCGAATAGCGAACATGTACGTCTCCACTCTGCACCGCCTCGCCTCACTCCGCTGATTCACCACATCCTACAGCTTCTTTGCATTCATAGCAATCCTACAGTTTTTTCCCGAGTTTTCTACCATATCTCCAGGTCTGGTAGTCATACCCATCCTCATCGTCCTTAGTATCACCGCTATAAAGGATGGCTACGAGGACGTCAAGCGTCACCAGTCAGACCGTCACGTCAACCACTCTCAGGTTCGCGTCCTTGCAGGTGGCGATTGGGTTAACCCGAATATCAACGGTAGAAAAAGTCGAACCTTCGTCAGGGGTATCGTCCCAAAACGCCGTCCAAAACGAAAAGATGTCGAGGAAGGTGATGCAACCAAGCAGGATCCCAATATCGAGTACGACCATACGGATTCCATGGAGGAGGGCGAACACCATCTATTTGGCCATGCCGGCGAAAATATTAGGCCCCACTGGCACAAGACAATGTGGGAGGATATTCGGGTTGGCGACTTTGTCAAGATCATGAACAATGAGCCTATTCCGGCTGATCTCCTCATATGCGCCACCTCCGAGGAGGAGAACGTGGCATTTGTAGAGACGAAGAACCTTGATGGGGAGACGAATCTCAAGTCCAGAAATGCATGTCCTGCCCTTACTGACCTCCACACTGCTGCCGCTTGTGTTTCCGATCTCAATGCATTCTCTATCGATTGCGATCGACCGGACACCAACATGTACAGATTCAATGCTACCGTTACCCGCAACGGAGAAAAGTCCCCAGTGGACTTGCAGACCGTTCTTCTTCGTGGCACGGTACTCCGGAACACTGATTGGGTCATTGGCGTTGTTCTTTTCACTGGCGTTGAGACAAAGATTGTTCTTAATTCCGGTGGCACGCCCAGTAAGCGGAGTCGAGTGGAGAAGCAGATCAACCCTCAGGTGTAAGTCTTTCTATCTTGGGTCTCTTCTGTCCCTGAATTTGCTTTCAGCTTGGCGAATCTAGCTATTCTGGCTATTATGGCAGTCGTGTGTGGCATCGCTGATTCCACGATCGAAGCGGTTAAATATCCGGAGGGTGCCCCTTGGCTATACGATGATGACAAGTCCAATGATAACCCAAAGATCAACGGACTAATCACTTGGGCGTTTGCGTTGATCACGTTTGTGTTTATGATCCTATCATTTATCCGAAACTCATCAATCATAACAGGTTCCAAAATATTGTACCCATATCACTGTACATCTCAATAGAGTTCGTGAAGACGTGTCAGGCGCTCTTCATCTATTTCGATTACGACATTTTCTACGCAAAGAAGAACCAACCGACCATCGCCCGAAGTTACAACTTGTCCGATGATCTTGGGCAGATAGAGTACATATTTTCAGACAAGACCGGTACTCTGACACAGGTGCGCTTGCTCGGCTCATCTGCGTCCTCGTTTAACGCGATTTTTTAGAATTCGATGGTCTTTAGAGAGTGTTCCATCGCAGGAACGGTTTATCACGGCGATCCTGAAGAGGATGACGAAGACGAAGACATCAAGAAAACAGGGAACAGTAAGGAAATCATTCGTGAAACCAGCAACGACTCCTCCTATGCTTCGACCTCCGTGCGCGGGGATGATCCGGCCGCTCCATCTACTCCGGATGCCACTGTTGTCAAACTGTCTAGTGGGGTCCTCAAGCATTTCAGGGATGAGCGCCTCTCGCAAGATCTCGCACGTGCAGTAGAAGCCGAGCCAGATTCAGAAAACGCTGCACAAGCACGCTCGCTTAATGGCTTTTTCTCCGTCTTGGCACTTTGTCATACTGTTCTCACTGCTGTCGACCCTGTGACGGGCGCCATTGAGTACAAAGCGCAGTCGCCTGACGAAGCTGCCCTCGTTCAAGCTGCCGCGGACGTCGGCTTCATCTTTCGCGGACGTGAGAAGGAGATATTACTTTTGCAAACGCCTTTCTCGAAGGAGACAGAGCGGTATGAACTGCTTGATATCCTGGAGTTCACAAGCGCACGAAAGCGGATGAGCGTCATCGTCAAGAAACTGGATGAAGAAGATGGGAGGCTGTTCTTGCTTACGAAAGGCGCGGATAACGTCATCTTTGAGCGGCTCAAGGCTGGTGGAGATGATTTGAAACGGACGACTGAGGCGCATCTGGAGGACTTTGCGAATGCTGGGTTGAGGAACGTTGACTCTGGCATACAAGGTTATTCAGGGTAAGTCGCATCTAGTTCCTGTTTCCCTCAGCTAAAGGCTTTGTGCAGATGATGAGTACGAGGCCTGGTCTGAGCGTTACCATGAAGCTTCTACTGCCCTGGAAGATCGTGAAGACAAAGTCGAGGCGGTTTGTAATGAGATGGAGCGCGAGCTGCGACTGCTTGGTGCCACTGCTATCGAAGATCGTCTCCAGGATGGCGTGCCAGAAACGATCGCTGATCTCAAGGTCGCTGGAATCAAGATCTGGGTCGCTACCGGTGATAAGCTGGAGACTGCCATTGGTGCGTATTCCTTCTCCTTTTCAGTAGTCCGTCTCACAAATATTCGACGCAGCTATCGGGCGCAGTACAAATCTCATCGCCGATGAGTCCAATATCATCATCATCCGCGGTAACGACCGCCCAGTTGAACACCAGATGATTCAGGCGGTAGAGGAATTCTTTCCGGATAGCGGCATCCTCGACGAACATAACATCGTGGCTTCTCCATCTAAATCACCATCAACGGAATCAGCTAGTGCTATTCCTATGCGGAGGCTAAGCATTGGAGTCCGTGATATCGTCGGAGATGACAACGGTGATCGACCTGGAGGATTTGTACTTGTCATTGATGGAGCTGCACTAGACCACGCCCTTCCGAATGACGAGTACAAGGCTCTTCTTCTCCGTCTTGCTACCCAATGCGAAGGCGTCATCTGTTGTCGTGTTTCTCCGCTGCAGAAAGCGCTTGTGGTGAAGATGGTCAAGGACGGTCTTCGCGTGATGACTCTTGCTATTGGTGATGGCGCGAACGATGTCAGCATGATCCAGGCTGCGGACGTTGGTGTCGGCATTAGTGGTGAAGAGGGTCTGCAAGCTGTCAACTCGTCGGACTATGCTATCGCACAGGTATGTGATTTGGTTTGGTCTTAGACATGTCGCTCATGATGAAATAGTTCCGGTTCCTCAAGAAATTGCTTCTTGTCCACGGTCACTGGTCTTATGCTCGTAACGGGATTATGTCAGCTCGTTCATATCTGTGCTTAACGCTGGTGCTGATAATTTTCGACTATAGGATTGTCAACTTTTTCTATAAGAATATTGTGTGCATTGGTGTTCTGTGGTGGTTCCAGATCTATTGTGGCTGGAGTTCAGCTTAGTGAGCCATGCTCTTTCTCTCAATTCTGCGTAGCTGCTGACTCCTTTTTCCAAAGCGCATTCGAGTATACTTATCTGTTATTCTGGAACTCGTTCTGGACGATTGCTCCTGTCCTCGGAATCGGTCTGTTCGATCGGATAGTTGGTAAGATTATATCACTAGACATATGAGGCGCGGGTTCCTAATGAGTTACACAGATGCCGACGTTCTGATGGCCTTCCCTGAATTGTATCGCTATGGTCGCGAACGGACTTGGTTCTCTATGAGATCGTTCCTCATCCACATGATTGATGGAGTCGTACAGGTACGTTGCACCTTTCCTTGGATAGTATCACCTCACTGACATCCATGCAGTCTGTTCCCATATACTTTATCATCACCTATACATACTTCACGACTACTTCTCGTACTGATGGATATAGCATCGAATTGTACGAGTATTCGACAGTAAGCTTTATTCATCCCACTAATGTTATGTTGTTGATGGTAATTTTCCGCAGACCATGGTTTTTGCCACCGTTGTAGCTGTCAGCTTGTTCAATGGCCTGAACACGAATGTCTGGACTGCCTGGGTCTTCTTTGCTGTTTTCATCGGTATCATTATTCTCTGGTTATTCACGGTGAGTTCCTAACGCTCTTTCTGCCACCTATGATACTGACGTCTCCACAGGTTGTCTACGATGCAATTAGCCCGGGATGGACAGTGACTAACGTCTATGGCAACAATTACTACCTGTTCACGTCGGCCTACTTCTGGTTGAGTCAACCCCTCGTCATCGCCATCGCTCTTCTTCCAAGATACCTATATCGAGCATGGCAATTTGGCTATGCACCTGGGGACCTAGAGATGCTACGCTACATCCGGAAGACACGACCTGATCTTGACTTGGCAACACTCCGAAGTGAATCAATGCGCTCCAAACCGTATGCGTCTTCAAGACGGCGTCCGTCCTCACACATGTCACGAGCGTCGATTGCTTGTTCCAGCGCCGATAATTTATCATTGGATTTACGACCAACACAAGATCCTCGCGGTGCGAGCCGAACAGACATGTCCACTGGTATTCGCTCCGTACACCGCGGATTTGACTTTGCGACGGAAGAAGGTGGCGTCGCAATGCGACGCATGCAAACCAATCTGTCAGAGCGGAGACAGAGTAGCCGTAACCTGCCTTCACTACGACAGAGTTCGCAGAAGCGCAGCATACGCTTGTTCTCCTCTCTGCGCCGCAAAAGGTCGCCTACTCCTAAGAAGGACGACTGATGTTACTGTCTGATTTGCATGCCATGATTCACTTTACATTTTATTCATTATTCATCGCATTGTGCTGCTCACTTATCGCGCCCCCCTTATTCCCATTTCACTTGTATGGTCATACTCACTGTATTCCTCACCCACTATTTACGACATCTGGTATTTGCTATAACACCTCGACAACGACACATCTCATGAATATATAGATATCGGAACTAATACACTAACTATATACTGGGATGTAAAGGAAACAATAAATATAGGACGAAAAACGAGATAATAATGGATGATGACATATATAGGCCTTTCAAGCTTCAGGACTGTCGCTGTCATGCGAGAACTTGATCTTCTTCCTGGAGCTAGGGGTAGATATAACGACTTCGGCCATGAGCTTACGCTTCTTGGACGAATGTGGAGGAGTTGATGGTTTGATAATAGCAGCTGCAGGCATACGATAAGGTATTGGAGTGTATACGGAGGGTCGTGAGCGAGTATAGTCTCTAGAAGAAGTTCCTTCGTCTTGGACGTCGTCCATGCGCGCGGGGAATGGTGCAACGGGCAGAGCATCAGCGTCATCCTCAGATTCGCACATGCGCTGCACCTCCTCCTCTTCGTCATCGGATTCGACAATATCCTTGGCTTTGCCTCGCCGCTTCTTCGTGCTTCCCTTTGACTTGCCCTTCTTCCCCGTCTTGTTTTCATCCCCTTTACCCTGCTCGTGAACTAAACACAACTCCACTGCTGTTCCAGCTCGGAGAAGGACGTCGATCCAGAGCTGTAGCATTTATGAACGTCAGATGAGATACGTGCGCGGGGACTCGTTGATAATGACCTTTTGATTTTCCTGAAGACTATCACCTGGGCCCTTAACCTCAACGAACTTGCATTTTCCTGTATTCGCATTCCACACACAGAGATCTGGCCCGCCAGAACTGCGCCCAGCGTAGTCTTCACAAAGAATATGACATATCATAGACAGCGCCGTCCCGCCAAGACACTACAACTGCGTCAATTATCAGCCTGCTCAGAACGGAATTCACACTCACACGAACTATCTCTACGATCTCTCCTTTCTCTACCAATTCCCAGTCTACACCTACGCACCACGTTTTACGTGCTCTATGCTCTGCTTCTACTTGGTTCACAATTTCCTCTCCTCGTCCATCCTCGAGTTCCTTGAGCCTTGTTTCGATTGGATCTCGCCGGGCATGATAGAATGCGTCTTCCGCAATATCCAACGGTGCGGTCTGGAAAGGGGTCTCGAAGGCACCGGGGATGGGAAGAAATATGATATCCCAGAAGAGAATACCAAAGAGGGTAGTGATGATTCTAGTTTCTGAGTGTATGCTGCAAAATTGAGTGCTCACGAGGGTGGAAGACGACAAAGGCGAGAGATAGACATACCCTTTGAACCCCTGGTCCTCGTACCATTGTAGTGCGAGTGTTTCAACATTCACTTCTAGGTTATCTCGTCCAACCCAGATCGACTTTCCTTTCTCCTCTTTCTGTCCCCTTGTCTAGGAACAGATCAATATCTGGTTTCTCATCCTACGAGAACTCACCTCGACTTTGATCGAGACAGGTGTCGCATCCACCTTTGTCACGCAAGGCTTTTTTGGCGACAAAAATTTCGTGATGTCTCCCGCCTGAGTGATATAGACTTTTGGTTTGGCGGTGTCGATGATGTTCCGCCCAGAACGGTCAAGTTTCAAACTCGCTGCACGGTGGCGCACGCGTACTCCTTCAAAGGAGACCGATACGAGGGGTTGAAGGTTCCATTCGCTTGTATGCCGATCTGCAGGCTCAACTTTGAGCTTTTTCTCGAGGGCTGTCAAGCGGCGGTCAAGTTTGGGACGAAATACTATCCAGTCATCAGTCAGGATGCAATAGCTAGTAGCTTCAGGATCCCAACCCACCAATATGCGTATCGTTGTCTTTTAGAGCCTCGAGGCATGCCGAAAGCGCATCATCATACCTGACTACATATCTTTCCAGGATCAGCGCCCGGCGTTCATGCCACCTCCCCCGTCGTCCCCGACGCCACCGCTTCTGCGCAAGCAGGGACTCGAGAACACTGAGTTCATATTCATATTCTCCGAGAATACCGAGCGCATATGCACCTTTACAAACGAGGCGAGTTAGGACGTGCCCTACAAAAAAATTAAGCAAGTGGGTATATATGGTGAACGGAATATACATACCGCTCTCAAACCTTTCCAATCCATACCCCCTCTCTTTCCCCTCAAGACCACCTTCACTCTTCGTCTTCACAAGAGCCTGCCAATGTGGGTACACCTCCTCGAAGATCTCCTTTACTCGCCGCGCCCCAAGCACACGCACAGAGTCTGATTTCTCAATCTTAACAGACACGCCAGGTCTTGATTGTGGCTTGCCCTTGCAATTTGAAGCAGGCGTTGCAATGGTATCCGACACAGGGGTCTGCACAGTCTTCGTAGAAATTGGTGTCTGTGGTGCTCCAGGTGCAGCACTCGGTGTTACTGGTGTCTTGAATCGAAGTTCATCTGCGGCCGGAGTCTTGAATTCCCTGTCGGTTCCCACTGCTGCAAAGTTCCCGGCAAACGCCGCGTCTACAATTTCTTCTTGCTCCAGCGCTTGTTCGTAAGCGAGAAGGGCATTGCGTGTTGGCCAGATATCCTTCGTACGCGTAGAAGCTATGTTTGCATAGGAGCGCTTCTTAAACCGAGACAGCAGGGCAGGCAGAAGAAGACTCTGGGAAGATTGAGTCCTACTTATGAGTTAGATTGTGGTGTAGACAAGAAAAATAAAATAAAAGGCACAAGAAACTATTGAGGGAGAAGAGGAGACGCACATCCTGAAATAAATTATGTTTGCCCGCCTCACAAACCGGTGAAAGCTCTCGTGCACACGCACACACTTGCCGAGTGTACCGAGAACAATATCACGCAGTCGTTTCTGGGCTGTCTCGCGACCGAAAGGGAGAGTAGTTTGTCGGAAAATGGCTGTTGATGATGTAGACGTTGCAGAAATTTTGGATGTCGATCGACTCTTGGACGTCGTCGTAGCAGAGGCAAATGATGATACTAATGTTGACTGCATGCAAGAACCTCTTAGAAGAGCATGTATCATTTCGGGCTGTATTCATGGAGATTCAGAAGTTCAGGGCTAGATATAACAAGGGTTACGAGGACAAACTTTCGAACTAGCTTTGACACGCATTTGCTTCGCGATGCACCGTAGCTCGTCGACTCTGAGACACTCGAGGAGGGCAGGAAGGTCCATTTGAGATTCGTCTTCTGCTAGGATGCCTGCAGGCTCTGGTATTGTTTCAAAGTGGTTCATAAGCTTGGTGTCAGCCATAGGAAGGTCTTCGAGTTTTATGGAAGAGGGACCAGCAATAGTATTTGCAGCAGAGAACGTTGCATCTAAAGGTATTGGGACTTCTTCAGTCTTGATAGTAGAAGGTATATGTGGTGCGGGTTGATACAAGTGTAGCGCATTTTTTTCCTGAAGTTGTGGAATGTGTGAAGGCGGGAAATGTGATGGGGAGTCATCATCCGCGAGGTCTATTATTTCCCTTTCCTCTACGCCCATATTGGCGGCCTCTTCGTCTATGGCGTCTACTTTGACTTGACCTGGTACAAAGCACATCTCGTTGATAGCTTGAATAAGACCTTCTTTGCTACCTATTTCAGCTTCATATTTGAGCGAGTCTAGACGGTGCCATGCATTAAATTTTCGCAGGAGAAGCCTCGTCATAAGAAACTTTGCATTTGCTATTCATCACTGAGTTTAGCTTATGAAGTAATGAAAAGTAAACATACGCGAAAGTCTGTCGTATCTTTGGAAGTAATCAAGTTCTGGAAGGTCGAATAAATGTCCCTCAGTCTCTACCAAAGTCCTCAGCATGTCTGAACGCGTCTTCAACATGCATAAAAATACAATCTTGACACATGACACACCTTCAAAAAGTTGGACATATACGTTGACCTTCTTGTCAGATGAATCTCCTGTCTCGTGGTCCAAGTTGGAGAGCTTTTCCAGGCGCTCGCCTTCGCATATTTGGGTTTCGTATGAGTAGTCGCTTCCATTTTCGCCACCAGAAAATATGAGCGTACTAACTAAGTCCGCTTTTGGTGAACTTGGGCTCATTGTCGGGGTTGAATTGATGTGGGGTGTGTCCGAGTCGATGTCTCGCAGACGTATCGCGATCACGTGGCCCACCATTTGTCTTAGTTCCCAGTTAGGAATCGTCTACGTACATGGTCGCGGGCCCTTATACTACTACAGGGTTCGGGCTTCTAATGGAAACGCCCTTCTTCACTGCACACTCAGGTATGTGCTCACCACGCATCAGAGGCCAAGCACCCATGGTCATATGCTTCGTATTTACAAGTTCACGTTGATGACGAGGACCCCACGAAGCTCTGGAGGTTTTTCCCCGTGTAAATAAAACGGTGGGATCATGATTCGAGTTGGCGAATGGCATACTCAGTAAAGCTCTGTTGTGAGTCTTTGGTTGTTTGGGGCCGTGTCTCGAGGGGATGTGGAGTCAACAGCTCAATATATCACTGACTGTTTGCTCGTGTGGGCAGTCACTGAAATTTGTCGGTCGTATAAATACAAGGTCAATTTCGCCATCATGCACTGGCTCGTATGGTGCCATGCATAGTCTGTTCTAGGCGTACAGAACCCGGTCAGATCCGTCAAATTGTTCAGTGGATTGGAGAGAAGCGGGAAGAAAGGATCGTACAACATTCTACTGGCTATACTACAGCGGTCCATCTCCCAAAAAATCAACCTGAGGGATGCTCAGTACCCTCTCCTCAGCCTATCATTTTCTTCCCGCAACTTCACATTCTCCCTCAATTTTTTCACTTCCTCACCCCACCCCTCCATCTCCTGCCGAAGCCCGCGCCCCATTCGCAGCATGTCAACGTGTAGCGCTTTTATGTCTGCGTGGTTCTTGGTCTGCATATCTGCGATGAGCCCCCGGAAGAGCTCGTATGCCCCACCTGCACCAGATTGCATAGGGAACGCGCCTGAGTTTCGCCTAAGTGGTGATGGAACCCAGGTCTGTGCCACGGGTCGGCGAGGAGAAACTTGCATCGATAGCTCGCGCTCGTGGGCAATTTGCACCTCTTCGTCTTCTTCCACGGCGCCTAACTCACACTTGCCAGCATCTTCCGCACACACATTGACCTTTTTCTCTTTTCCTTTATTCTTACTTCCCTTGGACGTTGCGATACCAACAACACCAAGCCCTGTGCTCCTCATCTCTGTTCTCGTTCTCCCTGCACTTGTTCTTACCCTTGGTTTCTGGCCTTCGATAGCTATTTCCACCGTCTGCCTCTTCATGTTAGACACGGGAGTTACGGGGTCTATCGGCAAATCTGGAGACGAGAAGTTTGTACGTGCATCCTCGTCTTCATTGGTGGGCGTCTTTGAACGAGCGCTGTTCCTCGTCTTGGATGAAGATATCGATATTGTCGATGAGGCGCGCTTTAACGAAGACCCTTTGGTTTTCGTGCCGACACCTAATATCGACGACGTCCTTGTAATCTCAGAACGGGCAGATGATCCGGAAGCAACCTTCGTCTCTCTCGTTTTATCTGTGCGCATAGAGGCCAGTCTAGCAGAGATCGACTCGGCAGGATGCGCATGGATATCCGAAAGCCCCGATTTTTGAGAAGATGCGGCCCGTGTATTCGATCGCATTGGGGTGTCACCTACATGATTAAAGATGTTTTCCCGTGATGTATCCACACTAGTGCGTAGTACGCCAGTCGCTAGTTTTTGAGACTCATGTTAGGCTCTTTACGTGTACACTGCATAAAAGGTAACCCACCAGAACTATTGGTACCTCTGCCACCATGCGGTGATATAGGATTCCTCGATGTCGAGAAAGCACCCCGATTTGAGACACGCCTGATCGGCGTACTAGTCTCTAGAGAATCCTGCTTAGGTGACCCAGCAATGGATGATTTAATTGACGATATCCCATTCTTTTTTGGTACAGCAGCTGTCACAGGTCGAAGGGGAGAACGAACGTTTGAAGCTACTTTGGCGCGAGCACGTGCAGGAGAGAAGTTTGCTGGTGGATTGGAAATACTTGGTTTAACAGCAGACGCAGACGCAGACGCTTTTAGCTTTTTCTGCTTTTCTCGTTAGATTGGGTAAGTTAACGAAATTTGTGCCAAAGATATGTACCTGAACAGCGAGACATACTACTCCTTGTCCAGCCTCGCCCACAGAAACCCTCTTCATCTCCTTGTCCAGTTCTCTGAGATTGAGAATCCTCAGCCCATCTCGCATACCAAGGTAGATAGCTGCACCCTCGGGTGAAAATGTGATCGAGGTAATGAGCTGCGGGGACAAGACTGTCTTGAATAACCTAAGCTAAGGAAGTTAGTGCGTAATGAAATAGAATGTGTGTATACGTACCCCTTATCCTTATCCTTGTCCAAATCAACAAGGCAGACGCTATCTGTGCCTGCAACAGCAACCAGCGTCTTGCTAAACGGGCTGCACGCGATGCCTACTACATCCCGTCCAATGCTGATAGATTTCACAGGCGCGGAAGGCTTGTCCACGTCGTAAACCAGTATATCACAGCCGAGACCAAGAAGGAGGCGGGTTCGAATATGGGGATGGAATGTCATGGTACTCACAGACCTTGGAGCATGGGTGGGGAGGGGGAGAGATGTATGCTTGGCAGAGACGAGTAGATCGTGAATATGCACGCCCTTTGAAGATGCAGAAGCCATGAGCGTACTGTCGTTTGACACAGACAGCACGGTAATTGTCGTTCCATGGGATTCAAACGTTTTGAGCACTTTTGCTGATCCAGTTGCACATTCCAGTACAATCACCTTCCTCCCGACACCAAGTACTACGTTTCCTGATGGAGTTACTGCCATAGTATTTATCTCTCCTTCCTCCTCGGACTGCACGTATATGGCCTCATCCAATCGGCTTTGAGAGATTATGAAGCAATCGATGCTAAAGGGAGAGGCAAGATAAAGAGATGAGTTATCGGGGGACCATGCTGATGCTAAATATGGAGATGAAAGAGGCTGGCTTGTGGAAAGCAAAGATGGAGGACTCTTTAGGGTGACAGGAGAAGCCAGCGCAAGGGCTGTCGTGGTGACCAAGGCAAGCATGATAGTCGTGCTGTAAAATTATCACAGGTTGATTTGCAAGGAGTGGTTATAACGTCGGTGAATGAAGGAGCACGTAAAAATTGTAAAAATTTCTTGGTATGACAAGTTGGATGATAAATATCTTATACAGAGCTGAGAGGATTGATTGAACAACGATCCACAGCACGCGATCGAACAAGACGCGTCGGTCATGTGATACAAAGCTAACCATTTTTTTGCACGTGAAAATTACATAAGACGCGTCAGTCACATGATGTAAACTGTGACTTCTCTAGATGTTTTCGCTGAGTATGCACTCCGATTCGTACTCGCGCTGAGTCGCGCACAGTCCATCTGCAGGTGGGTTTCTCAGTTCAGTAATGATGGAATCAAGGACACGAGAATATCGGGTATGAGTGCCCTAGAGAACAGATTTGCACATTCTCCATATAATCAATGTTTTCGCAGTGCCGTTGTGCACTAGTGACAACGTACCTCAGATGTAAGCAGTCTTTTACTGTTGCTCCTAAGTGCACAGAGGCTCATGATGCATTCCAAGTGATGACTATATTTCGCATTATAGGGACGAGGTCCAGGACAAGTCGCTCCTATAACTGTGTGCTACCCTGCTGATTGCGGAGGAGCTGCTGCCTGTGACTAGTGTTCGTGGAGTGTTGTTCTTGTAGCTGGATGGTGTCGCCTCTGCGCTGGTAGCACGGCTTCGAGGGGTGAAGAAATTAATCACGGGGAGATATCTGTTCAGATAAGGAGTCAATGGAGTCTGATGAGGAGAAGACTCTGATGCTGAATGTGGTAAGGTCGTACTAGTTCAACTTCACATTGAGTTCTAACCTGCGTACTTGATCCTGGAGGAAGGAAACTGTGAAGCAATTCTGGACAGTATAGTAGCAAGGAGGATAGTATGTGGACATAATGATTGAAATTGTCATGCAGCCCAAGATTGTTTTGCGAGAGCGAGCCCATTGACGGTAGCAGCACGGAACGAGTGATGTCCAACAGACTCCATCCGCTATCGATATCTCACTCATCTATAGGCTACTCCGCCTACTACTAGGAGTCTAAGTGGGAACTACTACTGAGTACTTCATTTTCGCCGCTTGAGAATTTCTTCACGCGCGTAACAAAGAAACTATATATTCAGTCATGGCGGCCCTGTGGATTGGAACGAGTGCACACCTCATTCGAGACCAAGGTCCAACACCGCATCGAACATTCTGCTCTCGCCGGATGCGTTGGTCCTGACTTTTTATATCACTGTAGATCTGCACCCAGTGACCACTGAAACGGGTATTTCACCAATAATTTCACTGCTTTCTAATCCCAATCTGCGTTTGATGTAGTGCGACTAGTAAATCCTAGAAGCTGTGGTGTCGTGACATCGCTCGATCCCATCGAGGTAACCTCTTCCTACAAAGCACATAAAGAGCAGACACCGAAAGTTGGTCACATTACAAGTTATTCAAGTGCGCCGAAAAATTAGCTGCGCTATAGAGAATACAGATTATCGACGGATTACACATATTCTACGAGCTCAATCAAGGAGTTCATTTGTCCAAGGAAAGATTAAAGTGGAGTATAATCCAGAAGCCCGTACAATCGGTCACCTTTCGCGATCCAACTCTCGACGGTGAAACGCATTTTCGGGGAAACGACTGGTAGGACCTCCGGCTTCGTATATGAGTCATGCACTTGCCTGAGGTTGCCGATAACGGGTTGTAGGCGAGCTACGAGTTGATCAAAAGCACCTTTATCCGCTTCCAAGTCGGCAGCAGGCAAGCCGCACAGAAGTTTGCACTTTGCAGCCGCTCAGAATCTGACAGAATATGCAAAACGAGACAATAAAACTTACATCTTCGTTGCAGGCAGAAACCGAGATCGTGTTTCTTTCATCATCTTCCAATAGTAATATCAGTTTGTAAAACCATTTGCAATAAGTATCGAGCATGTCATCGCAGTCGACACAGCGTTTCCAGGTCCGCCGTAAGCTACAGAACAGATTAGCGTCGCCTGCGGAAAGAATTGGCTTGAGCTGACATGGTTTCGCACTTCGTGCATCGCAGGTACGTGGCATCATTCAGATCGAAGGGATAAAAATCGGTCACCCGTGCAACAACTGTGAATGTGTTGGGACAGACAGTACTGGCGATAACTTGTTTCAGAGTGAGATCCTGCGATGTCTCGGGAGTACGAGGGCGTGATGCTGCAGTAGAAATATTCAATGGTTCAATGGACACCCCGTCTCGTTTCATTTCTAACTTCCACTTCTCCTTGCGTCTGTTGTAGGAGTGTCAGCGACCAGATAAACAGTCCCACCGACACGCACTGTAGAAGAGCTTGTACTTCCTCCTTCTCATGGTCATTGGCTGCGATGATGAGTCGTTCGTCACCCCCTAGACGCCCGAAAACACCTTTAACACCTGTCCTCTTGATCAAGCGCAAATTCTTGATTCTATACATCGCGCCTAGCTGAAGGTCACGTGTTCTCCCTTTCTGCCCACCCTCCAGGACAATCTTGACGATCCGGCGGTCGAGGCCGAGGGCCCAGGGTGCTGGCTCTGCTGGGTTGACGAGGTCGGGATTAAATGTGTAATCCGTCACGTAAACAACGGGCTCCTCTGCAGAAGCAAGATCAACATGAAGAAGCTGTAGAACGTGTCATGAAGTGGAAGGCAAAGTCTTTATCCGACTCACCTCAACCGTGCAGTGGAAGAACGCGACCTCTTCGTCAACATCTTCAATCAACTTGGTGTCAAACCGTGCAGAAGAGCCAGACATCCCTCCCCTCTGCTCAAACTTCTTTTTCCGCCTAGAGAACACGCGATGAGCGATATAATTGACCAGCCAACAGTACCACTCACTCTAACAATGCGCGAAAATGTAAGTTATTACCAGATTCGGCCTCGTCAAGTTTTTTTGACTTTTGTGTTTCCACCAATTTACCATGGAGTTGATAAGAGTCTGTCCTCACGCGTGCATTTGGGAGGCTCCAGAACTCTCCGGGCTGCATTGTCTTTGCAAGAAGTCTCGCTTTATCCCACATCTCCATCTTGAAAACGTATGCTGACAGTTCCGGAGGGCACCAGTTTGCTTGTGGCGGTTTGGTGTGAGGGTTCACAGTGTAGTCGGTCACATACAAGGTGTGGGGTCCGCTGGCATTTTCGTAGCTGTACAAAATCTAGACTTTCATCAACTTCACATTTGCGAAAAGTTGTATATAGACTCACTTCGACGGTGCAATCGAAATAACCTTGAGGAGAAGTGTCCGGGGTAACCTCAGAGATGAGGTGATGCTCTCGCGAAGGGCGTGGGGCGCATTGCACGGTTGTAATACTTTGATCTTTCGCATGTATCGCTTGCCACCAATCGGCAAGCTGAGCACAATACTCTGCTTCTTTGCCTTGTCCACTCGGCTCGTAGTAAGGTGAGTACAAATATCCAAATCCTTCACCTGATGTCTCGGAACGCGGAGCGTCAATTCTGTTAGGATTGCGGAAACGCCGGGCTTGGGTATCATAGGTGACCCAGCGCAACTTGTCCTCATACCCTACACCATTGAGACCCCCATGGAATGTGGAGGCCTGAGGAATTGTGAGCGAGTGTAGATCAGCACAGGGAATCGATCAATACCTTCAGCCTCCGAAAGAGGACTATATCGCCAACTTCAGCCTGAGGGAGCCACGCAGTGTGCTTCTTCTGGAAGCAATTGACCGTGAAACTATAAGTCACGACATCTATATCGTCTTCCATGCAGGACGGGTCGACGATGGAAAAACTACGGGACCACTCTGGTGCTACGATGAGTAATGGAAGAACAATAAACGCTGACAGAATCCCACCTTGTGAGCGCGTTTGTGACATAGGCCTGGTTGACGTAACTACACCGATGACGTTGAAGAATCCCGGTCCCGATTCAATCTTCTTGATTGGTACAAACTCATCTCCCTGCAGGCAGGTTTAGAATGAACTTGTGCTGAAGTTCTCTAATGACACAAAACTCACCCCTTGCGTGGTCATTCCAGCCTTCATGGCCAGCGGTCCATGATTGCGGGCAGGATCGCTTACAGGAAGTTTCGAGGGTATGATTACCGCCGCTGGTGTTACCCCATTGGACGACGACGAACTGGTCTGTTTAGAACCCGAGCTTGTGCACTCGTTGGAGGATAATTGTGGTGGTGACCGTACATCGGTGGGGGGCGATGATGGTGCTCGTGAGGCAACCGCCTCTGCTTGGGGTGCCGCTATCTCATGCCTCTCCGATTCACGTCTGGTCTTTAAAGCGGATGACTTCTGAGCTTGCTTTTTCAGCCTGCGCCTCTGCTTTTTTGTAAGCTCCATTTCTGGTGACTGCGCGCCAGATTGAGGAAGATTAGTAGCTGGCGGATCGAGATGCTGACGGGACGCAAGAACAGGCGTTGGTTCTTCTCGCGCCTTCTGACTAGCAACGATTTCCGGCCGTGGGCTTTTAGATAGGGGATTTGTGTTTGACATTTCCACGTCTTCTGTGGAACGTTGCCGGACAAGGTCCCCAATACGGGGAATGTCGCCGGTACCGCTATACCAGTCTACTAGATGTCGAGAATGTCGCGTCAGCACAAACTACTTCTGTAAACATTCAAAAGTCACCTTCCCAACTACTGAATATCTTCCCTGCTTCGGGTCCTGACATGAGCATGGCTGCGATCCCATCTTTGAATATGAGCTTGACGGGTAGATAGAAAGGGGCAGAAGATTGTGCCCTTGGCAGAATCTGCACGCCCTTGAGAGAAATGCAGATTTTGTCATTAACAGCGAATGGGAAGGGAAGTAATTCATCGACTTTGGACGAAATGAGAATGAGAAAGCGGTAAGTGTCGCCATGCTCATGCATCTCGACGTTCACCTGGCGTTTGTTACCGACACAAGGAAAGATCATATGAACTTTGGCTTCGATATTATTTGTTTCCTCTGTCGCTGGGTCGAGAAGCTCAGTTGCATTCTTTCGACGTGTTTCGTCGAACAGCGTGAGGCTATCCTCCAGGTGAGGTCTTTTTGGAGGAGATCCTTCTCCCGTAGATATTCTTTTCATAACTGCGCTGGAATGTGGACAGTGTGCGCACAGAGGAGAACGTCTAAGTTGATGAAGCTAAAAGACGAACAAATTGCAAACTGACTCTGGAAATGTAGTACGACGCGATGTAACGCGGGTTGACCCCCGGGCACTTTTAATATACAGAGTTAAGTATGTAAGATAATCCTGGCAGGACCCCAGAAAATCCTTACCATGACCAGCACACTTCCCTTACCAACTCTATTCTCCAGGGCGCTTGCAACAGCCTCAAAGGCCGCAAATCTGCCCACTGTCGAAGATGAAACACAGGTGCGCTTTCACCCTGGATCACTTATTGTTTATCGTTATTTGACAATACTACAAAGGAACTAATTCAATCAGCCGTAACTGATCTCAAGGAGCTGGACCGGCGCATTGCAGCCCTTTCATTGTTCAGTTCCAATGAGGTTCTTGAGGATATATCCACCCGGAATCTGGTGTACTTGTTTGCACGATATGTTCTAGCTGAGGTGCAGAACCGCATGAAGACGACAGATAGGGATGAGCGCATGGCCGTTCTCAAGCAGACACAGGTGAATTCTCTATTTCAGTCGATCAATTAAATGGTCTAACCTGGGATCAGGTCCATCTGAGATCATTCATCCATTATTTGGATACTTACTGTTTAGTACCCGAGGTGGATCGTGCGCTGTACGCACAGAGCGCATCCTCCATAAAGGACGCGGCTAAACGGCGAGAAGTCAAGATCAAGCAGTTTAAGGCACAGAAGGACTTGCGTGCGCGAATCGAAGCTGTGCGAAAACGACGGAAGCAGATACCCATTGAAGACCTGTCTCAAAGTGATTTTGATCTTATCCGGTCATTACTCCCGTCAACCGTTACTCAACTGAACGACGAGGACGAGGACGACGATTCAGAGACAGATGAAATCCTTCGGGAAGCATTATTGCTACTACTACGATTCAACTATGCACAAGCATACTCTCAACTCGAGAGCATGGATCAGGAACTCGAACTCCTGTGTAACGCCCCACCTCCTCCCAGGCCGGGTCCACCCTCAGACGATAGGAAAAGTAAATCAAAGGACCAAGATGACATGTGGAAACTGGACACAAAATCTTCCGTCAGTGAGAGCGGACCATTACTTGACTCCAGCGGGAAGGTACCATAACATAACATTACCACCCCAATGAAGTTGATCGTCGTGATAGCCCCTAAGGCCATTTACTATCCTTCCTGCAGGCGGTTCAGATCGCATACGTCTGCAATCTCAGGTCTTCGGACCTGGTCACCGACTGCCAACGATGAGTATTGACGAATACCTCAGGATTGAACAAGAACGCGGCAATATACTCACAGGGGGAGGGTAAGTTCTCACCATTTCAGTTCTTAAACACACTAATTGATCTGTTCAGCCCACAATCTGAGGAACAACCGACGTCGTCAGAACAATTGACGATAGACTCCGAAACGGACGGCACAGTCTTTGGTGAGCTGAAATCGGAAGAGAAACGACAGAAAGACGAACAGTGGGCACAATTCAAGGATGCAAATCCGCGTGGTGCGGGAAACACTATGAATCGCGGTTGAAGGGGGTTATCGGTGGGAAATGAGAAGTTCGTTGCATTGTGTCACAAACAATCTGTATTGTGATGAAGGGGGCAGCGAGCGTACTTGTTTGTAACACGAGCAAGTAAAATAGGTATCACGAGTGGGTAGTACGTATCATCACATGGAAAACACGGAATTAGCAGTTGCATTGTGATGCCTCTGGTACGGTGGCGGCCTGCTGTGTCGTAACATCGATTTCTACAATGAAAGATCAATCCCTGAAGTAGCGATACCGCGCAAGAGGGCATACTTGTATTCTGAGCATCTGCTTGGCCTTCTTTCTCCATCCCAGGTAATGATAGAGCAATCTTTTTGAACAGGCTCTTTACATTATGTCCAGCTTTCGCTGATGTTTCCATGAACATGATGTTCATTTGTGTCGATTTTGCAGTTGCCTCCTCTACAGTGACTTGGCTGATTGCCGTGTCAGACAACTGCGTATTATAGACTGAAGAAATTGCTTCTACAAACCGTTTCTCCGACAGGTCAGCCTTATTACCGACGAGCACAATAATGACATCGTTCCCCCGTTCTGACCGAACGTCGTCTATCCATTTTGACGTTGAAAGAAAGGATTGCCGATCTTTCCAGCAATTAGCGACTGTCAGACTACGTGAACTGAACTCACTCACTAGTGATATCATACACGACTATAGCTACGGACGAATCTCGGATGTACGATGGTATTAGTGAACGGAAGCGTTCCTGAAATGATACCGTGACAGATCAGCTAACAACTACCAGCACGACCAACTACCGCGCGTCACACGCACCTGTCCTGCAGTATCCCATAACTGTAACCGCACCGTCCGGTCCTCCAGGTACATAGTCTTGCTCAGGAAGTCAATGCCGATGGTGGCCTGGTAGGTGTTGTCAAACGTATCGTACATGAATCTACGCCCATGTCAGAATATGTAACTGGCCCAAAATCCACTGCAACTGACCTGGTGATAAGACTGGTCTTCCCGACGCTCTGGTCGCCAAGAAGGACGATCTTAGTGCGTTTCGGGGGCGTTGAGGAGAAGTCGGCGGTTGCGGGAGTTGATGAAGCGTCCATTGGCGAGGTACAATCCTGGCTTAATGCCTAAACCGTGTACAACAATGATAAAACAAAGCGATTGGCTTGCCAAGTGCTGCTAAAGACCTCTGGATGTGAAAGTCAGTCTCGTTGAGCTCTGTCATGGCAGTGTGTTTATCCGTGTTTGCTCCGCCATTACTTGTATGTAATCCACGTGATATTCTACATAGAAATCTTCAAGATCACTGCCTCCCTGCGATCAAACCTCGAGACTCTAACCAACCTAACTTGATATCGGCGTATTTTGGATAGGATATGCAATGAAACTTTCAGACAAAATTGCTGCGTACAACTCCCCGCATCCTTTCTACACCTTTGAGTTCTTTCCCCCTCGGACTGACCAGGTTCGTGTGTAGTGTTTCCTTATTATGCACACCCTATTCAAAATCTATATCAGGGGTTCGAGAATCTAATTCCACGTATATCACGCCTGTCAAATCTGAACCCCCTTGCGATAAGTGTAACATGGGGAGCTGGGGGCTCGACGAGAGAACGAAGCATTGATCTTGCAGGTCTGACCCAATCAGATTATGGGATTGACACCGTTTTGCACTTGACATGCACAAATATGGTCCCAGGGATGGTGGATGATGCTCTCAGGGTGAGTTAATTGCCTCCCACGAATTTCCGGGCTACGGTGAATGCCGCCTTGACAGGCTGCAAAAGTGCGGGGTATACAGAATGTGCTCGCGCTACGTGGTGGTGAGCACCGCGATTCTTGTTAGAGACACTTTATGTTACTGATAGTTTTACGGAAGATCCATCCCGAGGAACCGAACATTGGACTCCTGTCGACTCTCAATTCACTTGTGGAATTGACCTTGTGAAGTACATCCGTTCTTCTCCGGAGTTTTCCTCCCACTTTTGTATTGGCGTTGCAGGTAGGGCCCTTGTATTTGAATTCCTTGTTACTGATATATGTGTAATAGCCTACCCAGAAGCTCATCCAGACCGCGAGACTGATGAAGAAGGTAGCTTAAATGTCTTGAAAGAGAAGGTCGATGCTGGAGCAGATTTTATCGTCACACAACTATTTTATGACGCGGACCCATTTCTTGAATGGGTCGACAAAGTTAGAGCAAAAGGTCAGTAGCAACTCACGGTGTCATTTACGTTTTCCTGATCGGATCGCAGGCATCACTGTACCAATTATACCTGGTGTCATGCCTATTCAAACATATTCTTCCTTTTTGCGCTTGATTAAGCTATGTGGAGTCAAGGTTCCCCCATCCGTCATGGCTGCTTTGGAGCCTATCTGTGTAAGTAATCTAATTATAAGTCACATTACCCTTCTCATTAGAGGACAGCATGATGACCAGCTTGTCAAGGATTATGGTATAGGTCTTGCTGTCGACATAATTCGGAAGATTACCTCCACAGGAACAATCAAGGGAATTCACTTTTGCACTCTAAACCTCGAGAAGAGTGTTCAGCTTGTGATAGAGAAACTGCAGTGGGCAGGTGGAAGCCCGACAATGAAGAACAGATTGATCGCTGCAAGTCTCATTAATATATGGCTGAGGTTGAGTCGCTGATGTAACTTAGGATGCTCCAGGACCGATGATCCATGTACAGCTTGCTAATTCCTCCGATTTGGTCATCGATCCCACTACAGCAACAAACACAGCAACAAATGCGCTGACGTTTAAGCAAACGTTGGACCCAGATCCCGGCCGAGGGGAACTGAATAATGCAGCAACATGGGATGATTTCCCGAACGGTCGTTTTGGCGACTACAAGAGTCCTGCGTTCGGTGCTCAAGATCAGTGGGGTGGTAGTGGCCTGTGTGTGCGAATTATCTTTCTACCCAGCCTCAACCACCGTGTTAACAGTTTTTGCAGCAGTATGAAGGTCTTAGTGAATGGGGCCATCCAAAAAGCAGTGATGACCTTACGTCGCTCGTCCTGCGCTACCTTCATTCTGAGGTGTCTTCGTCCCCATTTTCTTCCCTACCACTTTCTCCAGAGTCGCTGACTATACTGCCCCACCTCGAGCAACTCACGAAGCGCGGGTGGTGGACGATTTGCTCGCAACCCGCAGTAGACGGAGCGTGCTCTACCGATGAAATTTTCGGGTGGGGTCCGAGGGGTGGGTATGTTTATCAAAAAGGGTTCGTAGAGTTTTTCGTGGAAGAGCAAGATCTAGAGAAGATCGAGAAAAAGATCAAGGAAGAGGGGCAAGGTTGGGTGCACTATTTCGCCGGGAATTTGCAAGTGAGTGCTCCCTTGAATATTGCACCATTTGCGGACTCACGCGGGTAAAGGGAGAATGTAGAAGTAATGTACCTGATGACGGCAGGAACGCAGTCACTTGGGGTATGTTTCCCGGGCAAGAAATCACTCAGACGACCATAATCGAGCGTGAATCTTTCCTGACGTGGAAGGTATGCGTTGCCTTCAGATTAATTCTGTTCATGATTGTACTGATAATATCAATATAGGATGAAGCATTCTCTATCTGGGCTGAGTGGGCCTCCTTCTACCCACCAGGGTCAGAGGAAAGGGAGCTATTGAACACTGTTCGCAGGGAGCGTTGGCTAGTGAGCATCGTTCATCATGACTACAAGAGACCGGACGCGCTATGGACGTTCCTACTGGATGGAAAACTATGACGTTTGTGCTAGTACGAAATCGCCATGTTCCAATTTGTTGGAATAGTTTTTGCTAAGTCTGTTTACATAACTGGGAAAATTTATGATTAGCTAATGTAAATTCTGCAAATGAACCCGGCGAGCCGGAGAATTCCAGGTGTGAGGCGTACTGCTAAGCGGCGTACCATGAGAAGTCTTTACAAACCGAGCCTTAAAAGTCGAACTGTGCATGGAAATTCCTTGGGCATTGAGCACTGGGGGTCTTTCATTGGCTCTTCATCATTCTATTTGAGTTCCCCTACAATGCCTCGTTTGATCTTTCCCATCCGTCGCCATCATTGCGTGGCATGGTGTCGGACTCTCCGGAATGCTCGTACTTCCAGAACGAAGTCACCGTCAATTTCCTAGGCTTTTCGGAGCGGCGCCCTGGCAACCCTGCAGGTGCAGGACAAGTTCGCGTTGCCAACAATACTCCCTCAAGATCTGGAACTCAGCATAAAAATGCATCTGTTGCTTGAAACAGAATCATATTTCCCTTGCTCTGAGGGTGAGTAGGCTGCATAGAAGCTTCGTGACCCTCTCTGTATCGAAGTCAGTCTTGGTCTCCGGGTTCACTGAGTAATCATGACTTGTTGGTGCAGCTACAGCCGAACCATGATAGCCAATACCCTTTACCGAGTCAATTGTCCTTCACCTGGAGTTCAGAACGACAAATGGAACGAAGTGTCTGCCAAAACAGACGAACAGTAGAGTGCTGCCACCGTTGTTACTTGTTATGGTGTGGGTAGCGCAATCCTCTCTGCATTGTAGTCGCGATATTGGCAGGTCCTACTTGCGAGGTTGCAGCTGTCGCGGTTCAATGGCAGGAACCTTACGCTATGCGTCCACCAGTACAGTGATTATCAATTCCGTCAACATTCTTGACACATCCCCTTTCTCATCGATTGGTTGGACAAAAGTAGTGGACTTCACACGCTATATTTTCGATGAATCAAGGATCCCGTCCGGAGTAGAATATAGGCCGTCAACGTTGCAATAAGAACAGATTCGCATCGGTGAGACTCGAATGGATATATTCTTCCAGGTTATTCGATCGATGCTGCCTTTGTCCTACCGTGCAGTTAAGTTTCTGAATCTGGTGCAAAGCTTTTAAATTGATATTGCAAGTTGCGGACCGGTTCCGGTGTTGTCTGGTTCGTCGATGACGAATCGGCGGTTTTTCAGCGGGGCTTTGTGGCGCATACCGTTCAAACTCATTGGGGCAAGGTAACTTGACTGCTGATTGGATTGTTACTCAAAAACACACTCTCTAAAGCCCTTTCGACGATTCAATGGCGGACGCATTCAATGGACGCCAGCGCATTGCCAGCATGGCCCTCTTCGCAATGCATTATTTAAATACTTTCTAACCGCGCACTTGACATTCCTGCTGTGCCCTTGTCATTTTGCATATCTGCCCGTCAACCACCATGTCTGTTTTCCCATATTACTACCCAGAGGACGAGGAGAAATCTGTTGCCGGGCTTGAACATGCTCAAGATATGTACGCGATCGAGGCAGCACCAGATCACGTGATCGTCAAGCGTTTTGGTAAATCAGGACCTCTTCTTTCGAGACTTTTTGCAAGCGGTGTCGAGGCCTGTGGAGTAGAGCGTATTCCAGAGAACCAGCGAGAGTCAAAAAATGCCTGGAATAAGTACGTATCTGAGTTCCACTTGTATACTCGATCTGAGCCCAGTGTAGCATATTAATGTGGTGGTCAGTCTGTCACCTGACCAATGTTCGTCCTGTTGCTGGACCTTTGTTTAGGTCTGTTAACACAGTGTTTGATATCATTCCAATCGGCGTGCTGGCACAGTCAACTTTTAATTTGAGCTTCGGGTAGGTCACTCGGGCGGGCATGGTATTGCAACCACACTCATTCTCCCGAGCAATGCTGTAGCTACTATCCTCTGCTTCGGCGCTCTTGGGGCCGTCGCGACGGCATTTGTTGCTACCCTCGGCCCCATAACGGGCCTCCGTACCATGGTCATCACCCGCTTTAGTTCGGGATATCTCGGTTGTACCATCTACTCAGTCCTCAACATCCTCACACAGTGCAGTTATATTCACTCGGGTTTTCCATATTTTCTGAGTCTGCTCTAGGCTTGGCTTTGCCACAATGACTGTCATCATCGGAGGTCAAATGCTGTCCAACGTAAACCCTGGTACCCTTCCCTCCGTCGTGGGAATCATCATCATTGGTGTGTGCTCCCTTATCCCGTGCGTTGTCGGATACAACATGGTGCACGTCTACGAGCGCTATGCATGGATAATTACTCTGATCAGCATGCTCTTCCTCTGGGGTCTTGGCGGAAAAGCCGGATATGACATCAACGCGCAAAAGCCGCTTCAAGAGAACACGGGGCACGCTCTCTCAGCAGACGTTCTCAGCTTTGGTGGGATCATATTCGGTTTATTTACTGGGGTGAGTTGAATCATCATTTATGTTTGCTCGACGAGTACTAAATTGTCGTGTAAACCGTTACCAGTGGGCGCCAATTGCAGCGGACTTTAACTGTCGGTTGCCTGCTGATACATCACCCATGCGCGTATTTCTGCTTACATTCTTCGGCTTGTTCATCCCTATCTGCTTTGTCGGGATTCTCGGCGCCGCTCTCATGACCATCACGGACCCTGCATACGTTGCAGCATTCAGAGACGGTTCGACAGGCGGCCTCGTTGCGCAGGTCCTCTCGCCATTGGGTCACATTGGCCAGTTCATCCTCGTCCTGCTCGCACTTTCTGTCATGTAAGAATGAGTGAACGCATTTACCTGTTCGCACTCAACCAGTCATAGTGCCAACAACATCCCGAACACTTACTCCGCTGGATTGTCCATGCAGGCACTTGGGCGCCCATTCGCCATTATTCCGCGCTTCTTTTGGGTACTGGTGGCTTTCGTAGCGTACACTGTAGCTGGTGTTGCGGGCCGCGAGCATCTTAGTACTATCCTTTCAAATTTCCTTAGCATTCTCAGCGACTGGACGGCATTCTTCATTGTGATCGTAGCCGAGGAACACTTCATCTTCCGGCGAAAAGATGGGCCACTCGGTGGGTACCACTTGGATGATTACGATACACCATCGAAGTGAGTCCAGCTGGTAGTGCTTCTGTTGGATGAAGATCGTGACCTCGCCATCTTCTCTTCACTTCTTCAGACTACCAGTAGGCGTAGCGGGTATACTTGCGGGGTGCTTTGGTGTTGCAGGTGCTGTCATTGGGACGTCGCAGGCGAGTCATCGCCACTACATCAGTCCAGCCGACTTATCATTTTGCTCGTAGGCGTTGTATACAGGCCCACTTGGAAAGATGGTAGGAGCAGAGATCGGGTTTGAGGTTGGTACCATCTTTGGTCGTCTGGACATTGATTCGCTCACAAGGTTCAAGCGCACAGCTTGCAGCAGCATTTTCAGCTATTACTTACCTTCCGTTGCGTGCGCTTGAAATTAGGCTCACTGGTCGATGAATGCAAGATCTCCTGATGCTGGTGTCAGTAAAGTGGTGCAAAGATTATGGCATATATTTATGTATCTAGTATAAGTATTAAGACGGATAACTAGAGCTGGGGATATCTGAGTCTCACCAGTTTACTGCCGCCCATGGCAAAGCTGTATCTACCCACTGATAAATTTCATCCGCAGCTACCAAGCTAGCAGTGATTTTGGACTGCGCCCTCTCCTCGAAGCTGGTTGAATTTTAGCCGCTCCCCAGATCATATTTCATGTGTAAACTTTTTCCGCTCAATTTCGTGAAGCTTGACGCTCAGCATCGACACCCGGGGGTCTGGCTTAATGAGTCACGTGTCGAGATTAAGCGTGACAAGGAATGTCACGTCCTGACCTGGTTGTGACAGACGCGCTTTTGAGACGCGACTAACAGCATACAATGTCTCTCCCGGTGCTCAACATATCCATTAATTACGACGATGAACTAGGTATGTTTGCTCGATAAATTAATGATGAAGCTAATGTGTTTACAGATAAAATACAGAACTTTTTATCCACATATGTGGGCACATACAAGCAATGGGACGAGGGTTTTGCAGATATGGCGCTCAGCGATGACGAGGAGGATCAGCAAGATGCTAGCAGGAAAGGTCTCAAATATATGCAGCAGCTTGTACGTGTAATACAGTGATCAGGGCGCGTCTTTACTCAATGTTTGATTCATCAGCAACGCATAGCAAACCGTGACCAGCAGATGCTCACCATTGACATGGAAGACATCCACCAGGTACAAAAATTCACATTTTTATATATTCTATACGTGTTAATCTTCTGTAAAGCACGAGAAAACGGTCGCTGAACTGGTATCTCGGATACGAAACAACACTCGGCGCTACGTCGCGCTTTTCAGTGAAGCCGTGGACAAGCTCATGCCGCCTCCAACCAAGGACATCAGTGAACATGACGAAGTCATCGATGTCATCCTGCATCAAAGGCGAGAGAGGAATGAGCAGACTGAAGGCAGCCAAGAGGGCTTCCCTAACCATCTCTTGCGGCGGTAGTAAGTGGACACATTGTCAATATTCGTTCCAGAGCTGACTTTATATTCAAGCAACCTTTATTTCCAGCCTCTTCGGTCCGATGTTGCTCTGGCCGTCCGAGAGGTCAAGGGAACCTATCTTGGCAGGTTGATCACTGTTCGGGGTATTGTTACTCGCGTGTCAGAAGTCAAGCCACTGCTCCTTGTGAACGCCTATACCTGCGATGTCTGCGGTTCCGAAACATTCCAGCAGATTTCTAGTAAAACTTTCTCTCCCATTACGGACTGTCCAAACGAACAGGAATGCAAGAAGAATGGCATACGTGGCTCTCTTCACATGCAGACACGAGCATGTCGGTTTAGTCCTTTCCAAGAAGTTAAAATTCAAGAGATGGTGAGCCATGTACACCTGCTTTGTATTGACATTAACAACTTCCAGGCCGACCAAGTGCCAGTAGGGCACATACCCCGATCCATGACTGTGCACGTGCACGGCAACCTGACACGCCAAATGAACCCTGGTGATGTTGTCCACCTCGGGGGTATCTTCCTCCCTATTCCCTACACAGGATTCCAAGCCATCCGAGCTGGACTGCTGACAGACACCTACCTCGAAGGACACTATATCCACCAGCTCAAGAAGCAATATAGTGACATGGAGATGACGCCACAGATACAAGCACAGATCGCGGAGATGCAGGCAGACCCGTCGCTGTACAACAAACTTGCCCAGAACATTGCACCCGAAATATATGGACATACTGATGTGAAGAAAGCCTTGTTGCTGTTACTTGTGGGGGGTGTAACAAAGACGATGGGTGACGGGATGAAGATTCGTGGCGACCTCAATATATGCCTGATGGGCGATCCTGGTGTGGCCAAGTCGCAGCTACTGAAGTACATCTCGAAGATCGCTCCTCGAGGAGTCTACACCACGGGTAAAGGTTCGTCAGGAGTTGGTCTTACAGCCGCGGTCATGAGAGACCCGGTTACAGATGAGATGGTCCTCGGTGAGTTTCTTTCAGCTTTGCTTAAATTCTCGGTCTGACACTACTGAAGAGGGCGGTGCTCTGGTTCTCGCCGACAACGGCATTTGTTGCATCGATGAATTTGACAAAATGGAGGAAACAGACAGAACTGCGATCCACGAAGTCATGGAGCAGCAAACAATCTCCATCTCAAAAGCTGGAATATCGACAACTCTGAATGCTCGCACATCCATACTTGCGGCCGCGAACCCTCTGTATGGCCGGTATAACCCGAAAGTGTCGCCTGTCGAAAACATCAATCTGCCCGCTGCGCTCCTTTCTCGTTTTGATCTTTTATTCCTCATCCTGGACAAACCGACTAGAGAAGACGATGAGCGACTGGCACAACATGTAACCCATGTACACATGTTCAACTCCCACCCAGAGCTTGAGTACGACGCTGTTGACCCTGTCCTTATGAGGTGAGCATCGGTGCTGAAGACGATTATTCATTTTAACGAGCCTCCTGGCAGACACTACATTGCTCAAGCTCGCCAACGCCGTCCTACCGTTCCCTCAGATGTCTCTAGCTACATCGTTGACTCTTACGTCCGTCTTCGCAAGCTCTCGAAAGATGAGGCTGCACAAAAGAAATCTCATACTTACACTTCCGCGCGTACGCTCCTCGGTGTTCTCCGTCTCGCACAATCTCTCGCACGCCTCCGCTTCGCAGACATCGTGCAGCGGGATGATGTCGATGAGGCACTCCGGCTTATGGAGTGCAGTAAGGAGAGCCTGCACGATGACGATGACAAGGAGTATGAGCCTGATCGGTCAGTTGTTAGTCAGATCTTCAGACTTATCAAAAGCATGTCGAACGAGGGCGGACGGAAACGGAGAAAGAGACAGAAGAGGTTTGGTCGAGGCCCCGGTGGGGAACGCGAGATGGACGTCGACTCAGATGAAGATGAGGATGATGGGGAAGAACTCGCTCTCATTGACGTTCGGTCCCGTGTGTTGGGTGCTGGATATACCGAGGTGCAGCTTAATGATACCATTGCGGAGGTGAGTATATATGCATCTGATAATCCGGCCTTTCTGACACCCGTTTCCAGTATGAAGCCATCGATGTCTGGACACGTGTAGCAAATGGCGCGAAACTGCGTTTCATTCTTGATTGAGGTATCTTGTATAGGGCACTTGCGCTGTGACTTTTCTATCGATTGATCTTTCTGTGAATGTAACATCTGTTGTGCGAGTCTGCATGAGGTCTTGTGTTTCCCAGCTTCCGCACTTATTGTGAAATTGTTCACGCAATCAGTTTTCCATTCCTTTCTTGTTGTTTGCAATTGAAAAATTGACATCAAAGCCTCCAACCTTATTACCCACACAAGACCAACGATGTCTTGTCTGTACATCAATGTGGGTCATCTGCTAATGCGATCGACGGAGTTTCTCAAAGTAAAATTCCGGATCAAGGGTTAGTGAGAAGAATAATGGTGAAAGATATCATTCCATAACCACAGCGCAATACATCATGACTATGTGTTTAGCCACGAAATGAGCCTCGGGGTCAATCCGCGAACCTAACCGTTCGAGGTCGTTTCAAAGCCCGGTCTACCGTATCATCTGAGGTATTGATGATGTTGATATTTGGGGCTGATAATGTGGCTGAATCCTCCGAGGTGTGAGTCTGTCCTTGAGGGTCTGCATACATTAGCAAGGGTATCTGAAACGACGAAGAGAAATGTTCTGGCTCTATTGGAACAGCTAGAAAGCGAGGGTTCTAAGAAGATAAAATTTTCATGAGTGATTCTATGACCAAGTATAACTGAGTTGCATTTACCTCCATAAAGTGGCGCATCCCCACTTCAGCAGTCATCCTTGGAATTTTACTGGATCCCTTCAGGAGATGACGCCTAGCGACCATCGTTTCTTCTGCAGTGTGTTTGATCACCAGAGTCTTAACTAAGGATAGTAATGTGATGAACCGAACCATTAACCGCCATTAAAGAAGAATTACCAGTAATTGGTTTTGTCTGTCCGATACGGTGCGCTCGCTGGCAAGTCTTTCAGTGACGATTGTCTGATCTGAAACAAAATCTGACCTTTATAGCTTGCGCCTCGACATCGGGGTGCCAGACAGGCTCACAGAAGATCACTCGGGAAGCAGAGATCAAGTTCCTGTCGGTTGTATTAGGAACAATAAAAATGAATTCAAATGCGATATACTTACAGACCACGAGCACCGAGCTTCAACTCCATCAGGAAAACACGGAACGTCTCAGAGGACTCGAAAGTCATGACGCATTGCTCTCGTAGTGGCGGAGACATATCCGTTGTATATCGAAGGTACTTAATTTCGATCAAAGAGAGTGCCTCTGCGATGTGGGCAAGAGTGAGTGGCGAATTAGAGAATATGAGGAATTTTTCCTTCTCTGAATACTCCAGAACCTAGAAAGAGGAGTGGGAGGTGGGTGACACAATAATACTGTGCACTTACCTCGGACTAGGACAAAGTTCAGCTTGGTGGATAGAGATGGCCCGACACATGTCCCTGACAATGGCGATAAGCTGAGTAGATTGGATGGCGAAGGAGCATCGTGATGCCCCAACTTGCGGCGAACAAGGTCATCGATGTGTGTTTCAGGCACATCCTCTGTTTGATATATTTTTTCTTTCTCTTTTATGACCTCCAATTCGTCTTTAACCTCAGACACCATCTTTTTCATCTGTGCGGCGTTTGTGACATCATGCACTTGCGTGGATTTCTTCTCGCATCGTGCTCGTTCATTGAAATCCAGCGCTTTACCCTCCTCGACCAAACGACTAAGATTCATCAAAGGTTGATTGCGAACAAGAGCTCGTAAATCACATAGCCGGTTCGCGTGCATGAGATCATGAACACGAGATCTGTCCTTCAACCTTCCCCGTGTCCAGGCTTCGAATACAGCTGCATCCATCCCCGTAACGTGGAAAGGTACATCTTCATGATGTTGCATAGCGCGCCATAGAGGATCTTTCGCTATCGCCTCCCTGCGAGACGTTGCTAAGTATTGAGTATACAGTGACGAGGAGAGCAGACTAACGCGTGTGCTAGTGCTTCTTCCAACAGCGCCATATCATGATCGGGCATGTTGGCTGCGGTGGCACGAGCCAGAAATTTAGGGGCCTCATGTCGTATTTGATCGACATTGAACAAGATGTCGGACACCGACCAGAACATTCCTCTAAATTTAATTTTGATTCTAGTTATTGATGTGCTAGGCCCAAGAACTCACTGTGATAGGTTGTCCATGGCAATCTGAAGACTTTTTGCGTTCTAGTGTGAAATGAGAGTCAGCGTTCAATAGAGCCAATGATTTGAAAGTTTTTCACCCTGGGGTGGAACATGTAATCCTTCAAGCGATATGAGTTCAATCTCAGATATACGATCAGACACGCACCTGACCCTCACGTTGAGAGTCAATAGCGTTAATTGCAATACTGGCTTGCATTGCATTGTAAGACTTCGCAGCGTAGGCATCGAGATCCATGTAAATGGGTGTATGCCGCATGGGAGGTAGAACTACTTCTTCCTCAACGTCTTCAATCCTGGATAAGATGAGTCTTGCACAGTCTCTAGTAGTATACAATATGGCTAACCTGTGACGAACCATGACCATCTCCATGACCTGACTCAGTACTTTGACTGCGCCTACGCGAGGCCCACGACGATCGCAAAGGGGTGCAGAAACGTGGCTACCGAACAATTTGAGATCAGAATGAAACTGGGGGACGGCGAGGAAGTCGCTGATCATTGCCCCGAGTTTTCGCAGGTTGACGTAGTCATACGTCCCCCATACTCTGACTGTGTTCTCTGCATCGCCGTCAGAAATCGAAGAGCTATCGGACGAAGAACACTCCGTCGTAGCAGGTATAGGTAATGAGTAGGTATTGTCGATTCCGATGCCATTTTCTATGTCCTCATCCTGCTTGCGCCCCAAGCTCAGCCCTAGTATATTCGACGTTGGTGTTCCAGTCACAATCCATTTACGTTCGATGCTTAGCTCACGAACGAAGTTATTTAACGCGGCGGCCGTGTTTCCTGACGTATGGCCTTCGTCGATCACCAGCCTCTTCCAGCGAATTTGAAGAAGAGGTGATAGATCTGGGTCGCCGGGACAACGACAGTCTGGTACGCGGCTACCAGGAAATGGAGCACAAGTACAGGGTTTGAATTTACACAAATGAGCAACTTTATTCTTCACTGACTCCCTGCGAAAACCTAAAGATAATCAGCACTGAAAGACATACGAAGTACTGAAACGCACGGCTATCTGTCATAATGATCAGCTTGCATATTTACAAATAAGTAATGCGGTGTCAATGCAGATACAATGTTACGTACATCATAATCAGACGCCAACACCTTCGCACTTGGTATTTTCGTTGTCTGTCGGACGATAAGATATCTCAACGTGCTATGACAATGTTTCAGAATTTCCATGCCCCATTGTCCAAGTAGATTTACGGGCACAACAACAAGTGTTGCTGTTGTTAGGTGCATCAGTCGTGGATATGCAGAGACTCGATCTCTTGTGCGAGAAGGACCAAGGCCATGCATGTGTGATTTGACGAGGTAGTGGTGATAAAATGGCGTATTGGCTTGAAGGAGATGCCAGAGGTTGGACGCTTCTAATCGTTCTTCGTGCGATCGCGTATCCACCTTGTCACCCCACGTCCTTATGCGGTGAAGAAGAATTTCAACGAGAGAGGGTACATGTGTTACATCCAGCGCCAAACTTTTATGCATGCCAGCCCTTCTTCGAGCATTATGGTACTCATCTGCAGGGAAGGTGCGATAGGCCAAGGGAGACATGACGGGGCGGTAGTCCAATAGCGATTCCTCTGGATGAGATAGCTGATTGATAGTAGCAAGGATCAAGCCCAAGACCATCACTGTCTTTCCCGTGCCTGTGTACGGCCATATATAAGTCGAGGAGTTGAGAATAATCTGGCACTTACCTAGTTCTTCACATAGGATTCCGCCCTTACACCGAGCAACTGTTGGGCATTCACGTACAACAGTAAGAATTGAAGGCTGGAAGTAAAAGCGTTCGCCATGCATATTTGAGATCGGGATGTATAGAGGGTCTTGGACAGGCTGGTTGCTTAGCTCCTTCTCGATCATCACGGCCACGGACTGTCTCTGGTACTCATACAAAGTACTGCGAAGACCCCTTATTTCGTGTCTCACAGCAATTTTTGAAGAGAACAACGATGGTAGGTCGCTATAGATTTCCGCCATTGTGCGATTATCCTGTGTGATGAGATATACAGTTACTAGATATCAATCACAGTAGGAAGTGCTTACAATATCCCTCGGCAAGAAATACTTTTGAGGTTGACTGGTCGAGGGGAGTTCATCTGCATTCCAGGAATGTCGGTCCTGTACGATCGAGGGCAGTAAGGCCTGAAGGTGACGGCGACCCTCTTTCAATACAGCTTCACTGCGAAGTCGCAGGCTTTCTTTTGCACTTTTCAAATCGGTAGGCACGAGGTAAATGCGGATATACAACACTCGTTGACTCGTTCCAAGGCAACAGGTAGCGCGCAAGAATTGATGTTCAGTTAAAAAAGAGATCTTACAGAATACATCATCCTCTACACAAACAGAGAGCTGACACGACGGTACTGGATGCCAGGTGTCACTCGCGTGTATATGAGCGCAATGCAGATGACGGCCTTGAAAATCTACACTGATAGTTCCCGCAGATAACAGATTATCCAGAGCAAAGGGGTTCGATTTGTCGTGCTCGTTGCCCACGCCGTTTCCTATGCATGTCTGACAGCACAATAGACAAGATCTCGCTCCGTCCATGCGTGCATACAGGTTGGCCTCAGACAGAGGCGATGGTGATGACCAGTACTGTCAATGTCAGTGGAACGATGTCGATGATTGCTGAGAAAGACTTGCTGTAGTAAGTCCGAACTAGCCGTAACGCTGGAGAATAACAATTCCTTACATAAGTGTGGGAATGAAATTCCTGTCTTGGTATTTCGCTGTTGGCTCGGCTTGGTTGAAATGAGGAAAACCGCCATCTTTCTCATAATGTCAATACCTCTTGCGAGGGTCACCTGTCATGAAGTGCGCCTTGCGCCGTCACGGATATGCCGTCGGGCAGTCCTGAACATTAGACATAACTCAAGCACAGCGGTCTCCGAGGCAGAACAGCAGAGCTTGTCCTGGCCAGAATATTTAAAGATTCGCAAAAGTAAACGAAAATGGGAAACTGTGAGGTACCCTAGCTGCAATTCATGTTCACGTTTTCTCATAGGCTATGAACACATGATAGGCTGCTACTATTCCGGCATGTATTCTCGGGTTTGCGGGAGGAATTGCGTACTTTGGTTCACTGGAGTCAGACGCGACGAAGCCTATCATGGTGTGTAATAGATTGATATATCCTTGTATTTATCTCTCATAAAAGTAGGGGATAGATCCGTTATTATTCTACGGCAGTTGTACGGTCTCATGCATGGGTAAGACACTTTTTTTATGCGAAGGTGACCTTAATTAATCCAGTTAGGGCTTGGATATCTCATTGGCCCCGCTATCGGGGCTGCAGGTTGGAGAATGACTCACCGGCGCACAATGAACCTCATAGAAGCCAAAGACCGCGAATTTCACCGACACATAGTGAAGAATCGCGTAGATCCCACAGCTCAAAGTGCCACGAACCCTGTGCCAGATTTCTATGGTAAGTACCGATGCTTGAATTGTGAATGTGAGACTTATATTCTGTTCGCGGTACCATAGGAGAAAAGATTGGATCTCTTCACCAATATCGACAGGTGCGGTGCTTCTTAGCCTCCCTTGCAAACAAACTCACTATTTCATCCAGTGGTTGCGTGACCAAGCTAGGTTTAGACGTAAAGCACAGTTTGCGGAGGAATGAGATGTTTATGTCCTAGGATTGCTGAGTAACTTTGCACCTTACTATCCATAATTGACAGTATTCTTGGCAAAACATGTTTCGATAGTAACTAGGTTTACTATGTTTCGTTCTCTCGTCCCAGTCTCGATGAGTTTCGTTGCTCCGTCCTTAAACGTGATTCATGACTTCGCATGAAGGGAATTGGCTAATAGTCCAGGTGATAGGGAGGACATTTACGCCAATTTAAGGTGTATAAGAAATGAGACGATGAATCAAGACGTGGTGGCCTGGTGATTGCTGTCTATCCTCCATTTCTCAATCGAGTAGTGACGATGGGAAGCGTTTGTGCGTTACAATGCAGGCAACGCGCTATGGGTGATTTAGAGATGCGGTGGAGGTGCTTATTGAGTGCACATGGCTTGTGCAGCGCTGGAATAGGAGGGAGCAGTGGTATCGACAACGAGATTGCTGAATTTGCTTGGTAGCAATAACGCGGAGCGGATCAATCATATATATAACTTAATAAATCAAGGCTTTATGTAAAAAGGAGTGGGATACGCATTGCCATGAGCTTATGCGGTGAGGTTTCCATGTCTCCGAAAAATTAAAAAAGGGAAATACCTAATACCTAGAACCAGAGCTTGTACCTAGTGGACTGTAGTGGGATCTCGCTGAATCTGTGGTATCGTAAGCAGTTCTGTCCTGAATCATCATGGTCATTCAAAAGTTGCAGTAACTCAAACATCCCAATCCCGTGTTCCCTGTTCCTTCGTCCAGAGACCTCTAACCTGATATCCACTGACGGAAAGAGCATAGGGTTGAGGGGATAACGGAGAGGAGATGGCGTGGTCCGCTTCGCGAATCCCGGGTGAATTTGGAGGAGCAGACGTGGGTCGGGGGTCAGCAAAGGGATCTTGAGATGGTTTAGAGACGAGAGATGGCAGCGGAGAACGCGAGCGCTTGGGAGGGGGAGATTTAGACTCTTTGGCAGCTTCTCTTACATACTCAGGACCGCTGATCGAGCGAAACTGGGGTGCCCAGCCAACACCGGCAGGTGCCACGACGGTGTTAAGAGCTAGGGGAGCAGTTGCAGACGGTGCAAGCCATTTGTCTTTCTGTCGTTCTATATCTCCTTCATCAGCAACGTTGGCGGCAGCCTTAACGGATTTCATTCTTCGCATTCGTATGCGCCAGAACGCGATGCCTGATAGATGTCAAGCCCAGATGATATTACCATAGAGAACGACGTACCGAGGACGATAAACCCAATGATTGAAAGTGCAATGGCAAGAGTTTGACTTGAAGCAGGGAAACCCTTTGAAGTGCCTACGGGCGTTGTTGTTGGTGAAAGTGTCAACTCAGGTCCTTCAGGGATAGCAGGTGAACTTGAAGGTGCAGAAGGTGTAAGGGAAGTGCTAGTGCTAGAATCGCGCCGTTGCAGAAAACGGGCGATCCTGCGCCCTTCCAGCTGAACGAGACGCATAGAGTATGTCACGGAGAAAAGAAAAAGGGTGTACGTTTTGGAGGAAACTCGGAAAAGATGAATGAGTTCCTTACTACATACCCTGTGCAAATCATGAAGGCCTGTCATTCATATTGATTAGTCCTTGGCAACAATCTTTGCACCGCCGTCTTGAAAGCAGTGAGGATAATCATAATGGCATCAAAAGCGCTTCATGGGAGTGGTCGCTGATTGGTGTGAGAAGTTATAACTGCCAAGGGGTACTCGTCTCAGAGGTGCTTGGCACATAACACGAAAAAAAAATTGGACCTGAAGTTCAGCCTGGTCTGCTCATGTACATAGTTCGAAACCAACTGGAAATATTGGGCTTTATACAAGCTGTCCCTCCTGAAATAATATTCGATCAAGCTGGAATCATGAATCTCGCATAGCCTCGCAGTGCCACCGTGACACGATCATACGCACGCTGTCTTCCTTGTATTACAATGAAATATTGTCCAGACCTATGTCTCCTTGAAATCTACTTCCTAACACCAAACAAACTTGATCATCGGATACCATCAGATTAAATAAAGCAAATTCTGTTTTCACTGCGCGTCAGGCCTCACAAGTTCAAACATGAACAAATAATACAGGTAGCAAGTGCAAAGCGCCAACTGCATCGTGAATGTAAGGTTTATGGAAACTCTAGGTCTAGTCTACATAGAGTCTATTATGGGTCCTGTCTGGGTCCTGTCTGGGGGTGTGCCAGCTGCCCGGCCAGATTGAAGTGGAGTTCAATTCCAAATCAGGACGAGTCAGCTTGTAATGCCTATGGTATACCACCCGCCGCCTCCTGCTTGCTGTTTCCTATGTTGAGAAAGACCAAAAGATTCGCCTAGAAATCTGGTGGTGCTGGGTGGTAGAAAATGAGGTGCCAAGGAAGTAGAAATTCTGTAAGGCTGAGGAAGGAGGATGTCATCTTTGATCATACTGGCTGAGTTAACAAAGCGGGTTAAAGACAAATATAACAGGCCTGCGAGTTCGGCTTCATTGGAGAGTCCCTCAAAGAGAGTGACGACATCCATGGCCCCGCCGGGTGCGTGGTCGTCGCAGTGAATGTCGACGAGCTATATGACTACATCAATAAATTCTCACCATCTCAAATTGATGCACAATCAGACTAGTTATGAGTCTAGATGAGCTAGGGGCTGGCACAGTTGTCGTGCATGTGTGTGAGTACTCACTGGGCATGAGTCGTGACACGTGACTTCCAAGCTGCCTCACATCTTCCTGATTTGGAATTGAACTCTGCTTCAATCTGGCCGGGCGGCTGGCACACCCCCAGACAGGACCCAGACAGGACCCATAATAGACTCTACGTAGACTAGACCTAGAGTTTCCATTTCCTGGACGACCTCACTGCATCGATGACTGAATGACAAGCGATAGCCTTGAATGAATCTTGTCCTTTCAATAAGTACTTTCACTTGTTGAACAATGCTGCCCCTGCAAGTTCATGCACAAAACAATGGTGAGGTTTCCTGGTGGCCTATTGCCTGATCCCCTTTTTCAGCTTTTGAGGATTGCTATCATTAGTCCAGGTCAAGCAGCCAATTGATAACGGGCGCTTTTAGGCCCACATTCATAATCCATAATTCTCATTGCAGACATCTAGGCGCTCGTCGAATCTGTTTGTTACTTGCCACCTAGTTCCATCGCACCAAGACAGCCTATTAACACCCACACCTATCTACTTTTCTCATTCACTAGATGGGTGAAAACAATCCTACTTGTAAGGAACGTTGGAGGCGGCTGAAGCAAAGTCATTCAGACCCTCATTTGGTAGAGGAGAGAGGCAGGAGGGCAACCAGTTGCGATGTATGAACTTTCATCTTGACAACTACATTATCTCTAATCATTACAGTCGTCCTCTCTCTTGCCTCCAGGAAATGGATCTCGCGGATGACTCACGAGGTCAATGTGCAAGATCTTTGGCAAGGTGAACAAGCGCTTCACTCGAAACACTCGACAGTCCCCCAACCCTGAACCCACAGCTGCAATTTCCAGCCTACAGGACACCCAACCTGTTCAATCAACTAAGGTAAGTGTAATTTCAACTCTGAGTGTGCCCTGTGTGCCATGATTAGTACTAATCACTTCTGCAGAATCTCACCCCTCCCACTCTCGAACCGAATTGCGAGCAATCTTCTAATTCAGGGATCGTAGAGGTAAGCTCAACTAATGAAACTCTGAATATTCCCATCCGTCTCATTTGACAACGTGCTGATGTCTATGCTTAGGCCGAACATTTCGACCCAAAGGTTGTGAACAAAAAAATCGCCAATGCCAACAAAGGTCTCGCAGGCACCAGCCAAGTCCCCACATTACTCCAAAAGGCTTCTTCCATGATCAACAATGTACCATCTGTTTCTGATGAAATAGACATGTTTTCTGTGTTGCTTAAACCTTTAAAGGCATTCAACTCCATTGCCAACATGATTGCAGACATATGACCATCTATCTCACTTCCGCACGTCACTAACATTCACATGCAGGCCCATCCTTATGCAAAGTTGGCATTGTGTATCTTCACTTCTGCATCCAATGTAAGCTTCTTTCTCGATCATCGCTGTCGCAGGTTGACAAAGTTTCGGTAACAGATGATTCTTGATCAGGCAAACTGTGATGAAGACGTTTCACGTTTGCTCTCGAAGATATCTGGAGTCTATTATTTTATCATGGAGAAGCAGGAATTGATTGAGATGGAATCTATGCTAGCGATATGCGGAAAAATAGCGTGACGGGAGACGCTGCGATGCGCATGAGGCAGTGCTTCTCTTGCCCCATTTGTGATGGTGTCAGTTGGGAAGCTGACATGCGTTTCATGCGCACGGTTCTGTGCCCGAGCGATCATCACAAAATATACCCCCTGCCCAGAAAGAACATCTATATCAGCCAATGCCTGACATAGAAGCATGATATCACCAGTATTCGACCATACCCCAACAGGACAGATATGAATGATCAGTGAGTGAGGCAGCTCCCTGTGGGACCTGAGACATGCAACAGTCAGAGCCTCGAGGTGGAAATTAGACGCACGCTGCATTGCCACTCACCCATATTAGGCAATCTAATGCCCGAACGCACCATGAGGATGATGTAGCAGGGCACAATCACCACAACCCTGAAAAAAAAAATTTTGTGTAAATGATATTGCAAAATGTATACGTTATAAGTAGTGAACGTCCGACGTACGAACAGCCCACCATAGCAGCAAAACACCAAACACCCATACCAGTACGTCTACTGGAGCAGCTGGGCAACCACTGACATGAGCAACTGATCGGACAGACACAGAATTTTTTCACCATAAGTAAGAATCTATGAAGTGCACTGTTGATGCTTCTCCTGTCCGGCAAGAGCTGGATTTTTGATGACGAGAGCAGCATACTGGAAGATTTGTTTGGGCTGGATGAAAAAATGTTCCAGGTCCCGAATAAGCACCTAACCGAGAATCAGCGGGAGTCGTTTTGTGTGATGATCAACGCGATCTCACAGAGGAAGACAGCAGACGCACGTTACAAAGTGCTGGAAGGCAAGAGCGAGGGAGGATGGAGTGCAGGACGTGAGGCTTTGTCGATCTGGTTCAATAAACAAAAAATTTCATCTAAGTTAGCTAAGTGTATTGACGATGTCTGGCACTCAATAGGTGTCTCACCGATGCAACTGATTCACGACAGGCTGGAGGAGGGGGTTGAGTTTCCGAACATCTTGGACACTGAGCATGCCAAAGAAGACGTTCTGGCTGCGATCTTGGGGGACCATGCCAACAAACAGCTCCCGCGCGGTGATTTTCGCGATGCAGGAACGACAATCAACCACCACGCATGGGAACACCATCGTAAGCGTTTCAGATGTGCCCAGGACTCATTGCCCACAAAAAAACTTGCTGCTAGTGTAGCAATCAAAGGTATGAATACGACAATGACCTGAAAGATAAACTAACCTAGAGGCAGACATTGAGGAAGCGGACGAAGTAGGTGCAAAGATGTTGCGTGATGCCACCAAGGCCGTCAAAGCTCTGAGGATGGCCGTGGTGTGGTTCCCAGATGAGAAAGACCAAGTTGGCGAGTATGAGGAATTTTTGAAGGAGGTTGTTGTCACTGCGGTGGTGAAATCGAGGAAGGTTACTAAGGAGAAGGTAACGGTGAAGACTGATAACACACCTGGCAGTGCGTGATGCTCCGGTCCCCTATGGGAGCCATCAATAAAACCCACTCTGACAACACTTTGCAGGAAAGCATGGTACTGAGCAAGCACGCAAGATCAAGACCACGTTGCTCGTTGCACCTGGGGATGTCGAGGAGATCTGGGCCCTGTATGTGCAGCTGTTCGAAACTGAACCTGGTGAGTTAGAGGCGCCAAGAGTAGACAAGGAGGACGAACCTATTGGAAGAGATGACTGGGACAACAATTGCGAGGATCTTGGGGTAGATGGTTGGTGAGAGATGGATAATGATAAGTTAAACCACTTACTTCAGTTTCCCGGTGGCAAGCCCGCACTCTTTGCGGAATTGCAGTCAAAAACAGGACTGTGTGCCTGGGATGCAGATGTGGCATCGATGTTTATGAGGGAGAATGAATATATGGAGCTGTTGTCCCTCCTGTGGCACCAGCGAGTAGGTGTCGCGGCGATCATCGACAAGATATGGGCATCTGCGCTAAACAAAGGTAACACTCCGGGAATTTTAATAGCAGATGAAGTAGGTGTTGGGAAGACAGCACTCACCATGGGCACCATCGCCTTCGTCATTGATGCTTACTGGGTTCAAGAAGTCGCTGCCGGACGAGGAAAACCTGCCAGGGTGACCACAAGTATCAACCTGAGCAACCTTCGCCCAGCCCCCATCCTCGGTGAGTGTCCTGTTTGTGTAACGGTCCCCTGAGGGAGCTGTCCGTATCGACATGTGGGTGTTGTGGATGGATGATGGATCTGGTCCCCATAGGGAGCCATTGCTGGCTGCTGGTGTAACGGTCCCCTGAGAGAGCTGTTCGTGTCACGCACATGTGGGTGTTGTCAATTGATCATGGGTGCGGTCCCCGTAGGGAGCCATTGCTGGTTGCTGGTTGAGACACGAGTCTTATGTCCAGCATGAGTACAGCAGAATGATCTGACATACGGGTGTGACAGCAGTCCCCTTAGGGAGCTGCTGTAGGAGTGGGCACCTGTTGGACAACGGGTGTGATTGCAGTCCCTGTAGGGAGCCGTCTGCTGATCGTAGTCAAAGAACGGTAGCTCACCTGTGATTTCTCCCCCACAGCTGAACACCTGTATTTTGCAGGCCGAGATGCAATCCCGAACCTGCCCCACATCATCATCGTGCCAAATTCCTTGATCAATCAATGGTATTTGGAGCTACGCACCTTCTTCGCCCCTGGAGCTGTCGAGATCTACAGGTATCCATCAGCAGAAAGTGAGTTTGGCGATTTCTGGAACGGTCCATGGGCCACGTCGGCCACACCATTGATTCATTGAATCATCTTGGTCACTCATTCTGTGAGTCTGATCAGTTTGCCCTCACAATTCTATTCTTACAGCATACTTCACGCCAGATCATGGCTACATTAGGCAAAGTGTTCGACACACGCAAAGGCCTCGCAGGACACAACAGTCACAAGGTGTCGGACGAGACACGCTCCGTCAGACAATGGAAACAAGCATTGAAATGTCTGTGGGCTGGACATGAATTCCTTAGCATTTTAATTGACGAAGTCCACGAGATGCGCAACCTTACTGCAGGTTTTTACGCGACACTCGAGGTCACGAAGGCCTCCGTCATTAAATTACTCGCATCAGGCACTCCACTTTACACCGGCCTGATGGTAAGTCTCAAAATCAAACATGGTTAGTTAGCACCGACTCACTCCTTATTCAGGATCTTTGCAATATAGGTTGGTTAGCGTGGATCCAGCACTTCATGAGCAAGGAGGGCAATGAGCACGATAAAGATCACATCAAGCAACTTTGTGCTGCACGTCGAGCGATGACACAGGAGGATAAAAATGATGCTGCCGCACATACCATTCATTTGGTTGATAGAGGATTGTAGGATTGCCAGATGGACGGCACAAGGGATAAGACCCTAACCCTAGCATGGGGTTATATTTCTGGCAAAAGCTTCCATTTATGGAGATTGTAACCCTAGATGCAAAATGGTGCATGCTCATCGGCCACCTGTCATGTTCTACACTGTACACAGCTCCCATTGGGGGCCACATCTGTGATGAGCATTGAGTGTTGAGTGTTAACATGAGAGAACTTCTGTGATGAGTCTGCACATTGATCTGTACATAGCTCCCATTGGGGGCTGCCTCTCCTATGAGGGTAGTATGACATGACCAGCTCCCTGTGAGATGGCTCCCATTGGGGACTGCACACTCTGATGGTGTCAGTCAAATGCTCCCAGTATAGACTATGCTTGTAATGAGTGCCACTATGGCATGGCTCCCATTGGGGACTGCATCTATTGCTAAGACATATATTCCTATAAGTGGTACAGCTCCCTATGGGGACAACATGTCTGATAGGTCTAAGTATCATACATCCAAGCCTGTGCACAGCTCTGTTTGTGGATAGTGGACCCATGACTGTTGGACAATTACCACTGCAACAAACCAATCAACCACCACAAGGACCACATCAATGATAAAATGAGTTTCACCTATTGTCCTGTCTGTGGTATGGTCCCATTGGGGACCATACCTGTGATGAGCCTGATAACAAGACCCTCATTATATGTGCATGGCTCCCATTGGGTGCCATTTGTGTTGAATATGCATATATATGTACAATCACCAGAGGTTTTCCTTATGGACAGTCTCTCTAGAGGATTTAGCATATATAACCTGTTTGTATTCAAACTGTGTTGTTTATGATGGAACAGTCCCCATTGGGAGCTGTGTGCTTTGTAGGCACATGTCCATAAAAAACCCTCTGGCACTTACACATATATGCAGGTTCAACACACACAACACAAACAGCTCCCAATGGGAGCCATGCACATGGAATGAGGGTATCATTGTCAGCTTCATCATAGGTGTGGTCCTCAATGGGAGCCATACCATAGACAGGACAATAGGTGAAGATCATTTCCAATGGAGACAATCCATAAGGTAAACCCCTGGCACTCATATACCACTGCTGTAGTTGTATGGCTTATTGGGGACCACACTGCTGATGGTCAGTATGTGGTACGGCTCCCAATGGGGACTGCATCTGCAACAATGCTCAGTATTGTGGTATGGCTTCCAATGAGGACCGCACCTGCAACAATGCTCAGTATTGTGGTATGGCTCCCAATGGGGACCACACTGCTGATGGTCAGTATGTGGTATGGCTCCCAATGAGGACCTGCTGATGGTCAGTATGTGGTATGGCTCCCAATGGGGACTGCACTGCTGATGGTCAGTATGTAGTACGGTTCCCAATGGGGACCACACCTGCAACAATGCTCAGCCTTGTGAGATGGCTCCCAATGGGGACCGTACCTGCAACAATGCTCAGCCTTGTGAGACGGCTCCCAATAGGGACCATACCTGCAACAATGCTCAGCATCATGGTACGGCTCCCATTGGGAACTGCACCTGCAACAATGCTCAGCCTTGTGAGATGGCTCCCATTAGGGACCGCACCTGTAATAATGGCCAGCTTTTTGATACAGCTCCCAATGGGGACCACACCTGCAACCACTACCAGCCTTGTGGTATGGCTCCGCATGTTGATGATTGTCAGCATTGTGGTACAACTCCCAATGGGGACCGCACTGCTAATGAGTGTCACTTTGTGGTACGGCTCACATTGGGGACCACACCTATAACGACGCTCAGCATTGTACACGGCTCTCATTGGGGACCACACCTATAATAATGGCCAGCTTTTTGAGACAGCCCCCATTGGGGACCGCGCCTGCAACAACCCCCAGTTCTATAAAATGTCTCCCAATAGGGACCGCACCTGTAACAAACTCCAGCCTTGTGAGACGGCTCCCATTGGGGACCGCACCAAGCCTGCTATCAGTATCATTACATCATCTCTCAACCTTAAATTATGAATCTTAAATGTGATGTGACATCACAATTTTCTATATAAACCCTGTGATATTCAGTATGAGTTTCCCCTCCTCCTCCAATATCCTATGCTAAGAATCTTTAGCATTCTCCTACCTGTGATCATCTTCAATATGCCAGCCAATGGACCTGCTCACCAGAATATTTGAGGATGCTCTCTTGCTACGTTCAACAACAAGTGCATTAGTCTTCTTCAGGTTCAGGTTAATGGAGGAGATGAGCCTGCAAATGATGCTCAGTACTATAGGGCCCTTGATTTTGTGCTCACCAGAAAGGATTCTCAGAGTGGTGTTCAGCATTCAATTGAGCCAACATGCAATAGAATCACTGAAGACAGGGAAGTCACTATTGTCAGAGACTATGACAGCCTTATCAGCTTCACTTCTTGGATCCCAGTCGCCAGAGACTTGTATATCTATCCTGTCTCTAATTCTGTGGACACTCTTACATCTAGTGTGCATCTCAGGGTTCCAATGAAAATCTGTGAACATCAGGTAATGTCTCTGCTTTCTCTGATTAGTTCAGTCCATGCTTACAACCAAACCAACCAACCAACCAACCAACCACCTGGAAACAGCCTGCAGTGCTAGTGCATCCTCATCTTGTTCCCAACATATGCTTTGGCATTGTGAATGTTTGCACCAAGGTGCGGCTGTTCTTTCCAGCATTATATCAAGAGGACAATGCAAATGCATCTGTTGAGCTTACCCTGGAGCAGAAGACTGCAATTTATGAGGATGGTCTGTTGCCAACACTCAAAGAACACAACCCAGAGACTGTTACCAATTGGCCCACCAGCTATACCAGTGCCCTCAATCGTGCCAAGAAACACAACAATCGGTATCAATACAGAACTCATCCTTTCCAAAATGTGATGATGGCTAATCTCGGATACTACCTGCCTAGGAAACTGGCTGAGAAGCATGCCTGGACAAGAGATATGTTGTTTATGATGCAGATTCAGGGTGTCAAAGAGGCAAACCAACATGTTCCAGGATCCAGGGAAGAAGCAATGAAGGCAGTATGCATCATGATGGATGACCTGGAGCCTGCATTGCGTGAAGAACCACACTGCTGGATTGATGTAGGCTTGGAGCTATCTGAGCCAGGCTTCTCATATCAGTGGCGCACTGACTCTCACGTTGACATTATCCAACACTTCACATGTCTGAACAATTATCAAGCTGCCAACTATGTTGACCGTCCATCACGCCAGTACCACAGGGACATCTCTGCTGGTATGTTGCATATCTTTGGATTCCGTGGCACATTTGCACTGGCTAATGATGATCTGTTATACATCCAAGCTTACACAACCGATAAAGCCTTGATTCAACAACTGGATGGTGGAAGACATGGTTTAACCATGATGGGCAAACAGCTGTTAAATGGTTGTCCCCCAGAATACATGCAGAGGATGCATGATCTGTATTTTGATGCCAAGGAACACCACAACTGCACTGCTCGAATTGAGCTCAGAATTCTGATCTGGTATGCTGCCAGGAGGGTTTTGGACATTCCACAGGAGTTAATAGGAAACAGCATCTTGGCATTTGATCGTAAGGATTGGTGGTGAGTGAGCTTCATTTCAGTTGGTTGGTTGGTTGACTGGATGGTCGGTCACAGGCAATGGCGACTTGTCCGTCTGCAGGGATTTTCATGCACATTGGCTCTGCAAAATCCAGCTGGTGGTGCACTTTGAGTACAACCAAATGCCCTTGCCCTGATAGCAGGTCTCCATTGGCTGACTAATAGGCTGCACTCTCGACCAGATGATGGTAGTGCAGCACGTGAGATCATGTGCACGGTCCTGCCTCTGACCCAGGATTATGGAAATGACATGTTGCACATCCGTCCCAGGACAGAGCTTGTCCAGCATGGTGATAGCTTGCCATTCAGTGCATATGGAGCATATTTTTTCCGAACAATTATCTGGCCACCCACAGCAGATGTTTCAAGAATGCAGCGAGGTCCCATCATGCGCAACTCAACATTCAAGTATGTGTTCGGGTTGGATTATGAAGCACTGCGGAGGAAGTATCAACCTCCAGCTTTTATTCCCCAGGCAATGGTACCTCGTGCATGAGTGGAGACACAGAAGGGATTTTCCAAAAGACACTGAGTGGATGATCCGGTTCCAGCACCAATCCTTGCACACCTTGATATTGACCTTGTGTTGGACAACAGGATGCCAGCAAAGACCTCCCATGGGATGAACATGCTGACTTCCCTCCTGACCTTGAAGAAGACTGCACAGTGCAATTGACCAAACTGTAGAACCAATTTTGCAGTGACTTGCTGCAAAAATGCGGAAATTTGAAGAACAAGCCGCTTGTGCCATCACACTGCAGACTCACTATGGACGAGCGTCTGCATGTCACAGATAATGTCTACAAGGACCTGAACCTTGCGATGGTCTTCCACCAGGTTCAGTGGAAGAAAGTTAGTGGACAAGAATGGAAGGAGGCCTTTAACATTTTCTTCCCACCTCACAATGCACCACTGCAAGTGCAGCCACAGGACTATCCAACAATGAAGTATTGGGAGGAATGGTGGAGCATGAAACAAAGATTGCCAGCCGCCACTATTGATATGGTCCAAAACAGTTTCTGGAAATTATTCAAGGAGTTGCTATGGGTTCCAAAGCCACACAAGGACCGGCTGTGGAAATATGTTGTCAACCATGACTTCAGGACATTTCTGGCCAATTACAGTGATCAAGCTCCTCACATCATTGTGAGCCCAGCATCACACACTCCGAGATGGGAGCCAGAGCGTGTATCCGGGGGAGCTGATGAAGTGGAGGAAGAAGAGGTGAGTGAGGAAGAGCATGGAGGTGAGGCTGAAGTGGACCAGTGAGAATGGGTAAACGGAATTGCACCAATCCTGGACCAAATCCTTTTGCATGAGGAGGAGGAGGAATCCGGCTCAGAAATTGATGTGGAGTGACCGGTTCCGGTCACTGTTCAAGGCAATGCCAACCTGGCAGCAATGTCCATTGTACATAAACAATATGTGCCGTGTTTTTGTGATCATCCGTAATATTTCCATATGTAGTGGCAAGGATTTCTAGAGACTTGGTGTTGAAGCGGATAATCGGAATGTGCATCAAGAGATGTCCTGTTAGGTTCCCTATGGGTGGCCATCTCCCTTCAAGGTCAATAAGTGACCACTTGGACAGCTCCCATTGGGGACCATGCCTGTTGTAGCTTGTGCCTCGCTGTGAGACTGCAACTCATGAGATTTCAATTAACCCGCACATCATGGACGGGAAGAATGGAATTCCCTGTTAGACACATGCATGCGGTCCCCTGTGGGAGCCGTCTCATAAGCAACCTTTACACAGGTGCGGTCCCCGAAGAGAGGCGTGTCGCAAGGGAAAGTTGGCTGCCTAATGGGAGCCATCTACCCAGCAAGAGTGGATGACTGTCACTACTAGGTGTGGTGCCCAAAGGGAGCCATCCAACCAGCAACTAGCATCATCCGACCATATTGGGTATATGCCAGATGTGGTCCCCAATGGGAGCCGGCCACAGCAGGCAGAAAAGAAATATTACCTGCATCAGAGGTCCAGCACTTAATCAGAGCCATGGACAAGTCCTAGTTCAATTAGCCTAAGATTGCTGAGAGGTATGGCTCCAATTGGGGACTGCGCCTGTAACAAACCCCCCAGCCTCGTAAGACGGCTCCTATTGGAGACTGCATCTGCAACAACCCACAGTCTTGTGAGACGGCTCGCATTGGGGACCGCACCTGCAACAATGCTCAGCCTTGTGAGACGGCTCACATTGGGGACCACACCTGCAACAACCCACAGCCTTGTGAGATGGATCCCATTTGGGACCGCATCTGCAACAACCCACAGCCTTGTGAGACGGCTCCCATTGGGGACCACACCTGCAACAACCCACAGCCTCATAAGATGGCTCCCATTGGGGACCGCACCTGCAACAACCCCCAGCCTCGTAAGATGGCTCCCATTGGGGACTGCATCTGCAACAACCCACAGCCTTGTGAGATGGCTCCCATTGGGGACCGCACCTCCAACAACTCATAGCCTTGTGAGATGGCTCCCATTGGGGACCGTTCCTGTAACAAACCCCCAGCATTGTAGATGTAGTTTAGATGTATCAGTCCTTGTAGCACCACAAAAAATCAGATACAACAATGCACTCACTCTCTGGTCACTGTGCTGACCCAGTGCTTTGCTATGAATAATGTGGGATAGCCCATTGATGGTTGATGGTTTATATGGTCATTGGGCTGGCCCGGCGCTCTGCTATGCATAATGTGAGATAGCCCAGTCCAAATATTATCACCTGTTTATCACTATTTTTCTATATTCTATAACATTCTTTCTGCACAGCTTTTTCTTCTCTCTTTCTCCTACATTATATTATATTTTGCAACATCCTCACTCAGTATTAGGCCTGCAATGTTCTCTCTCCTTTCTTTGCTATTTCACTGGGTTGCTTATCTAGGTAAGTGCTTACTGCTAGGCTTCTCTGCTTTAACTAATCCAGTTTTTTCTGTAATATTTCTAGTAGTGACTTGCTCTTGCAAATCTGACACTAGTTCAGCAGCACATTCTGTGACTCACCAACGATCTCTCAGTTTCCTGACCTATAATTTTATCAATCTCTGGTTCTTAATTGTCCTCATCATCATTGCCATTATTACCATTCTCTATATACTCTACATTCATTATCTTCAACGCACAACTACCAATAGGCTAAATGCTATTGGGCTTCAATACATCACCACTCCTCATGAATCCCTTGCTAGACCTGAACCTACTCTTCAATGTACCAGATTATCAAGCCCTCCTATGCTTGTCTTCTAACCCTACACACAACATCCAAGGGCAGGACTTTCATGTTAGTACTCCACTATTCCTTCTTACCCAACTGCCTGATATATTAAAGGGACAGTCTACTATACAAAGTGAGTTAGCCCATTGCGACTTTCATATATATGGGTCAGCCGGATATGTGTCCTGGGCTGTCTCACAACACATTACATAGACATCGGGCTGACCCCACTGCATATATATATCTTTAACATACCACCAGGGATAGTCCACCTATTATTAATTGATTTCTGCTTGAGATGACCTAGCTACCCAATATATATCTGGGTTAGTTCATTATTCTTAATTTGCTTTGTGGGTTAATAGTCATGATGATCTAAATTTACATATATGAAAACTCCTAGATGCTGGCATTGTCTTTCAAGTGACTATTGTGCAGCACAGTTTGGGACAACAAAACAGATGGTTATTCAATCCATCATATACAACTATATACAAATATAGTTCAAGTGATATGACTTATTGGTCACAGTAAACAAAATCATGATCATATAGACAATAACCAGGAGCTGCAGTGTCCCTGCTATAATTAGATCTCTCACATGTCCTTGCAACTGCTCTCGAAGGGCCTGCAGCTGAAAAATAATGATGATGATGATGGTTAACATTATTCCCATAGGATTGAACATGACACAGAGACATCTGCTGTACCCCATCATCCCAATATTGATGTGGTTCATAGTCAGGGGTAGGTGCATAAGATCGAGGTCGAGGATGAGCAGGGACAAAGTATGCAGGTGGCAATTCAATGTGCAGGGCACCACCATGATAATGTACCACCTAAAAATTAACTTGAATGAGATAATGATAGAAGATGTCAATCTGAAGCTCATCTTTGACTTCTTCCTGGTGTGAGAGTCTGATGCATTCAAGCTATCAGCCTTAGATTCAAATTATTGATCTACTATACACTCAATTAGAAGAGTATCTGCAAGTAATTTATGGACTTGCCATATTCCTCTACATGTGGTCACTTGCAAGCCTTCTGCGGCTGAAATACTGATGGTCGGTGTTCTGGACAAGGTAGATCATCATCACTGTAGTGGTCCTCATGAATGATAGAATATTCACAAGCAGTGGAGGTCTGTTGATAAACAGGGCAATAAGTACCTTTCTGCCAAGGAACAATATCAATCTCAGACATAGCAATGTCCAACTCATCAATGATATCATTAAGAGTTTTATTGCTGCGTTCTTGCTTGTGCCAAAGTTCGAGTAAGTTTTCAGCTTCTGTCTTCAGTTCGGCATCATAATATTGTGTAGCTCGGCACTTGATGTAATGTACGAGTAACTTCAGATGTTGTGCGCTGAGGGTGTGGTAGTTGAAGTCTGGACCAATCAGGGGAACTTCATCAGGCCAGAGTTTGAATTAAAACTTGTTCTAGTATGCAATGTCCAGTAGCTTCTGCTACTGGACAGACTTTGTTTTATAGCCAAATTGGTCTGTTTAATCAAATTAAAATAGAGTCATGGACAGGAATAAGTTTGAGCTTACCTAGTTTCTCAAGCACCATAACTGGCCAGATATGTCAGTAATGGTCCTGTGGGGCTTTGCCAGGCTTCCAAAACAAAATATCATAAGCCCCTTCGGACTATGGCAGTGCGAGCTGGTAGTTTTTTGCACTGGACACATTGTAAGATTAAACTCGGGTTAGTTCCAAGCTATGTACTTTGCTGCAGTAATAATCCAATCTAATGCAAGGTGGGCATCAGTGTACATAGCTTGACAATGTGTTGTAAAGATGAGGGCACATCTAGTAAATTATGTCTTACATTATAGAATGCAAGCTTTCAGACTGCACTTCTTTCATTCTATGCCTATGACTTGCAAGGGAAAGCCACTCTGTGACGATCAAATCACGCATTAGCTTATGGCATAAACATGACCACAGAGGTTCGTGTCATATCAATGTGTGGCAATATAATATCATGTTGTTTATGACTTGCAAAAAGCTTATCAGCATGCCATTGAAAAGAAAGAAGATATAACATTAATGTTGAGATTTGTGTGGTTGGTAGCTAGTCAGAAATTGCTATCCTCATTATCAGAGTCAGTAATGAGACCCTTGTTGTTATTGTTGACATCATCATCATTGCTGCTCTGACTTTCCCTCTCGCTATGCCCCTCATCCTCATCACCACTGCTTTCATTATTCTCTCCATTGAGATTCTCCACATCTTCCTCATCATCATATCCCATATTGTCACCCTCATCAAATTCAACATTGTCAGAGGCTCTTGTCAGATCCTCATTGCTTCCACTCGAATCTCCAACTCACCAAGGCCCATGTCCAACTCCGGCACCAACAAAATGTACGAACATATCACAATCCACAAAACTATGCAAATAATTAGATGATAAATAGATTTCAAAAGGAGGACTTGCATGTTAACATAGTATGCCATCTATTCATTGTATTCCTTCCATATACACCCAGATGAATGCGGCTGAGCTACAGAGTGGAGTACCTTTCCATCTGCAAAAGCTGGGATCAGGTGTATCCCACAAACCACTAACATGGGATCAAGGAAACCAAATGCAGAGTCATCTGACTCGGGCACAAATGAGATTTTTGGCAACCGAGCTGCTTTGATTCCTGAGCGGTGTCACTGCACTGGATCAAACCATCTCACAATCAGAATCTCTATCCTGTTACAAGAACATCTAGACGCTTGGGCCCCTACCATTTTTCTCCTAATCCTCCTCGTATCAGCCCTCGCGTCATATCCTTACCCCGACCTTACCCTTGTCATCCTTGTCATCCTCGCATTCCCTTTCGCTCTCTACCTGTCGCTTCAGCAAAGCCAGTACATCTGGCCGGACCCTTTCGCTGACGAAGCATACCCATGCTCCGTTCCACCACCTGACTGATTCTGTGGACAGTCCCCTTGCCCTTACCGTCCGGATGGTAACCTATGATCTGATGCACGACGCATCCCCTTTGCCCTTTTCCCTTTCTTGATCTCTGACTCGATGCGCAGTCGCACATGCGACTTATACTTAGATCCGCAGCTGCACGATCGTGCCCCTGCGCGTTTCACTTCTTATTTCGATCTTTGACTCACTTTCTTATCTAGCACGTTCTACCTAGACCGAATGTGCCTTCCTGTTATGGTTATACCCTTTACCGATTGCCTCTCCCGGTAGTACGAGTTATCACCCACTAATACGTCTCCTGTCCTCTATATAAACTCGCTACCATGTAACATATTCCCTAACTTGAATCTACTTGGTTCTTGACCTCCTACTCTCACCAGAGTGATCCTTTCTGCCTTGCCAGCAGTCTATATTCTATCTTCTTATCTGCTCATCGCGGATAAGCCTATAGTCTTGACCTTTACTCCTCGACTTCGTCGACGAGCAAAGCCCCTGTTAACTAGTCGGACTTTTGTCCTTCTAATTAACGACGATCTTACGATTAACCTTCAGGTGTCGTAAGCCTAGGCCGATATAGCTTATCATCTCGCATCCGCGTGACATAAGCTACCCGATTTGGACATAGGCGTCAAATCTTACTTGCCAAAGCCTCGCCAAGTAAGACCCCTAACCTTGGGCTAGCCCAAGGACGTCCTCGACCGTTGACGACACACGCTCTGTTTGAGCATCGCCAACAGATACCATCCAAGTCGTAACATATCCAGTGTTTTTGTGGATTTGCTCCACCTGATTGTAGGTCAATCACATTGACATGAAATATGCGCAACACTCAGCCAAACTAGTAAGGATAAAGTGAGCAGGATTCCAAATTGCCTGATAGTGTTGTGATATCAGCATGATTTCGAGGGTTGATTAAATCTTGCCTGCATTGCAAATCGTAGGATGTGTAGTTGACACATAAGGTATTGACCGAAAATCGAACATTGTCGCAAATAGAGACACTGTTCCTGTTGTCACTAGAGAAATTGACAAGGGTGTCACTATCTTGTACCCATAAAGAGCGTAAGATATGGTCCTTGAGTTTGGGAATAAATTTCTTGTGAGGAAAGCTAATGAGTTCACACACGTAAGCTTGAGAAAAGACACCCTCAATGTTGGGTCCCTGTGACTATCTGAATCTTGCAACAACTTGTATATATGTACAGGAGAGTTGTGGTGGTGGGATACTTGATGGTGAAAGCATGGATCGGGAGATGGGAGATTTTCGGTACTGATTGCACCCGGAGTTGATTCTTTTTCTGAGTCACGGATTTGTCAAAGTCAATGACGATGATGTTCATGTTTGGAAAGCTGCTTGGCTGTATTCTGCTTATTGGTGAGCAAGTAAAATACCTTAATTGCCCTATGAGCAAGTTCACCCTACAATCCATGTTCAGTTTGTGACTTCAGGACTGGAATTGTACATACAATCTGCATTGTAAAAGAATCAGTAGTTCCGAAAAACTTGATAGTCTGAACATAATCTCATAGAGCATGAAACTTGTAGGTTTTCATATTGAATGATTTCTTCTTCGGAGAGGATGAAGGCACACCAGTATTCTGGTGTTCGCTGCATGCTTCTTGTCGCTGCCATGTGTTCTGTTCCCTCGGCAGTTCGAAAGTGTTGTATACATCACAGACCTGATGCCGGAACTTTTGTAACTGCCGAGTAAGGGAAGTCAACGCCTGTGACATGGAATCAAGAGCTGCTTCAGTGTGTAGTCGCATCTTTGCATATGCATGCCATTTAGCAAACCTGAATAACAAGGTCTGTATTGTAGCATCATGTGAGGCTGGAAAAAGGCCCTCAAAAATAGGCATAGCACACTATAATATAGTCAGTAGTCACCAAGTCTGGGCTGAGAAATAGGTCTACCTGTAGAATATCTTCAAAATCTCTTGCAGCTAACCTCTTCATGCTGAGGTATCATTTGAGAACCTCCTGATCACACCACGACCGAAGGTCGGGACTTCTCTGAACCTTTACAAGTGACATTTAAAAATATGTCAATATGAAGAGCAAAATCTTACCTTTTGTTGAGCGTGATTATAACTTCAGCGCCTTTGGGAAGGGTGTAAATGAGGCGAATCAGATGAGTAAAGAGAGCCTTCCAGGTCCCCAGCTCACACTCATGCATAATATCAACGACGAGCATGCGAAATGGGTCCAATCCGAAACACCCAAGCTTTTGAGCAAAGGCATTCTGAACACCGTATCTCAGACAAATAAGTAATCACATGAAAGACTCATGATAGTTGGTATCCATGACTCGCTGGAGAGGAGGTTCTCCACTGCGGTTCTGTCAACTGCATACCCTGACTGATATATAAAGTTGTGTGCTGCTTGTATCTTCTGCAAGTAATAGACCCTTATGCCTTTAATATGTGTGTGCATGTCTCTGATGAATCCAACACAATCGGCTTTCAATTTTGTCACCAGGCAGACATGCAATTAAGCAGCCGATATACTGACATATTTGGGAAAGGATGTGGAGGCGGAGGAACTGATGCAGATGGTGTAGAATCTGCTGGTGTTGGGCATTGTTTAGCCAGTAGACGCGAAGGAACGAACACATCAGGTTCATAGGACAGGCATTGAGGGTAGTCAGGAGATAGACTGAAAGCTCCAATGATGTTGTGAATGGACTCAGTTACCAGAAGAATTACCCTTTGGATGGTTTTGCTTGCTCGTGGTGTATCATGCATCACTAGAGGATCACCTTTCACCATATCCTGAATAGGAACTTCAATATCCTGGACTATATGTTCAATAGGCTCAGAGACTCAGTAATGACTGGGTAGTCGGATAGTTCTCTTCGGTTTTGAGAGCGCTAACAAAGCTTTAGGAAAAGTAAAAGTGCAATGGTGAGTTTCTCACCAATGCAGTTCCAGCTCTCATTACTGGCGGGTAGTCCACTGGATTCTGGGACATCTAATATGAAACTAGTTAGTACTACAAAAACTTTAGTGGAATCCCGTACTCACCAACATCTATGATTGGTACATTGATGCCCTGCTCCTTTGTTGTGTTGACTGCATCTGTAGCATTCTGGTCAACATCTATTGGAGATTCAGCATCTGGAGGGGAGATCTCTTCGAATCCAAGAGTCAAATGCCCCAAGGACACTCCACTCTGCAATTCAGCGCTATTAGTAGTACTCACAGATCCCCCCGCCAAAGTGATAGCACACTTGAGATTTCATGAGTGTGGTAAAGTGTCCCGGGTGGTATGATAAAACTCACTGTTACAGGATGAGATAATAGCCTGTCTTTCGATACCTTTGTGGATATCACATCACGCGCTTGATCCTTTCGTTTTTGACAGGTGGCAAGCACAGCTTTTCTGTACTGAACACAAGTTTTGCAGTGCAAATTCAGAGCTCGCTGGTCTTTGAGTACCCACAAACACCCTGAGTGCAGGGCTCTGCAAGCAATTCCAACCATTAACACAATGTAAAAACACAAGATGACAGTCGTGATATTGGGGCATTTGCTTCTGGTATGGAGTAGAACCATGTGGTATATGTTGAAGAAGTCAACAAGCAATAAGTGCGACATTAATGATTATTCTGACATGTTCAATTGCTGGTGTTGTCAGAATTATCCATTAGACAGATATTCAGCACTTTATGTGTATTAAGAATAATTCATCAAATATGCATTGCAGCAATATATGAAGTTACAATCACATAGCTACTATGTTCTCCCAATCCGACTCCAGAACCTCCTTCACTACATGTAAAAGTGTGAAGCAATTATAAGTTACCCTATGTCTTCCTAGTCCCCTGGCTGACAAACCTACCATACTAATGACATCGCAGTACCCATAAAGCAGGTCGGGTGATCTCTGATGAAGCAGATTGGTGACTGGAATGAGCGACTGTTCAGTAATAATAACTGATTAAGAGGGGGGGGAATGAGCGACTGTCCAGTGGTGCTAACTGCATGAAATTCGGAAGAGTTCAAAATTTTTCATTGTGAATTACAGGTCCGCCGGAAGTAGCCATGTGTACGTAATTAGGAGCAGTCTGCACTGATCAGCGTGAGGAAAGTCCCAACATGTGATTGGAAAAACCTGATGCACTTATCATAGAGTCTGTACACGCCCGGTAAACAGTGATAATTGACGAGGTGGACACCCCAGCCCACAATGACATCATTAACAGTAGCACCCAAAATACTTAATATTGAATGATAAGTCAAATATGTGAGTCAAATACTACTAAACAATTGTGTTGTGCTGACTAGAAAGGTTTCCCTCATTGATCTTGAGTTGTTGCATTCTCAAAAATTGGATACACCATTGTTAACATGTAAAAAGCACAAAAGAATAATGTGCTAAGTGCTGAATACTGAATTCTGAGGTCTGAGTACTAAGTAGTACTAAAAAGAATCCCTGATATCAGCTGACTCAGCCTAGAAAGGCTGTGCAGGCTATATACATCCATAGTGGAACCCATGGGAGGCACATCCACATCATGCCCGCTACTACCTGTCTTGCATCACCAGTCAAGACATACACTTCTCAGTCACAGTCTCCATCTACAGCACCATATAAAGCACCATATCAGATTTCTCGTCTAAGAGGAAAACAGAACATGACCTTTGTGAAAAGTTCCCCCCAAGCCAACACTCCCCTCACTGGCACTCCAGACTCATCACTGAATACAAAGGATCAAATGAGAATCAATCCAACAGCAACATCTTTGCAGAGGGAAGCATCCCTCAAGCCAGCTTATGATGAATCTTCTGCCAAAGATGGTAAGTGTGTCGAGCACACTGTATTGCATATTGTGCACCCTAACCCTGAGCAATAGCCTTGCGCAAGTGAATTATCGCCACCATCAAAGATGCTGATAACGTGCAAGAAGTCAAAGTATGTAATAATTATTCCGTTATCTTTTCAATTGACTCATGCTCCACTGATCTTAGGAATTCCTTGATGTGTCAAAGGAGGATTATGATTATGTCTTAGATGCCATCAATGATGATAAACTACCATGAAGGTAAGTATTCCCGCACACCCTTATCTGTCCGGTTCTGACTCTTGTTTACATATATCCATCAGATTAGTATACGCTGCAGAACTCAAACTCCTCACCGCCACCCTGCCTAACCGACTACACCAATCATATATCTCCCCTATGGCTGCTACACTTCTTGGCGCCATAGGGGAGATGGGTCTCCCATACTGCTTCAGGCAGTTATGCGTGCAAACTGATGTTGATCTTCTGAACACCATTGGTCAGAGGCTCAGAGTGCCAGATATGCTGGTGGAGTACAAGGATCCAGATGACGATTGCATCCCACTCTGGGCCACTGAGATCAGTGTCTCACAAACAAAGCAATCCACCATCAGGTGACTCAGCGGCTTCATGGAGAATCACAAGGATCTTCTTGCTGTCTCGTTGGTCAACATGAAAGAGGTCAAAAAGCATGCAGGGCCCAAGGATGAGTCAAAGGCAGTGGCATTGCTGGAAATGAAGCCATCAGTGTTTACATTTGCCCAGTGGTTGTCACAAACACCCTCAAGCGCTCGGAGTCCTACTGTGATGAAGACCTTTCATTATACCTGACAACATCCCATCAAGGTGACCATCACTACATGGCTTCACCGCCCAGACGGTGGGTTTGATATCAATGAAGAGGATCCCGACCTCTTCGCAACTGCGGTGAGTTGCTTATCCCTCTTTTAAACTGTGTTCTAATATCTACTACAGCGCTTGTTTCCTACACGTGATGGTCTTGAAGACGTTGACCATGTTTTTCAACTTACCCTGCAGAGGATCAGGAACCACATCATCAACCTGATCGAGGTGAAATCTTCAGAGTACATTTTTCTGTTTCTCCTCTGCAAATTGACCTCATCAACACCTTTTTCCCAGTGAGGTTAACAGTACCACCTTTGATCATATTCGCTCATGGTCTCCCCCATCATCACTGATCAATTGGGACCTCCTCACTGATGAGATTATCGTTGGTGCCAGACAAACAGGGTACAAGCACTATGCTACATGGCACAAAGTGATTCTCAAGCGCAAGGCAGAGGCGGACGAAGTGACCACCGGAGGGTCTAGGACTTCGAAAAGGGCCAAGATGGCTTAGCAAGTCATATGGACTTTTTCTTCTTCATTCTTACTCATGCAGCATGTTCATTGATTACTTGTTTGATGTTTTGACCTCTGCTGAGCCAATTTGTTCATGTCCTGACATGTACAGTACATTCTCACTAGTGTTTGTGTAACAAATAGTACCAGCTTTCAATCAAATTTTGACCCATGAGCCACACATGCATGAACACTATTATTTACAGCTAACTACTGATGATGTGCCTCAATATCAAGAACATGTGCTAAAATGACAATTTGTTCTTGGAGAACATAGAGGATTTCTTTTCCTAATTTGAGATTTGCTGTCAAACCTTCCACGTGTTTTCTTGGGAAAGCCCTTACTCTAATTGTGAGTTTGATTTTTTGGTGATCTGAAACATGAGAGACTCACTCCAACACACTCGCAGCCTCCAGGTGTGGATCCATCCAAGTCTGACAACATGTGTTTCAAATTAGGCCTTTGGTGCTTGAGATTAGGTGTAAGTCTATTTATCCAACAATCAATATTCAAATTCAAAATTTCATGTGCTACTTCATCTTCTAAGTCAGGCTGTACAACTTTGATGCAGCCTGAGGATGATTTAGGTGCCAGCGACCAAGATCTACTTTTGGAGTCATCTTGCATATCGAGACTGACTTGCTCAGGATAGATCTGATTGTAGATGTAATTTTCCACAGAGTCAGCTGGCGTGCCTTGACCATTTGCTGGGTAGCACCATCTGTGACAACCAGTAAGTTTTCAAGTTCTGGTCCGAGAATAATGAGTGATGCACTGTTGTTGTACCTAGTAGAACTTTGAGAGCTCTGAGTCTCATCATTGGCAGAGCTTGGATGCATTATGATGAAAGATGAACTCAATGGTGAGTGAAAGGATGACAACAGGTATTCATGGTCATTCTGCCGTTGCCCTTAAATGCGACTGAAATCTTTTTGGTATATTTTCCAATCCCTACTAATCGTGCACTTCTGTTTGACTTTCCAAAGGGTTCATTCTACATACGGCAGCTCCATGGCGGTAATTAAATGGTAATTTGATTTGGATACGTTACACCTTTGCATATTGATTTAGACAAACCAATACCATATTTGCTTCAGCTGTTTAGCATGACACAGAGTGTGACACTGACTGTCACACTGCTCCACTTGCCTGCAGCGACGTCTATGCTGCTGCATGAACATGTTATCGTTGAGCTGGTAACATGAAATGCACATACCTGTCAACAAAATTGTAACACTTTCGAGTCTTTCACGCACAACAGTTTACAACATCTTCAATCAATTGATCTCTACACAATCCACTTGTTCTACCCAGTGGCAGCCACCATCGTAAATTGAAAGTAGAAGGGCTTCTCAATGCAGATCCCACTATGTTTCTCAATGAAAGTTAAGATCACCTTGCTGAAACACGCAACATTGAAGTCTCTATTTGCTACACTTTCTCACACCCTTTGAAATCTCTCAATCACACACCCATCTCTCACAAAGGAAGCACTGGAACATGATGAACTATTGGGGATTCAGACCCACAACTGAAAGCTTGCAGATGGGCCAGAGGTAAAAGTGGGTCAAATGTGCTGCATTACTCATAGAGATTACTTTCATGGACAGTACACGAGGCCCAGCATCTTTTGTTTGGTGATGACGACTTCAGCCCAGTGGTGGTTGTCTGCGACAAGCATGTAATATATTTGTACCAAAAACATGACCAAACATATCAGCATAGTTTGTAAATGCCCATGATCATTTGATACCTTGGTCGTGTACACGCACACCTTGCCTCTGTTTCATGCAGCTTCGAACAATTCAATCTGGATATTGGTCCAGATATTGTATGTCTTAAGTTGCGAACTTTCAACTATTAGTCATGGTGCTTCTAGGTTTGATCTCGAAGGCATCACCCTAAATTTTTTCAAATGACAAGGTCACTGTTGCTCCACCACTCGTGTCTCAATCCCTGTTAGTGTGCCGTAAAGTTGAAGGTCAATTCAATTGCGTTCAAGCGAGTGCCCTTGGTCAATTTCGGGATGTATGACTTACATGACAAATTTTCTTGCAGGCATTATACTTTATGTTCAATGTATAAAGTACCAGCCAGCGTCTACTCTACTCACTTGCAACTATCGTGATCCTCCAGTGATGAGTTGCCAGGCCAATGGAGAAACAAGCTCCAGCATTCATGACAATCAAGTTGCCCCTCCTGTTGGTACTCAAGTTGACCCGTACTATATTGGTACCCCAAATCAGCCATTTTTCCCCTTGGCCTTAGTGAGTCAATGTCTCATTTGACTCTTTCATTGACGAAACTCTGATATAATCTTTACAGCTTTCCAAACGAGTCATGACCTCCATCAGGACGTATTTGGAGCAGCGATCTTGCAAAGCTTCAACATGCATCCTAGTGTTTTAGCTGGTGAAGCGAGCCGCTACTTTTATCTTGCCATGTTGTGAAACAGTCCTTGTAGGTTTATTAACGATCATACTCGTCAGACGCTGATCACTGTGTGTTGTAACAGCATCGGACGCTAACCAAGAGGCCTTCAGCTATTTGAAGAATGAGATTGGCACACACAAACCAACATGACTCCTTTCGATGTGGAAAAAGTGTAGTCTCGGATTTTTTCTTGAGGTGGGCATTTGGACCCGGTTATGTTTACCTTCACTCCCGTCATTTCGGATGCCATTGCTATGGCTAATCAAGTCGGTACAGCATTTGAATGGCTGCACATATGTGATTTGGGACTGGTCGGTCTACTGATGGGTTCTTTGACTTCATGCTGATGTCTTTTTTTGTTGGGAATAGGCCCAAAATTTCCAGTTCCATAGCCCACTGCCATATTGTCTCCTAGCAGAATTTCTTTCCAATCCGAAGTTTTTTGGAATTGTGTTGAGGAATGAGTTGCAAGTCACTTGCTCCACAAGAAACATGACTTGCCCAGTGGTTCTTTCTAACATGCGGTTCAGCCTTGCTTCTTCCATTATCATAGTAAAGTTTATATTATTTTGTTTCTATCATACAGTGACTTAAAGAGGATCTAGTTGCATCGCACTTTTAAAGGGCATTGGAACTGGTCATTGATTCAGGGGTTTGATCCTCTTTATACAGATGAGTTAGCTAGTGACGAGGAGACCACTAGTTTCCTTACCAACATCTACATTATGACTGGTCAATTGGCCGCCACTGGGGAGGTTGTTCGCAGGCAACTGAAGGATATGTTGAGCCTTGCTATGTGAGTGCTCATCCTACTCCTTTGCCAGAGTTTGAACTGATTTTTTTTGCAGGCGCAAAATGGACCCTACCTCGTACTTCTCATACTCATAGTTATGGTCAGTCACTGAGTTTTTGAGACATCTGTTGAAATTGATCGTGAGCTCTCCCACTTCTGCTCACATGTCCGACTTTATATTAATGACTGTCGTCATATTACATGCAACTTTAAGAATAAATGAAAAGGGAACTGCCCATCCACCTCCTTGCAGCCTTGCAGGCCTCGACCAAGACAGCCCATGAAACTCTTTGTCTCCAGCTGTAAGTTCCTTAAAGGTATTCTGTGTTGAGCCGAGGCACAAGGCGAGCGCAGAAGTTAATCTATGTGCGAATAAGCGAGGTGGCACAGCACTTCTTGCTTCCACCCACCTCGCAGCATCCTCTAATCCTAAGCTCATATTTAGTTCTCACTCTTTTTGCACCCACCCGCCTCTCCCAGATCAGAGTGCAAGACAAACACGCTGAATTCTAAACAAACCAGCTACATTTGTCTGACACTTGGTGGCTGCTCCTTAGACATCGCTATCACCAACTAAGTAAGCTGATCGGGCCCACCCGCCCTCACACAGCTCACTTCAATGCCCAGGTTCGGACCCAACTGTCAGGCCGGAAAAGCCCTGTGGGCTTTCACCCAGACACCCAAACAACAATCACTCACCCTAGCTTCGTATTCAGTAATATCCTCTGTAACATTAACACCATTTCATACTCACAAATATACATACTCATTTGTCCCCACTCAAACTCGTCACCATTCCTTGATAGCCACATAGTTATTGATGCACATAGACTTGAATTGTATCCACCTTTGCTGTATAGTTCTTGGATACATGAAATTTTAATTGTGAACCAGCTTAAATTGTCGTGTCTCGAGTTTACTGAGTGAGATGAGGATATAAATTATAAATTATGACTACAAATATCTGACAGGAACACAGTGGGTTAGTATGTATGAGGTGTAACTACAAGTAAGAGAGAGATAGAAACAGGATGCGGTGGAAATCACTATATGAAGATGATAGGTAGTCCCATGGTAATTGGTAGGCAGAGACAGTGAGGGATCTGGCGCTAGGTCTTGATGACATGCCACCTGGTCATGGTGCACTGTTCCAAAAAAAATTACCAGTGGCAATGGCGACAACCTAGCCAGGTTGCAGGAAGGAGCAGGTCCACAGGAGAAGGATTGGTGTATAGGCAAAGAGAGATGGTGGCATTCACAAGGCAGGCACTAGGATTGGGACAGAGTCAGCATCACTCAGATACTCGGAAGCGAGCCGGTCAGCCAGAGACAGGGACTTGGCAACGCTTGAGTTTAAATGTTACATGATACTGCTGCTTCTTGATAGCAGGCTTATGCGAGCTTCTCGGGAGCATATTCTAGTAGAACCCACCCTCAATCGCACCCCAAGTGAGAATACTTTCTGGAATATATCGAGTGACCACACTCATACCAAGTACGATTTACTCCTGTCTCACAAAATACCGACAAATTATAAAATCATTGTAAGTCTCTCGCTCTTTTGTTGTGCTCTTCCATCCTGATGGCTATACCACAACAAGAATCTGACAGTGACCACAAGGATGACACCGCTGCCCGTGCCAAATGGCGCATTGCATCTCTGGAGCAGGAGCTCAAGACTATGAGGGCTAGCAAGTGGAGCAAGCCATGACTCCCAATCTCCTTTCAATTTACAACGGGGTCTCATTCAGTTTGGTATAACACGCACAGACAAGCTAGCTCCAACATACACAAAGGACGCTGCATTCACTGGCTTGTATCTTTGTTCGACAGCCTTGAGGACCTAGTGGCTGAAAACAATCAACGCGAAGATTTACTGCAATTGCTTGATTCACAAGATGAACTTGTCATGAGTTGGGAGTATGTTCTTCTTATTCACATTGCAGCTTTCATGTTCTAACTGTGATCAGCGAGGATAGAATATTTAGTGCTTTCAATGAACTCCTTCGCTGCCTCCCTTGGCTAAGGAAGAAGCTTTTTTCTGACATTGAGGAACTTGTTTCAATTTTGAAAGAGGTGACCATTTCTCCCAAGACCACACTGGCCCATATCTCTGGGCATTGATCTTGTTCAAATGAAATGTGAGTGATATGAAACAGACGGTAAGGAAAATGAACATACACCCCACTATTGGATAGTGGTCATGCCAGGTGGAGGTGGTGCCTCCAATATATCCATATATTTCATGAAATTGACCTGCCACAGTTTAGCCCCAAGTCGATGGTGCTGTTGTTGGAATATCTTCATCTTTGTCCGAACTTTGAGTTTGACGAATGAGTCTCTGGAGACGACTTGCTTTTCCTTTCTTGACACAAGTTTCTGGGGCTGATGCAGTGGTACCCATTTCAAGGTAGTGAGCTTCAAACTTTTAAACACGTCAGATATGAAAACATATATTAAACATTGTTTGACCTACCACTCGTTCCATACATGCAAGGACCTCTTGCTGGAGATTGTCGGGCCAGTTTTTCTTGAAGTAAGCCATTTTTTCCATTGGATCAAGTACTTGCATTTCAATGTTAGCAATCATAATATATACAGTAACCACATTGACGAACCCATGGCCATAATATATGCAGGAGTCTTTGTTGTCTTCTCATAGTACTCGTCAATCTTCTCAGCAGCAGCATCCAGCGCTTGTGCAAAACAAGTATACTTCAGCCGTCCCGCATGAGAGGACCATGCTTTGTAGAGCATCTCAAGTGCAGGAACTACTAGGTGCAGCGTGGTGCCTGTATCCGACGAGAATGCCTGTTGGGCAATGTCCGCACATGTGCACATGTTGGACAAAGATCAAATCTGGACAACACTGTACCAGATGCCTGTGGAGTGATCCTGTAACTGTGAATGGTGAATACATGTCATATATTGGACAAACATTAAGTCGTGACATCAAAGTTGATTCTCAAAGCAACTGTTGCATTTGACGTCAGGAACCGATTTATGCTCATTTATGCTCAGACTATTTTTAAACATTTCATACAAGCCAACAGTAAATACACTCAAAGCCGTGGCCTGAGCCGCCGGCTCACAGCTTTTTGAAATCATGGGCCAGGCCAAAGCCCTTATCAGGCCACAACTTTGGCCTGGCCTGGCCCACGGCTTGAGGCCGGGCCGTGCACATCACTAAAGGTATGCTGCACTATGTCAAGGGTGACATTGCTCACCTAATTACCAAAGGCATTTAAACATGTCTTTACATCTCCATCCTCTGCCAAAGAAATTGACAGTGATGGCAATGGTGCTGATGTCATTGCGGCATCTCAACGTCGTCGGTCCTCAGAGAATGATGCGGCTAACCATAGTCATGTGGCTAATATAATAGGCATGAAAACGGTGACTCCACGCGCCATCACATATGCAGCTTGTCAAGTTCATCAACAATCTTTTTCATAGTGTTTCCGATTTGAAACTTATTGTTGATATAGCTTCCATTTGCTCTTTCCAATGTGAACTCCTGGCGGAGTGTTGATGGAGACTTTGACTACTATGACTTCTACAACAACATTGTAGACTTTTTTGAGGTTGTACCAGGTGCTGATGCTCAAGCCCGCATTACTGAGTTGCTCAAATGGTGGAATAGGTAGGTTCTTTGTCGTTGTCATGTGCCTTGTACTCCAATGTTTCGCATCACTCGCAGGAAAGTATTTGGAAAAGTCCGTATGGTTCCCCTTACTTCAACACAGCTCAGGAGGTTTTCAGTTACTAGGATGGGTTCACAGAGAGAAGTACATGAGGGAGGCTCTCCTTGACACACTGGGCACCAGATTGTCAAGCAAGTATCAATGTTGTATATGCCTGTTCATGATTATTATACTCGTCACAAAATATGATGCCCTGTTACTTTGATGACTATAACCTAGAAAGTGCTCTGAGTTGTGCGCATTTATTCAAAGCTGCCAAAGCCCCTCCAATAGAACAAGTTTTGCACTTCCGTTCGAACCTGCAAACACCCTCCAAACAAATGATTTTTTTTGAAATGCTCAATTGTATCCCATACAGTTCTACTTTGTCTTTCCCAACCAAATTTATCCGCGTGATTGACTTACATGCATTCGTTCAATGCTGGCAAAGGCTGCCCCACAGAATAAGTTTTGCACATTTATTTGAACCTGGCGAAGTCCTCCGAACATATCAAGCTTCTTGTTATGCTTCACAATGATCGTGCAGCCGTAAGGCAATGACCATAGCCATAATATCTCACATTTCTTATTCCCTTTTAGATTCTTTGCTGGTTGACTTTATACTGGTGAGCCAACTGTTTTTTTGAGCTTCATGTTCTCATTCTTCAATAGTCTGTGGTGGTCCTACGAGTATCACTTCGAAATCCGTCAGCACATTAGTGGTATGTGTTTTGTAACTATACTCGATCACTTCCACTAACAACGCTGCAGCTCTTTTGTGCCTTCATTGCCTTTGGTTAGTATCCTTTCTCGTATGTATTCGCCTTGCCTGACGTGACTTTTGATTATAGTTTTCAGCTTAAGTTGGTGCATATGATATTCAATTGAACCTTATTGACACAAGTGCAGCTTTAGTAGGGCAATTGTAAGCCAATATTCTAAGAGCATCCTTGGATGCTGCCGCTGATTCTCGTTCAGCTTCTAGCAGAGGCAGTTATCCACATTTGCTTCTCCTTCCATGGCAGTGAGTGTCAGTTTTTGCTTGATTCAGAAAATTCTCAACCAGGAATTGCAGATCATCGCTGGTATCAGCCAAGGCTTTGCAGCAGTCGTGAACATCATCATTCTTATTGCGATGTGTTGGTCATTGCATCCAGCACGTTATCCGGACATGCTTCAGTCAGTGTTTTGTATTATGAGACACAAGCAACTGCTGACATATTTTTTTCAGGCCTGAGGGAGTGTTTGAAAACCTTGTCATGCTGTTTGTTTGCCATGGCCTAGGATTTGTGTGGGTTTACTCCACATTTGGGTTTTGCAGCCTAACCATGTTTTTCAGCATTATTCATCTAATGTATCTTGGCACAGTATGTGGATACTTGGTCAGCATACCTTTATAGCTCATCTGTATAGTTTGTTGCTTTACCAGGAAAACCATACTGGATAGCAGTCCAGATGGTGGCACCCAGGGGTGAGTTTTCACCATCCACTCACCTTGTGCACAGGCTCATAGTAGATCATAGTTTACACCAATGCTGTCCTGGGACTGTGAGTCATTCACCTAACATCTCATCATACACTTGTTCTCATTTTTTCGCAGCTTGAATACCCGGGAAGTCAAACACGGTGTCGGTCTCAATGAAGAAGAGACCTTGTCTGATCGACATGAATCTCAAAATGATCCTTTCCCAGGTCAGCTCCGTTTTCGCGACATAAAGACAGTGAGCACACACCTTGAGACTCAGTGATCCAACACTAATGTATTATCATCCTCGGACACAGCAGTCATTGAGCTTTTTGCGCCAGGGAGAGACCGGTCGGGGTAGTGAAATTGAGGAAGCATGCAAATTGGACCAGAACCTGGTGGGTTCATGTCATATGGTGTTGAAGATGTCCCCCGATCTTACGGATTATACAGGAGTCCATTAGTTCTCATTGCAGCGAAAAAAATGCTGATGACAAGGCAAGCTTATCATGATGCGGAATGTCTGATTTGCTGGTTTTCATGCTTATTAATATCCATTGTACTAACCATCGCTGTCGTCCCTCCCGCACTTGCTTTCTTTGCTTTTGCCCCTCATTTGTATCATATCACTGTCAATGTTACAGTCGACACAGTGCATACTACTTTCTACATTCGTCCTTGCCTCTTGAAGTAGCTCGGACTTGGAAGACACGTATTATATCACGGACTCGGGGATTCTAACATAGCGTATATTGCACATATTGTACGCACCAATTAACATTTTAACATTCCAAGACAATTATTTTGGGAGATGGAATCTTTCTGAACCACACTTTCTAGATGTCGACCACACAAATTAAGCATTGGTCTTTGAAGCGATGTTTTCTTTCCCCTCGACATGAGTTGTGTCTGTCATGTGACAGTCACGTAATGTTTGATGCATTCGCTTACCTTAGATCATTAGTAGTACTTATGTCACAGTCAGCATTTCTTCCAATCAACAAGGACAATCGAGACGACTTCACTTTCGCAAAGCTCTCTGATCTCAAGCTCCCTGTCATTTTTCACATGTATGCACTATTACTCATTTTGCAGGCTACTTGCCCACACTCAACACCAGTTCTCAGTTAGAGGGATCAATACCACAACTGTCTGTTTCAAAGCTACTTGAGAACCCAGAACTGAGATTTCATGGTTCACAATCTTCGTGCATTTTTCTCTGATATTTAACTTCTCTATATTGCAAATGTCAGGGCTTTCTCAGACCTCTATGTCTCCTGCCAGCTCCTGGTGGATAACAAGCCACTGACCATACCCTTCCGCACTCCCTTCAAAGCTTTCAAGAACAACTACATGTACGCCTTATTTCACCCTTATTTCTTTTGAGCTCACTACTTATATAGGTGGAACGAATGGATAACATTACCCATTCGGTACTGCGACCTCCCATCAAGTTTGTAAATAACATTTACTGTATGGGATATCGGGGCTCCACGCACAGCGCTGCCCGTTGGCGGCTCAATGTTTAGGATGTTTGGAAAGAAATGGTTCATCAGGTATATTTACATTACATAACAATGCTTATCATACGGTCACCACATCAGGACATTGTGTCGGGGAAAACACTGCTTATTGCTTTGGGTGTGTGAAGAAGCGGACAGCTCCATGCAGACCGAAACTCCCAGTAAACTTGGCATTAGGGATGAAATGGGTCGTTTAGAGAAGGTAGGCAGTGCCACAGCGCCCTGATATGCTCGCTCATTGCTTGCCTTTCCCTCAGCTTGTGAAGAAATACGAATGTGGCGACTTGCTAAAGTCAGATTGGTTAGACAACATGGCTTTCAGAAAGATGGAAGATATACATGCCGTAAGTCTTCTTCAATTAAATACAAGCACAAAGACTCAAAGAGGATTGAAGGCAGAGACAGAAGTCAGAATATGTACCTTTATGTCGACCTTCCACGATTTGACTTTCCCTGTGATATTCAGCAAGGCTGTCAGTGTCTCTTTCTTGAATGTAGTTTCCTTCACAGTTTGACTTTCTGTAGGAGGCCCAGAATCAGACAACAATACCACTTGCACCTCCAGCTGCAGGTCAGACACCTCTCACACCTGTACTTCCCAGTCAGATCCACACCTCTGGGCCATCCTTGACCCCGAGATTTCACACGAAAGCCCTGTGGAGGACAAGCATCACCAGCTCGTATGGAGTCACCAAAGTAGGCCATACAACAGAGAGCTCAAGCCAAATGCCAAGCTCAGAGATGAACTTAATGTGTGCAAAATATCAACTCAATATGTACTGTTGATTTCCTCACATGCCATTTGTAGGAAATACTCAATTATGCACCCTCCCAGCCTCTCAACTCTGAGGAGAAAGACCTCATCTGGAAGTTTCATTTCTACCTCACATGGGACAAGCGCGGGCTTACCAATTTCCTCAAGTCTGTCACTTGGCGCAATCCTTCAGAAGTGAAGCAAGCAGTGGAGGAGCTACTGCCAATGTGGACAGAGGTTGACACAAATGATCCATTGGAGCTCCTCGGACCAGGGACCGGGAACTCGAGAGTAAGAGTGTTTGCAGTACAGCAACTTATCCGTGCAGATGATGAAGTCAAACATTTCCTTTGCCTACATGATTGCGGCGCTGATGATCTTAGCAGGAGCTTTTGTTGTATCTCTTGCAACTCATACAGGCGCTCAAGTTTGAAAGTGCCGCTAGCGAACAGCGCTTGAGTTGATCCACAACAAGTGCAATATCTTATGATGATAGTGGCCTGACAGACTTTTTGATCGTACATGGAGTACAAAACCATATACTGGGTAACCAGCTGTATTGGTATCTTATAGTAGAAGTGGAGCTGGAGGATAGGGTTGTGGCAAAAATGTACGGGCGAGTGGTGTTCAAGTTTCTGAGCAAGATTTTGGAGGTAATCAGATTCTTACCCATGTCCACCCTCGCTGATAAAACAGTTTATTAGTCTGAGGATGGCAGTGAATGCCGTGAGCTCATGCGACGCCAAGGCATCCTTGTCGAGACCCTCACCAAATGAGCCAAGGAACTGTGCACTTCTTAAGACCCATGACCCAAAAAAAAATCGAGAAACTCCACACCTTCATCAATGACTCCAAGAATGGGCTCGTCAACATCCCTCCTCTGCCTCTGCCGCCAGTCTTCAAGTTGAATCTCTACCCCTTCTTGTTATATTTCCAGTGTTCTGATGGCACAGAGAATCCTGTGATTTTCAAATATGGTGATGACATGTGCCAGGTCCAGCTTGTCCCCCAGTTGTTCACACTCATGGATCAGTCGCTCAGGAAGGAGAATTTGGATCTGAAGCTCATTCCTTATGATGTGCTGGTGACTGGGCCATTGCAGGGTATGGCACAGTTTATCCCCAGCAAGACTATCACAGCAATTATCAGTGAGAATGGGATGCTCTTCAACTATTTGAGAGCGAATAATCCACATGAGGGTGGCATTGGAACGTATGGGGTCGAGCCGATGTTCTTATTGAGCGTTTATACTCATGGTGCCTTACGTTCTCATTCACCTGCTGACTCGCTGGATGAGCCTATCAGTGCAGGCATGCGTTGTCGAAGGTCATCTAGTGCTGACGGTAGTAACCCACTTCTGCTTACGCCCAGAGAGTCAAAACGACTCAAGACATACACTATAAGGGTTGCTGAGGATAAGGGCGTCTCTGAGACTCTCCTTCATGATTTTATTGATGTAAGATTTGCTTGTTGCTATTATGAATTCTTTTTGACATGTTTTTAGACGGGAGGAATTTACTACATGCTCTCATTGATCTTAAAGTCTTGTTGCTTACTAGCATCGCAAATAGGGAAACCGTACTCAATAATTTGAAAGAGCTACTGGAATCTAAAGATTTCAAGGTATTTTTGTCAGTATTGCCTTGTGATGTGTTGGACCTGATCATTTACAACACAGTCAGGGCTGCAATATATATATAATGTCTTGAAGTTTTTAAATGTCTAGTGGCGCGACTGAAAAAACCAATAGCCAGGGCCCCCACCGTATGGAGAAGCATTCAAGCAATTGTTTGTGCTTCGTGTGAAATGACTTGCTTGTAACCAATGGACTTCGTTGATATTGTCTTCTAGGGCTCAATCTTTTGTTGGTCTTTATCCTGATATCTGTATGTTTCTTTCTGTCTTTGCTTCAACCATCTAATGTATGGTGTTTGAAGTGGGCTATAAACTTTGCTCTTCCCAATCAGTACACTCTTATATTCGTTTGTAAGTATGTGATCTAATCTTTACTGTAACCAACCTTATACATTGTTCTAGTTACATTTCTGGCTATCATACCGCTGGCCAAGGTAACCTAGATTCACTTTTCAGCCTGTTTGATGTTTTCGCAGCTCCTCGCCTTTGCGACTGACAATCTGTCACTACAAGTTGGCCAAACTCTAGCTGGTCTTCTCAACGCTACATTAGTCAGTAGTTCATGTTTCAGTCTTTTGCCCCGCTGAATTTTGATGGCTAATAGGGAAATGTGTCAGTAAGTTTTTTCTCAGTAGATCACTTTCTCACCTTTTTCCTTTTATCCACAGCGTCAAACTCATCGTATCAGTATGTCGTGCTATTTTCCAGCAGCCTGTATGACAACCAATTGACCCATTTTAGATCATCGCACTTGCGAAGTGTCAGCTTATAATCATTCAGTCGTCCTGTATGTGTCCCATAGCTTTACTCTTTTGTACTTTGCCTCAACCCTGACACGTGGTTTTTTTTATAGTGGTGGGCTCTCTATCCTGAGCAATCTCTGTATGTGCTTAGGTTTACTGTGGTGAAATCAATTAATGTGTACATAGCGCTGGTACTGGGCATGTGTTTCTTTGCTGGTGGTCTCTGCTTTTCGGAACAAGGATTTGGTCAAAGTATGCAGTTCCTTGTTCTGAGTTGGTCCAGACTGTTGATGCATACGTCTATGGCTTAGGCACTGTATAACTCAATTCATCATTACTGACCATCAGCATGATTGCTGTTCTGTTACCTGGGGCTTTTCACATGGCTCTGCAGGGTCAACCACAATATAGCGAATTGTCGACCAATTACAACATATTGAAAACTAGCCATGGGGTGTGTGGATTATTGTTCGTAATAAGTTTGGTCTTACATTCCCTATAGGTTGCGATTATTTTCCTTTTCAGTAGGTGAACAATATGATTTTCTTGGCAGTTGACTAAACCCATTCCAATCATCCACTGGCAGTCTACGCCTCGTATTTGGTTTTCCAGTTATTTTCGCACAAGCCCTCTACGACGATAATAATGAAGATATGCAACCAACCAAGGAGTACGAGGGCCAGAATCCATTTTGGTTGCACAGGGCACGGAGGAATATCACAGATGCCAAAACAGTGTCTTCCCTGACTCCAGCACATGGTGGAGAGGCAGCCGCAACATTGTCCCACCCTACAGGCGCCAACCCTGATGTAGAACCTGGGAACCATTCCATTGCATCAATAGAGACTGAGGCGCCTGAGCAACCATTGATGAACCTCGCTGTGCACCTTTGGCTTTTGGCTTTTGGCTTTTGGTTGTCGTAACTGCGGTGCATCCTCACTGTGATAGTCACACTAAGTTCTTAATTTTTTTGCTTTAGTTGGTTGCTGTTACTGCAGAGTTTCTCGTCAACTCAATTAATGGCTTGACATCATCTGGGTTGATCAACAAGGAGTTCGTTGGTGTTATTTACTCCCAATTGTCGGCAATGCAGCAGAACATGCACTGCAGTTACGGTATCCATGAAGGATACACTGACTCTAAACTTGGGTGTTGCTGTGGGTTCGAGTATTGTGAGTTCACTCTAGGCTACAGACATGGCTTCTATAGTGACTCACTGTTTTCAGAAAATTGTGCTCTTTATGATTCCATGCATAAAGTCTTTGGGCAAGGAAACCGAGCCAGGGGTCCAATAAGCGAAACAGAAAGTTCAGCTCTGGTGCTATAACTCAAATTTGTAGTTCAAGCCCAATGAGTCCATTGTAAGTCTCCACTGATGCCCCCACTGCCGTCACATAATGAACAATTCATGTAGGACATGGATCTTTTGAATGAAAAACAGCTCTCTTATTCATGCTGGCAAGCTGCTGCAACAACCCGACACTGGCTTTGAATGGAACAGGATGGACTGAGCTTTTCATCTTACAGTTTGACAACTACTGTAAGTTTTCTAACCCTTGTATTGTATCGGGACACTAGGTACAAGGGTCCTAGTGATCGAACATGGATTTTAATGTGAACAAGGGCTGAGAATAATTGGGAGTGAGTCCACATGTGTGCATGAGAGTCAAGGGGCAGAGGGGGCAAAGCAAGTACCATTGGGCAGTAGACCATCAAAGTGGACTGAGGGATGGGTGATGTCCAGGCCTCCAGGCACTGGCCCAGTTTTGCCACGATGTCGATGTCATGAAACCATGATAGGGTGCTCACGTTCCTTCTATAATAATGTGACCACTCGGCTTCAAGCCTTGTGTTTCGAGTCAACCAAACCCCAATGTTCTTCAAAGGCTTCAAGTATGGAGTGAATTGTTTCAGTATTTGTGGTTTCCTTGCAGCCATTTTCCATCCTCTCATGAGCTCTCCTTGTGATGTCCCCGGCATGTTCAGCCAGTCTGAGAGTAAATACAGCGTAGGAGATTGGCAGGTGCTCCTCCTGGGTAGTGAACTGTCTTTGCAGTGCCAGCTTGAAAAGGTTGTTTACTGCAAGCTTAGTATGAGTGCCATGCAGTGTGATACCAGTGTAGCCATTATTCTCCTTTCCTCACCATCAATGTCCTCATAATGATTAGACTCAGTTGCAGCATACATGAAACATATCAGAATTGACTGCTACAGAGTTTGACTAGGTTTTTCTACACAATTATGTAATGACAAGTAATGTAATCTGTTTGCAAAGAATATCCAACCAACCAACCAATTAACCACCCTGCACTTGCAGGTAAGGGGCCTGAGGTAGGCTAGGCTGGGCTCATTTTCAGTCTACACCGCAACTACCCCCAAGTCCCTATCTTTACTGCGGCATGCGAGTCTTTCAATTTACCCCATCCCTATAGTGTCAGAAGCCCCACATGACTCAGACACTATCTGGAGACCTTCAAGCTGGTGTGAGCACCGGACATGGTTGGTTAAGAAGACATGAATTAACGCAAACATGAAAAACTCACCTCCAGCTGATTTAGCATGAGCATTCCTTATCCTGGTGGAGCGTGATCGCAGGAGAGGCAGAAAAGGTCTGAATGGATGTCCATGTTAATGACAGGCATCAGGTAAATGACCCGAAAATGATAAATTATAGCAAGCTATTATAATTACTAACCACCTATACAAAGTAGTGTCAAAAATAGCCTGTATTCCAGTTTATTTTTGTTGGTTGGTTAGTTGTGTGAAGTCAAAAAGATGCATCAGCTTATTCTTATTCAAGACATTCTGTGCATAAAATAAAATATTGGCAGTATGGTTTTCACTCACACTGCTTGTTATCAATCACTACTGTTACTGTTGTTGTTGTTGTTGTTGTTGTTGTTGTTGTTTGTTGTTACTGCTAATACTGTCGCATGAGTGCCCATCACAGACACGGCTCCGATTGGGAGCCGGTTGGATAACAGGTAGTGTGCCAATATCTATGCACACATAATCAGTGTTCACCAGAGTCACGGTCCCTACAGAGAGCCGTGTCACATAGTTCATCTGCGTCTCTTACTCAATCAATTACTACTGTTACTGTTGTTAATACTGTTGCATGAATGCCCATCACAGACACGGCTCCGATTGGGAGCCGGTTGGATAACAGGTAATGTGCCAACGTCTGTGCACACATAATCAGTGTTCACCAGAGTCATGGTCCCTACAGAGAGCCATCTCGCATAGTCCATCTGCCGTCTCTTACTCACAGTTGAGATGTAAGCTGTGCCCAATTAATACTACATCACAGACATGGCTCCCATTGGGGGCCGGTCAGTGTATATGGTAGTGTGCCGACGTGCATAGGCTCATTTTACTCATGATCATTTCACCGGTAGCCAAAAGGATCAATTAAGACACGGCATCTTATCAGGCACATATATGTCTACTTATCTTATTGACCTACAAAATTACTGTCATTGTTACAAGAACATCTAGATGCTTGGGCCCCTACCATTTTTTTCCTAATCCTCCTCGTATCAGCCCTCGCGTCATACCCTTACCCCGACCTCACCCTTGTTATCCTCGTCATCCTCGCATTCCCTTTCGCCCTCTACCTGTCGCTTCAGCAGAGCCAGTACATCTGGCCGGATCCTTTCGCTGACGAAGCATACCCATGCTCCGTTCCACCACCTGACTGATCCTGCGGACAGTCCCCTTTGCCCTTACCGTCCGGACGGTAACCTATGATATGATGCATGACGCATCCCTTTTGCCCTATTCCCTTTCTTGATCTCTGACTCGATGCGCAGTTGCACATGCAACTTATACTTAGTTCCGCAGTTGCACGATCGTGCCCCTGCGCGTTTCACTTCTTATTCTGATCTTTGACTCACTTCTTATCTGCACGTTCAGGACTCGCCTGTGTCTCACCTCGAATGTGCCTTCCTATTATGGTCATACCCTTTACCGTTTACTTCTCTTGGTAGTATGAGTTATCATCCACTAATACACGTCCAGTCCTCTATATAAACTCGCTACCATGTAACATATTCCCTAACTTGAATCTACTTGGTTCTTGACCTCCTACTCTCACCAGAGTGATCCTTCTGCCTTGCCAGCAGCCTATATTCTATCTTCTTATCTGCTCTTCGCGGATAAGCCTATAGTCTCGACCTTTACTCATCGACTTCGTCGACGAGCAAAGCCCCTGTTAACTAGTCGGACTTCTGTCCTTCTAATTGACGACGATCCTTACGATTAACCTTCGGGTGTCGTAAGTCTTGGCAGATACAGCTCATCGTTCGGCATCCGCCTTACGTAAGCTACCCGATTTGGACATAGGCGTCAAATCTTACTTGCCGACATGTCGCCAAGTAAGACCCCTAACCTTGGGCTAGCCCAAGGACGTCCTCGACTGTTGACGACACACGCTCTGTTTGAGCGTCGCCAACAGATACCATCCAAGTCGTAACAGTCATACATGAATTGTCCACTGCAGATATCAGACTTTGCCAATTTTTTTGTGAACGTGAATACATGTGACTGCGTAGCTGTGGTTGTGGTTTGATCATTGTGGAACAATGGGTGGCACACGGCCACAGAATCGCGGCTCACTATAACTTGCCCACTGATCTTCTTTCGCCTCTTTTTCCTCAATATCCATCATCTGAATCTTACAATGTCTATGCAACCAGTCAATCACAGTATTTTTGCTCATCCTGACCCAACCGTGGAAGCCGAATACATTCTTACCCTCACACGCGAAGTAGACACATTGCATGTGGATCTCCACGCGATGATGGAATTGGCTCCTTCTGAAGACGATGACACTCTCTTCGTCAAGAAGGAAGATTGGTGCCAGCAGTGGACATGTTTCATGGTGCGTCCCTCAACTCATTCACACTAAACTCATGCCGACCGGCAAGCAAATTTACGACACTCTCCAATGCCAAGTCAGCACGATAAAGGAGGCTGTGGCAGGAGCAGGCCGTTCCAGTGGCCGAGAACATTTCCAGAGAGCAGCTGGAGAAGGATAGTAAGGATGCCGAAGTGGAGGAGGAATTGGAGGAGGATCAGATGGAGAAAGATGGAGATTATGAGGAAGAGCAAGAGAAAGAGGAGGCCCTGATAAAGAGATTGAGGCACATTTATCGTGCAAGGACCAACACAAGACATGTTGAGTCTGAGGCCAATGTTGAGACACCCGCTGTGCCCATCAAAATAGCAGAGCAGGTTGTCAAAAAGGTAAGGCTCCCTGACATCTCTACCCTCATCTTGACATTGATACAATCATTCATGGTTCTAGAAGGAGGTCCAGACCCCGCGCATGAGCGTCGCGCAAAAGCCGGTCAATGCAGTTCCATATGAAAGATGTGTGACAGCCAGTTGCACCTGCTACAGGGTTCCCATTGGCATTGTGTGCACAAATTGTAAGCGACTCAAGGCCGCATGCTCTCTTGTGGCTGGTGAGCTTTATTGTATCGTTCTTGTATTACCAGCGCTGATTCCAGATAAAGGCAAAGGAAAGAAAAAGCAAACCCCACCTACCAAACCCACTTCCGCTTCTAAGTCCATCCTGGATTCCTCATCCACCACTGCTAGCCCTCTGCCCCAAGCACGGCCGGCTCCCATGGCTGCTAAGGGTAAGAGTCGGGTTGAAGATGTGCCAACCGTCGCTCTGGAAATTCCATGGCCAGCTCCAGGGCCCTGACCTGCCCGGCGTGTGTATGTCGAGGTGCCTACCATTCACAAGAGGAAGGCCACTGAGATCAAAGAAGAAGAAAGTGAGAGTGATAAAGACCAAGACATTGCCTTTCTGGCCAGGTAGTATCAGTGGCATGAAAACAGTCTATGGAGTTGATAAGGAGGGTGATTGATGGGATGAAAACGGAAGTGGACGAGATTGATGAATACTTCGGACACATTGTAAACAAGCGCTGCCACTGCCACTAGACAAATGAAATCAGTAGTAGACTTACATTAGGAAGACTCATATTATGTATCAGCACATTTTTGGCTCAAAATATTTGTGTGATAGAGCGGTCTCATGCCAGACAATGGCACATTAATAATTAAAAATCTTATAAACTTAACCTCATCAATGTATTATTCAGGGTGCTAACAAACTCTATTTAATCCTCCATAGTAGTGAGCATATATATTTGGATGCTTTTGAACCGATGCCATGAGACAGACGGTCCCCTTAATATATTTGTGAGTAGTGTTATAATCCACCCAGTGGTTCCACCATGGACAGTCCCCATTGGGAGCCGTCTCTCCAGAGGGCGTCTGTACATGACCAGTTTCTATCAAAACTGTGCACATAGGACGGGACAGTCCCCATTGGGAGCCATCTGCTTTGCTGGTGCATGTATGTGTTACTACCATTGGGTTACCTTGTATGGACAGTCCCCCACCCCTGGCATGCAGGACGGCTCCCAATGGGGACTGTACGTCTTCTGGCATCGGTTGGTTGGTTGGTTCAGTTGCAATCAAGTCTGCAAGGCACCAATGACAGACGGCTCCCTATAGGGACCGTGACTCTGGTAAACACTGATTATGTGTGCAAATGGTCATTGATACATTACCAGTGATTTAACCGGCTCCTGATGGGAGCTGTGTCTATGATGAGCCCTCAATGCAACAGTATTAATTAGGCACCACTTATATCTCGGCTGTGAGTGCCATATCTGAGATGGCTCCTTGTAGGAGCCGTGACTCTCGTGAATACTGATTATGCAAGAACCGTGATAGTGTTGCTTATAAGCGACACACAAATGGTTCACCTTACCGGTGCAAATACAGCCAAGGAAATGTGGGACCAGCTGAAACCTGTCAAAGAATCTCAAGGTCAGCAAGGTATCTACACCTGGAGGCATAAATTGTACCAAACTTTTGCTTCAGAAACCAAAGATATTCCTACCCATATTGTTGAGCTTAAGCAAATCCAGGAAAATCTCCATTTAATGGGAAGTGTAGTGCCAGATATGGATTTCCACACTATTTTAATGGGGTCATTACCACCAAGCTGGGAAACATTGGTCGTGATACACCAAAGTAATCCTACTATGACATCACACAAGCTCATTGTGATGATTCTTGAAGAAGACTGTCGTCAAAAAGAAAGAGAGTTGGAGTTCACTGAGAGCAAGATAGTAGTGAAAGGACCTAAAAAGCGAAAGTGTGTTGAGAAGAAAGATGGAAATACAAAGAAGTGCAAGGTGTGTAAAAAGATCAGACATACCAAAGAAGATTATTGGCACAAGTCTAAGAAATGCTCTAATTGCGGTAAAACCAGACATGAGCATAAGGACTGTTGGGCTACAGGAGGAGGCAAAGCAGGTCAGGGACCATCCACTAAAAAGTGCTTGAAGAAGGATAAGGTGCTGCTTGTCCAGGAAGTGCTTATGGAAGAGGAGGATGAGGCCATAGATGACGTGGCCTATATGGCCAGTACATTAAAACTTGCCAAAGACCTTACTGAAGTAGTCAAAGATACTGAAAATATAAATGTAGGTGAAGACAAATCTGAGAAACTTGCCTGGTATGATTGGTTTGCTGATTTGAGATTATCATCCCACATAACAAAGATTTGATTAGTGTTGACCAATTATGTACCACTGAAGGAGCACTGAGTGTTGGGAATTGGAAACAAGTCCCTAAAAGCGCTCAGGAAAGGTACAATAGAACTTGTTAGTACATTAGGTAACCAACAAATCAGAGCTAAACTTACGAATGTCTTATATGTCCCGAGTGCTAATAACCTCATATCAATCACAAGTTTAGATAATGAAGGAGGAAAAGTGCTAATGGAAAATGGTCAAGTCACCTTACAATTAAAAGGAGGATGTACCATGATAAAAGGTCATATGACCAAAGGCCTATATAAGTTAGATACACAGGCACAATTATATTCAAAGACCCGAGTACAAACTACACAGGAAAGATTAAAAACAGATTGGATGACATGGCATCAAAGGTACGGACATATCATGTGTAGTGGGCTAAAACATTTGTGTTAGGAAAAACTTGTAGGTGGGTTAGAAGTTGAAATCAACTCATCTATAATAGACTGTGAAGCTTGTATATAAGCTAAGCAGGTACACAAACCGTTTCCTGACAGTATTGATGAGTGAAGCAAGAATCCTGGAAAACTAACTCACAGTGATCTTTGGGGACAGGCAAGGGTAGAATCAATAGGCGGAGCTAAATACTATATTTCATTTATTGATGACTGCTCACAAAGAGTCAGTGTCATATTCCTGAAATATAAGAATGAGGCAACTGCTAAAATAAAACAACACCTTACCTACCTTGAAAGACGCTAGGAGAATGGATCTAGAAAGATTCGTGTTGATAATGGCAAAGAATACATCAATAATAAGCTACTTACATGGTGTAAAGATAGAGGGATTGAAATCCAGATGACTGCCCCATACTCACCAGAGCAAAATGTCATCTCTGAGAGATTCAACTGAACTCTAACTAAATTAGCTCGTGCGATGATAATAGCCAGAGACTTACCTGAATTCTTATGGGCAGAGGCAGTGGCACATGCTGCCTATCTATGAAATCACGTGCTGACGCGAGCACTAGAAGGCACAACTCCTGAGTAATTATGGAGTGGTAAAAAACCAAACATATCTCACCTTAGTAAGTTTGGTACACCTGTATATATATTGCAGAAAGGTACAAAACCATCTAAGATGAAGTCAAAGTCAGTGAAACATATCTTCATAGGATACAAAGATGGACTGAGGGCAGTGAGATATTATGATGCTCGATTATATCAAGTCCAAATAAGTAGGAACTATCAATTCCTACAAAATGAACTTCCCAGAAAAACACCTGATGTGCAGTGCAAGGGGAAGATAGGGAGTATAGACATGCAGCTATCAGAGGGAGCTGACATGCATACACCTAAAAAAACCACTCACAAATGAGAATGAGCCCATGATAGATAGCAACATACCAATAATTAAAGAGAGAAGGAGTGAAAATACTACTTTCTCAGAGAGAAGATGGATGCGTCCATCAAACAATAATCTGCCTAGAAGAATGAAAAGAAAGGTAGTCAAACAAGACTACTGTAAGTTAAATGATCCAGAAAAAGAATGGGCTTACCTCAACCACAAAAGCAGATATGAGGAGATAAAACTAAACCAGACTGAAGCTGATATCATAATGGTAACTGTTGCTGAAAATGGAGGCTTCAATCCTATAGAACACATACGCTGAAAGACACACATAAATCAGCAGACTGAGACAAGTGGAAACAAGCCATAAATGCGGAACTTACCCAATTACAAGAAATAGGCACCTGGGAACTTGTAGACCCTCCCAAGGATCTAAAGATTGTCAGGAATAAGTGGATTCTGGTTAAAAAGACCAATAAAGAGGGCGAAGTTGTCAAATATAAGGCAAGATTGATAGCAAAAGGGTACTCACAGATATCTGGTATGGACTATACAGATACTTTCTCACCAGTCATTTGTCTAGAGACGATACAATCTGTTATGACATCAGCTGCTATCCTTGACTGGGAGATAGAGCAAATGGATGTAAAGGAACATACCTTAATGGTATACTAAAAGAGGAAGTATACATGGAACAACCAGAAGGGTATAACAATGGCACCGGTCAAGTTTGTCAACTAAAGACTTATGTTTTCAAACAGGTTCAGCATTGGACACCATTATGTGGAAGTGCAAGACTAACAAAGAGGCTATCACCCTGTCCAAAGCATCCCATACAAACTCCTCGCATATCAGTCAAAGCATTCCCGCACCTAATCTATCTTCTAGCTCACATACCTTCGAGTCCACCATCACATGTATAATTATTTATGGATGTCATGCTTCCTTCATTGCCAGCCATACAAGTCCCAAAACCCAGTGACATTGCACTTCCATGTGCTGATTTAGAACCTAAAGGGTTCTTGGTGGTTACAGTTGGCCAAGAAGTTGGTATATTCCATCACTGGTGAGAGTTATCAAACTGTTTACTGATAATAATATCAATGCTAATGTTAGAGCTAATGTGGCTGAATGCACCCATTTTGTAAGTGGTAACATTGAGTCAGTCAAACTTAGCAAGACACCACAATAGCAAAGGAATAGGGTACACCATGATATGATAACTTACGATAACAATACAATAGTCAAGGATAAGGATAAGCAGGGCAATCATACGTTAGATTCCCCCCACCCCCACCCACTAAAGATAGGTTTCTCATTGTCTCGTATAAAAATGTATTCTCTCGGTGTCTCGGTTCTTGGTCAGTCAGCTCAGCAAGACACCACAATAGCAAAAAAATAGCAAAAATCACGCAAAATCAAGCCAAGTTCAAACTAGGTTTTCACCTAAAGCTACGCCTCAGATCAAGCCATGCAATGGCAAAAATCACGCAAAATCAAGCCAAGTCCGAATGAGGTTTTCGCCTCAAGCTACACCTCAGATCAAGCAAAAATCAAGCAAAGTCAAGCCCAATCCTGAAGAGGTTTTCGCCTCACCCTACACCTCAAGATCAAGCAAAATCCAGCCCAGTCCTGACAAGGTTTTCAGCCTTCCCTTATGTTTCAGATCAAGCGAAATAAAGCAACACAATAGCAACAAAATAGCAAAAATCAAGCAAAGTCTGAACGAGGCTTTGACCTGGAGCAATCTAGACAATAGAAAGAAAACAAGCAAGCACAGACATGCACAGTCAAGGCAAGACTATGAAATGAAGGTCAAGAGATCTAGACAACAGAAATAAGCAGGTGTCAGCTTATTTTCAAAAATCAGGCAATGCAATACCAATGCAATCCAAAGCAAAGTCCAGTCCAGTCCCGACGAGGTTTTTGCCCAAATTTAGGCCTCAGATCAAGCAAAAATCAAGCAAAGTCGAGCCTAGTCCAAACAAGAATTTTGCCTCATGCCATGCCTCAAGATCAAGCAAAAAAATAGCAAAAATCAAGCAAAGTCAAGCCCAGTCCTGACCAGGTTTTCGCCTTTTGCTCACACTTCAGATCAAGCAAAATCAAGCAAAAATCAAGCAAAGTCAAGCAAAGCCCAAACAAGGTTTTTGCCTCAGGCCACACATCAGATCAAGGAAAAATCAAGAAAAATCAAAACAAGGTTCTGACCTTCGTCCATTAATCGCTCCAGACAAGGATAAGGTCAAGTGAAACAATAGTCGAGACCACAACAATAAGGGCAACAGCGGATCAGAGAGAACAAGCAAACAACAAGATACACCTCACTACGATGACAAGAGAAATACAAGACAAAAAAGACTACAACAAGATACGCTAAACTACAATCAACAAGGGAAACACCCCAGTTTAGCGCTAGCTTTGGTTACCCCTAGGATCCACCTAGGATCCATTTTGTCTCAATTTCTTTCATTATATCCTGGTTTGATTTGGGAGTCCAGGACTCCCTCTGTGTTTGGGCTCCATTTCCCATGAACTACAGGACTCCTGTTGTGTGAGGGCTTACTATCTGCTCTGCTATGTTATGTTATGTTATGTTATGTGATGTGATGTTCTATAGTTATCAGCTGATGGGAGTCCAGACTCCCACTGTGTTGGCCCATACACTATATCCTATATAGGGTACATGGATAGTGTATGATGGGCACACACAGTGGGAGTCGGACTCCCATCATGCATGGACAACTATAGAGGGCATGCTGGATACAGTTCACAGACTTCGCTCTTTGTTTATGCAATACAGAGATATAATATAGAGTTTCAACAATATTATTGTTGAATTTCTTACCATCTGCTCTGTGATGCCCTCTATAGCTGTCCAAGCATGAGCTGTCCATACATGATGGGAGTCCAGGACTCCCAGGACTCCCACTGTGTGTGGGCCCATATACAACTACTATCAGTTATCACAACTTTGGTCACCACTAGTTCAGACAGTCACACAATGTCACATCCGCCAAAACAAGCTCTGCTTGCCATCCAGTATCAGCGCCTTCAAGTGCACAGGCCTCACAGTGTTCATTACTCTAATTAAAAGTTAAACAGTTAAAAATGTTTTATTGAATGTGCATTATGAAGAGGTACAAATTTATGAGGGCTGTAGGAACTATGACTGGGACATTGTGGTACAAAATAAGGTGCTGCAAAAGAGTAAGTATGTGCCACTGGTGCGTAAGATCCATACGACATGATATTAGCTGATGAGTGTATATGATATTGTAAGCTTGAAGGAGGAGTACACAATGTGTGTTTCGAGTCCTGCAGGTGGCCATGAGACTGGGAGCAATGAGCTGAAGCCAAAATGTTGTGCAGGGGATGACACTGAATGACTACCACTTAGCAGTGTTAATATTAGGAGCGGAGTCCTTGCTGAGTGGGATGTATTTTGAATGTGTGCGACATTTTGCACCTCCAACTTGAAACAATGCAGAAAAACATGAATTGTCTGCCAGCGCTGGGTGCTCGTAAAGGTGTGCATCCTGATTTTATTAGTCAGTGAAGCAATTGTGTCCTTTTTTCGACAGCGAGTCCGAGAGCTTGCGCAATAGTGAGAAAATCGTCCTTAAGCTTGTATGAAGAAAGTGAAGCATCAAAATATTTCATGACTGCATTTTGGTTGATCTTCACTGTCCTCATGGTTTTGTCATGACGAGACAAGGATTATGATGTAGGAAATGGCATACCCAATTAAGGCCAGGGTGTCTATGGCATATCTCAAACACACAAGTCCGGAAAGCATGAGCATGGAGAGGAGTGGTAAAACTTGAGTTGAGGTGGCACCAATCCAGCAATGCAGCTTCCTGTGATGGGCTTAACAGTCAGCACTTCCTGGCAGCACTTTGAATTGATTGGTGGCGCCCAGTTGCACAGTCATGTAGTGTCTGGAAAGAAACCTAAACAAAAGACGCGAGGCCCTATTAAATATGCCAGTTTATTGAAGCACAGATTATCCAGACTCACCTGGTGAGCCTTCACTGCTGCCCTATAGCTCTTATATGTTCCTTCTTGAACTCCAGTAAGGGCTTCTTGAATCCACAACTCGCATTGGATGGTTTTGCTTAGAGTTGAGGAATGGGCACCCTTGCCCCATGCACTGCACAAATCTGCCGATGGTGAGTGGTTCAGCAGATCTAAAACTCCACTACAGCAGACTCAGCTTGGTGACAAGCAGATGTGACCTTTGGCTCTGTCACACCTGAAAAAGGATCTCAATCATTTCTTGACCAAGTGTCCAAACCAGTGGTTGACCAAAGTTGTGATAACCGATAGTATGTACTATATAGCTGTCCACCCACAGAGGAGTCTGGGCCCTCTATCCACTATGCACTCTATAGCTGTCCATGCATTTAGTATTCTGTGACGTCCGAGGCATGAGGTAGTCACAGAATTTAATCTATGTGTGAGTAAGTTAAGGCAGCGCATTGCACCTTGCTCTGACCCACGTCAGTAGCAAATTCTTCAGTCCCTACATCAGTAGTAGTCCCTCATTATTGTTCTGTACATTTCCTGTCATTTCTTTGCAAAAATCACACTCCCTACTATGCCTTTTCCTATGGCAGATCCAAACCTCGCAGCCGCTCCCAACTTCCATTTGCCCAAATATGCGGAAGCAAGAGCCCATCTTGTCAACAATGCCATTGATGACTTACAAGCAGTGCTTATCTTAGCCAATATCTGGTGTATTCAAAATGAAGTACACAAACAGCAATGGACTACCAGACTCGAAAGAGAAGCACAAGAAGCCAAAGCCAAGCGAAGAGAAGCCGAAGAAGAAGAAGCACAACACCAACAAGCGCTAAAAGCAGAACAAAAAGCAGCTATCAAGGAGGAACGCAAGAAGAATAAGGCCAAATATGCCCCCATCAAAGACATTGAAGTCCCTTCAGATCCAATCATCCTCCCATGTCAATATGCCTCACAGAAGATAAAAGCTGGCGAGTACTGTGACCTTTTCTCCTTCACTAACAAGGGCCTCGAAGAAGCATCCCGGTCAGCCTTCACGGCAGACAAAGATGCACTTGTAATGCTACCTTCAACTGATGTTCTACATAAGTGGTTACCAGCTGGGGCAGCCAAAGACCCAAAGCTCCAAGTCATTAAAGATGAAAATCTCACCTGGGAACAGTTCAACGAAGCAGCACCTCGCATGGTCACCCTCATGAAAGACAACGACTGGCCAGACAACCGAGTAGAAATGCACATTGCTTTCTGGTCTGCATTGCAGACTCACAGATGGTGCCATGATTTCAATGTCAACAAGCAACATGCACTTCTCCTATACCAAGCTCAACAGTGCAAATGCTGGCACTTAGCCATCGGCAGCTCTAGTAGTTGGAGCCTCACAAAGATCAACCAAGAACTGCTAAATGAAGCATGCGAAACAATATTCAACCAATTGTGAATGCAACAATTGTTCATCTAGGTACGTCCTTTCCCCTCCAAAACTCACCTCAAAGATTCAAAACTAAATATATTCGTAATTCATTCATACATTGCAACCCCACCCCCCTCTACATACACATTTACATCACGTCCGAACTGACCCCAATCACTGGCGGACATCATGCGAGCCCCTTCAGTGACAAATTCCGTATTATACGGGTCACCCGACCTACATAATATCCCATATAAGACAGGCCAGCAAACTATGGGCCGATGTTATGTATATCCCCGATGTTGACAGATGGGCCGGGAGGGATATTATTTCCAATGGAGACGGGTGGGCCCATCTATGCTGATATTATATATATCCTCGAAGATGTCGGGTGGGCCGATGTAATGGTTTATTGTATAGATGGGTGGGCCGATGTACAGGAAGTATTTTGTACACGGGTGGGCCAAGGGAGTGGTGGAATATGTATTACATAGACGGGTGGGCCGATGTAAGGGTTTATTGTATAGATGGGTGGGCCGACATACTGGAATTATTTTGTAGACGTATGGGCCGAGGGAGTGGTGGAATATTCATTATATAGACAGGTGGGCCGAGGTAGTGAGATATCTGTCTGACATTCACGGATTACCGAGTCCCAGATGCCCAAAAACCGAATCCCATTGTGCAACATCCATTCCAGACACCCGAACACCCCACCAAGTGCCGAGTGCCAAGGCCCGCGCCCTGATGTCCGAAGCCCGAAACACGAAGCCCGAAATCCGAAAATATGTATACAACATATCCATATTTCCCTCACTGCACAAATCACCAGGTGTCAAGTACCAAAACCCGAAACTCGACACCTGGTACACAAATCACCAAGTGCCGAGTGCCAAGGCCTGCGCCCCGATGTCCGAAGCCCGAACCCCCGAAACCCGAAAATATGTATACAACATATCAATATTTCACTCATTGCACAAATCACCGAGTGTTGAGTGCCAAAACCTGAAACTCAAAGCACAGCACAAAAATCACCAAGTGCCAAGGCCCGAACCCCGACGTCCGAAGCCTGAAACCCGAAAATATGTATACACTATCCATATTTCCCTCACTGCACCAATCACCAAGTGTCGAGTACCGAAACCGAAACCCGAAAATCGACACCCGGTACACAAATCACCAAGTGCCAAGTGCCAAGTGCCGAGGCCTGATGTCCAAAGCCCAAAACCTGAAGCCTGAAACCCGAAAATATGTATACAACATATCCATATTTCACTCATGCACAAATCACCGAGTGTGAGTACCGAAACCTGAAACTTGACACGGTACACAAATCACCAAGTGTGAGTGCCAAGGCCCGAAGCCCAAAACCCAAAGCCTGAAACCGAAAATATGTAACAACATATCCATATTTCACTCATTGCACAAATCACCAGTGTCGAGTGCCAAACCCGAAACTGAGATACGGTACACAAATCACCAAGTGCTGAGTGCCAATGCCGATGCCCGAAACCCAACATCCGAAGCCCGAAACCCAAGCCTGAAACCCGAAAATATGTACAACATATCCATATTTCCCTCATTGCACAAATCATGGAGTGTCAAGTACCGAAACCCAAAACTCGACACCCAGTACACAAATCACCAAGTGCTGAGTGCTGAGGCCTGAGCTCCAATGTCCAAGGCCCAAAACCTGATGTCCAAAGCCCAAAACTCAAAGCCTGAAACCTGATAATATGTATGCAACATATCCATTTTTCCCTCATTGCACAACTCACTGAGTGTCGAGTACCAAAACCCAAAACTTGAGACCCGGTACACAAATCACCAAGTGCAGAGTGCCAAGTGCCAAGTGCCAAGGCCCAAAACCCAACATATGAAGCCCACATTCCAAAGCCCAAAACCCAAAAACATGTATGCAATATTTCCATTTTTTACTCATTGCACAAATCACCAAGTGTTGAGTGCCAAAACCCGAAACTCAAAACCCAGTGTGCAATACGCAAAGATAATGAAAACATGGAAGTTGTTGTCCGAGTCTAGGTGAGTGTATTGGTAGTCTTTTCTTGTCTATCAGTTATCATTTGACCAAGATATAAGCTAAAGAAATCTGAAACATTGGCGAGAATGAAAAAATGAAAGTTGTAGTCCAAGTCAAGGTGAGTGTATTGGTAGTCTTTTCTTGTCAATTGGTTATTTCATTACTCGGTACTCGGTACTTAGAAATCAGTACTCAGTACTTGGTTCTGATACTTGGTACCTGGTGTAATGATAGTCGTGGCACTAGGCTCAAAACCCGTGTTTTTGATACTCACATTAAACAGTATTTGTCCGATGCATCCCTGACATTCCAATCCTGATCCCGACACCTGACCCTGGCCTGAAAGTTTCGGACCCAACATTTTTGCATTGGACTCATCCTTCCTATGTCCTGTCTAGTCGTATCTATCCCCACTGGTGCATATTTACTCATTTTCGCATTATTGAATATTACAGACAGTGTTATTACATGTAAGCATAGACCATTGCACTTTTGACATTTTTCACGATTTTCAGTATCTTGCCCTTGCATCCATGATCCAACCTTTTAATATATAATGAGCATAGCTTATATTATTGCCTCTTATGACCAAGATCAGCTCACAATAGGCTGGAGTTTGTGAGCTAGTGTGCATACTTGCCATTTCTCCTGATAAGGGGCCCATACCTTCAAAACATTGAATCTTCATGATCAGAAACCTGGAGTACATTTAAAATATAATAAGTATCATAGACATAAATTTACAGACAAATCCACCAAGAATTGAGTACTGAGGAAGTGAAATAGATAAGAAATGGAGTGTGGGAAACTTCAAAGACCCAAAGCATCGAAAATGGTCAGTGAAGCAATAATAGGACTTTAATGCTGAGTCAACTCATGTTTTCACTATATCCCTTCCACCCACCCCCTACCCTCAAGGCAGTAGGCAGTATGGGTTCCTTAGGTAGTTTACAATCTATCCTACATATTTGTAATGAAATCTTTGGCCTGAATCATCTATAAATGCGACTTTGTAAAAATATGTCTATTGTCACATTTCACACATATGCCTGTCATTACATCAATCCTTCATGTATCTTTCTAAACTATTAGGGCTATTATAATGGACATATATGGGTGTTATTCCAGGTCTATGATCCCATCACAGGCTTGTCATGTTGGATATCTCAACATAATGTGCAAGTCTCGCTATTAATATTCATTCTTTTATCTGTATGCTCACTTACTGCACACATGTACAAATGCACACCTCATCTTTACATCATTGCTAACATGCCAGACAAATATATAATCCTCATACCTGCATCATCCTACCTCAGTCTATTT